TCCAAGATTGATCAATATGTTTTAATATTAATGCATGGGTAAAAAAAGAATATTGGGTTAAAATTGAATATTGTTTTTGAAATGTTACAAATTTTTTTGCTCAATACATTTTTGCTGACAATACTTTATATGTGTATTGTAATACTTCTTTCATGGTGTAAAGTTTCGTTTTATGTTTTAAATGATAAATTCACACCAACAATTGTAATGTTAAGTAAAGAAAGGACAGGTCAGTTTGCATTCACTATAGGACATATTTAAAGGTGTCGGTTGTACAATCAAAGTAGAACTGTCTAATATAGGTGTCATATTGTCATAAAATATATGGCACAACTTCCAGAATTTCTATTTCAATTTGAAAAGACCTAAAAAATTCTTTGAAATTATTAATCTTTTGCTGTTATGAAACTCTTGATATTGTTAAAAATTTCTATCAGGCTCAGTTTAGGATTTATTCTTAGTCAACAAGTTGTAATTATTGTGTGTCGGTTTTATGATTACTGACAATTTACACATGTATTATACTGTTCTATTTCTAAAGCTATCTTTTGTTGTTCCAGTTACAAATACTGGAAATAAATAAAACCAAAGACTTGCTGTTCTTTCTGTTTATTTTCCCCCTGATTGTTGAATGAAATTAAAAGACCTAGGCATCATATGATGGTGAATGCTTTAGATTTTGCCAGTGACTATTATCTTCTTAACCTACTAATTTTAAGCTATATATTTGAATGTGTAATATATATTGCCCCAGGTTGAAATGAAACATATTCTTTCACAGTATTACCTCAGTCCTATTTAACTCGGTAATATGTCCCATGGCATAATTGTAACTGAATCATTCCTTTGTGCATCTGTATGGTTAACCTGGTTATATGTCCCATGGCATAATTGTAACTGAATCATTACTTTGTGCATCTGTATGGTTAACTCGGTAAGATGTCCCATGGCATAATTGTAACTGAATCATTACTTTGTGCATCTGTATGATTAACCCGGTAAGATGTCCCATGGCATAATTGTAACTGAATCATTCCTTTGTGCATCTGTATGGTTAACCCAGTAATATGTCCCATGGCATAATTGTAACTGAATCATTCCTTTGTGCATCTGTATGGTTAACCTGGTTATATGTCCCATGGCATAATTGTAACTGAATTATTCCTTTGTGCATCTGTATGGTTAACCCAGTAATATGTCCCATGGCATAATTGTAACTGAATCATTCCTTTTTGCATCTGTATGGTTAACCTTGTTATATGTCCCATGGCATATTGTAACTGAATCATTACTTTGTGCATCTGTATTGTTAACCCGGTAATATGTCCCATGGCATAATTGTAACTGAATCATTCCTTTTTGCATCTGTATGGTTAACCTGGTTATAAGTCCCATGGCATATTGTAACTGAATCATTACTTTGTGCATCTGTATTGTTAACCCGGTAATATGTCCCATGGCATAATTGTAACTGAATCATTCCTTTGTGCATCTGTATGGTTAACCCATGGCATAATTGTAACTGAATCATTCCTTTGTGCATCTGTATGGTTAACCCATGGCATAATTGTAACTGAATCATTCCTTTTTGCATCTGTATGGTTAACCTTGTTATATGTCCCATGGCATAATTGTAACTGAATCATTCCTTTGTGCATCTGTATGGTTAACCCATGGCATAATTGTAACTGAATCATTCCTTTTTGCATATGTATGGTTAACCTTGTTATATGTCCCATGGCATAATTGTAACTGAATCATTCCTTTGTGCATCTGTATGGTCCCATGGCATAATTGTTACTGAATCATTCCTTTGTGAATTTATATGGTTAACCTTGTTATATGTCCCATGACATATTGTAACTGAAATATTGCTTTGTGCATGTGTATGATTAACCTGGTTATATGTCCCATGGCATAATTGTAACTGAATCATTCCTTTGTGCATCTGCATGGTTAACCCGGTAATATGTCCCATGGCATAATTGTTACTGAATCATTCCTTTGTGAATCTATATGGTTAACCTTGTTATATGTCCCATGACATATTGTAACTGAAATATTGCTTTGTGCATGTGTATGATTAACCTAGTTATATGTCCCATGGCATACTTGTAACTGAATCATTCCTTTGTGCATCTGCATGGTTAACCCGGTAATATGTCCCATGGCATTATTGTAACTGAATTATTCCTTTGTGCATATGTATGGTTAACCCGGTTATATGTCCCATGGCATATTGTAACTGAATCATTACTTTGTGCATCTGTATGGTTAACCCGGTAATGTGTCCCATGGCATTATTGTAACTGAATTATTCCTTTGTGCATCTGTATGGTTAACCCGGTAATATGTCCCATGGCATTATTGTAACTGAATTATTCCTTTGTGCATCTGTATGGTTAACCCGGTAATATGTCCCATGGCATTATTGTAACTGAATCATTACTTTGTGCATCTGTATGGTTAACCTGGTAATATGTCCTCAGCATATTTTTTTTGTGGTGTGTGTGTGGGAGGGGGGGGTTATGTCACACCATTGACCAACACGGTAAACATTCCAGCTTTACTGATGAAGTAGAACCACCAATGTTCATTAGCTGGATAGCTTCCTATCGTGAAAGAATCCAAAGTCCCTGGCGCGATTCCTCTCGATGTAATATTTGAATAATATGTTTGTCCATCTCTATGGTCTACCTGATTATTTGTCCCAAACATATAATAATCTAAATGTACCTTCTCTCTGTATGGTTTACTTGATAATATGTCCCAGGCATACAATAATTGTATCATACCTCTGTATGTCTGTATGCTAAACCTATTTATACTTTAGGTATAACTTGTACAAATATACAAAGGCACCCAATTTAACTCTCATTAATGAACATTTAAAAAAAGTACAGTGAACAATTTTGACATATCTCAAGCTCTACCAATATATATGTCTTCAAAAGATGAACATTTTTTTACCAATTCAATGGCCACAGTTCAGGCAAGTTTACTTACATAATGCAGTTGGGCATCAATTTTTCTTGAGTAAAGCCTTCTTCATTCACTTTGAATGCAGCTAAAGTTACCTTTTATGGATATCAAAATTAATGGCAATAATTTAATACTACAGTTTAATTGACAATTACAAGGGTCAAGATATCCTCAAGTTACACAACTTTGTTCCCCATTTTTCTGGTATAATCTCACTGTTCTTAACTAAGTGAATAGGTAAAAAAAATTTGAAAGTTTGATATTATCCAGCTATTTATACAAATCACAGGCTGTTTTTAAGTCAACAACCTTAACCATTCAGCAATGGACACCCCATTCCATTTTCCTGAATTTGGAATATTTTATGATTTTACCTTTTCTGTAAAAAAAAAAAAATTAAATGTTGTTTAATGAATAAATTTTAGGAAATAATTACTGTGTGTAGAATATGTAACTATCAAAATCAAAAATAAGGGGAGTGGTGGCCTAGTGGTTAAGGTGTCTGCCTCTCAACCCAGAGATCATGGGTTTGAGCCCTTAGACTCGTGATCACGACCATGTTTCTTCATATGACACCAGTACTGGTTGGTTCAAGGAAGCGGACTCGAAAGTGATTAATATAAGTTGCAATAACTTGTTTCGCAATCGAGCTTAAATAAATATGTTTAAACCAATAAAAATCTACATTCACAGCTACTTCAAATGGTAATTGGGTAAATAAGATAAACACTGGTTTTCTTAAAAAGTGACTTTATTAACAAAATAGATATCACAGCTTTAATTTAAATATAACAACATGAAAATACAACAATGAGACAAGTACAACACTGTTTCAAAGTTCAACAATTATACAGTTACTTCAACGACAAATGCCCTTACAATGAAAAAACAATTTTTTTATTGTCTGAAGAAAAAATAAAAGGATTTTCATTTCTCTATTTTTAAACTATTTATTATTTCAAGAAATACAGCAAACTTACAGGGAAAAACAGTGTGGATTGTATGATTGATCAACATTAATAAATTTGTCTTGAACAAAGATGAATTTTCACCTGAACACATTTAGAATATATAATTAATTTGAGAAAATATGTAAAAATAGACCAAAGTATATGAAACTGACAAAATCTTAAAATACATCAACTACAAAATACATGAAACAGAAGAAAAAAAAATTAAAAAATAAAAATAAAAAATTAAGATAATTAAATCACATCTGAGAAATAAAATAAGTCACTTGTCAATTAAGCATCTATAAACTGAAAAAGAAAAAAAAAGGAGTGAGATGCTTGCTGCTAGTACAAGTGGGGATATAAAGCTCTTGGCTGTGTTTACTGAAACTTTACAAAGCCAAAGTCTTACTGGGATATTCCAGCAGCCAGCATAACATTCTTATAATACCATATGTCACTGACTATATATAATTTGTCAATGTAAATAATTTTATTATAATTATATATAAAGATGAAAGACTAACAGAAGTAGAACCAACCAACAGCTACAATATAAAAGAACAACTAAGCCCAATAAAAAGAAGTGTTGTCTTTAATTAATAAGGGCACACAAAAATAAAAATATTTAAATTAACCTGCAAACCAGTGACATTAGATCATGATTGAGTATTTGTACATGTGAAAGCTAGAAATGGACAGTAGATAACATCTAAGTTTACAATGAATTATTCATTCAAACCAGATGTCTAAAATTAAGATCATAAACATGATAAACTATAACCATGTAGTTAAAGACAGGAAAACGTAACCCACTGGTTTTCTTAAATGTGCAGATTCCATTAACAGAACTGTTCACTATCAATTTGTAGACACCAAGATGAAAGTTTTAAGTTGGTCAGCCAATATTATAGCTCTTGGTCAGACTGTACAGTAGAACAGGCCAGCCTGGCTTTATACTGGTGACTAACGCTGATCACTTTAAGTTCAAGAAGGGTAATGGTTAATTACGTTTATGTTACAACACAAGTTGCCAATTTAAAATTTAAAAAACAAAAACAGAATTTGAAAAATTTAAAGGTTGTTGAAAATCACATAGAATATTCCTTTTACTAATTATTATATCAAATAGAAATTTTAGTCTTAAAGCCTGATACATATAAGCAATAAAGCAAGCTTTTCTATAAATTTTGTTAACTGTAACTACGGCAACACTGATCCACAAACTAGAATTTAAACATCTGGATTGGAATATATAATAATTGTTGATTTAAACTATATGTATATTCTGTAAACTTTAACAAATTGTTTATAATAGAAAAATAGATGCTAGAATCATAGGACTGTCCAGTTCTTTTTAAACAAATTAATGTTTTTCTGTATCAAACATTGGTCTTGTCCTTGAAATGTCTTGTATCACTGGATGTTATACATTACTCCTGTTATTGTCAGGTTTAAAAGTTCTACTGATGCTGGTAAAATGATATGGCCACAAGCTAGAAGATGAAGTTCTCAGATACTTGTTCCAGCCATATATCAGAGACAGACTGCTAGAAGTCCATAGATACTTGTCTGAGCCTTATGTCAGAGAGACTGGTGGAAGAAATCCCTACACATTCCTCCAAGTCATATATCACAAAGTTGGTACCAGCATGGAACAACTGACCTTCCTTGTTATAGGGATAGCTTCCAAACAAGAATGAATTTCACATCTCAAGAGGAAGTTAAACTCACAGAACTGCAGGGCAAGTATTTCAACATCAGGGAGATCATATTAAAGGAACAGATATTGGTTTGGAAGAATATATTGGATAGCCAAGTGGTGGATCTGCAGCCTGGACAGTTAAGTTTCTCAGTATAACAGGGTGTGCCTGTATACTATAACGTTCCTCATCATCGTTGGTCATATATAGAAGTTCTAGTGCAAGGTTTGCCCACTGCCCTCGTACAACCTCGGGATTCAAACGTCCAATACTCACATCTAGTGATTGCAGTGTCAAAGTTCTACTGTTGTAGGTATTCTGTAAAAGGTGTGGAAAAAAAACACATGAAAACATTACTATTATTATTAGTATTTTCAGTTGTTAGTTGTTACATTCTTGAATTGTAATATAAGAAATGTCTGTGAAATATAATGATTTTAGATAGGTAACACAATTTCGACATATTAATGTACTCCTTCTTTGATAAAAAAATGACTTAAGAGCAGAGATATTGGTGTAGTTGTTTAACTAACCTGTGTGTTATTATGCCCCATAGAGAAGAGATTTGGGGTGGAAGCTAGCACAGCTGACGTCCACTCTGGGTCTTTCTCCAGACCTATATACCATTCATTATCATACTCTTCCAGGGCCTCCTGCCACTCCAGGTCAGAGTTCATCTCCCCTAGCAACATCTGATCCATCATCAACTTGAACCCATACCTGAAACATGTGAAAATCATTATTAATAAACCAGAACCTATGATAATAATGAGCCGCCACATGACAAAACCAACATAGTGCTTTTGCGACCAGCATGGATCCAGACCAGCCTGCTCATCCACACAGTCTGATCAGGATCCATGCTGTTCGCTATCAGTTTCTCTACTTGTAATAGGGTTGGTAAGTGAACAGCATGGATCATGATCAGACTGTGCAGATGCGCAGGCTGGTCTGGATCCATGCTGGTCGCAAACACACTATGTTGGTATTGTCATGAAGCGGCTTAATTACATACTTAGATCATACAAATGCTGTGAATATTTGACAACAAACATGTTACCTACACAGTTCTTCCATGTTTGACTATGAAACCACCTTAAAATCCACAATAATACCAATGTCAGCATACTGTATGTATGACAAAACTGCTTTTAAAAGCCCTTATAAAGTGTATAATCAACATTATGATCTTAACCTTAAATTGGTTCAAAAATTCAACTTTAACTATGGTGACCTAAAAAATTCAACTTCTTTAACTATGGTGATTTAATGTAGTGGAAAACATGTTTCACAGTAGATACTATCATGTATTCCTAGGAATTATAAAGATCTGTATTACCTGAATGCCTTCTTCACAAGATTCTGTAAAACTGTATGTTCCCCTAACCAGTCCCACATAGCGTTGATAGACACCTCACCCATATAGCACTTGTACAAAAAACTTGGTCCACTGTAACCTGATATTATATAGCAGAAATTACTCAGAAATAAAGCATAAATTAGTCAATAATACAGTATTAATTAGTCAATAATACAGCATAAATTAAACAATAATACAGCATAAATAAGTCAATTATACAACATAAATTAGTCAATTATACAACCATTAAAGTAGAATATCAATTTCTATGAATACCAAAGTAAAAACATCTCTTTCTTCCAAAGTCTATATCTGAATATTTACTTAAGTATTTTGATTATTTATAAATAAAATGAACTTAACTATTTTTTATATAATGTCAAATACTACATAATTATATGATGGAACTAAACTGTCTTCATACCTTGACCTTCAAATATAGAGTAACAGGCCATAGTAAGTTGAGCATAACAGTTTCTGAGTGAATCATCCCCAGTAACATCCTGTAGCACTTTCTCTTTACTCTGATCTTCACACGACCAGTCTAATGTCTTCAGAACAAATTTGTACCAGTCTGCAGGAAATTTGTTCATCAACCTTGACACTTGTGAATTGTCTAACGGCAACTCCCTCCAGTCTTTAGGTAAACTAAGTTGGGATGAATATGGACTTTTAAAGTCAGGAGATCCTGCTAAATTAGTTTGTGGTTTATATATAGCATTGCCAAATGATTTAGCCCCACTAAATTTTTGAGGTGTGGGTTTAGGTTTAGTGACATCATAAGCTGGCAAACCTATGTCTAACTCATCAAATAAATCTTCTATTTCGGGACTTTTATTTCTCGCTGGTATTGGTTTTAATGCTGCAGGTGGTTTACTCGGCTTCTTTTTAGAAGTTAAACCATCGTCAGAGAATATACTGTCAGTGAAACTGTCTAAGGAACCCCACGATGACGCCATCTTGTTTTGTTTTTTATTTACAACAGGTGGTGGAGTTGGAGACCGCGTGTCGCGTGTAAAGTCTGGAACTAATGGTTGTAATGCAGTGTTTCTTTGCTGAACTGGTTTAATATTAGAGCTATTTGCATTAATTTCTTTCAATTCATGCTTCTCATTTTGAGCAATAAATGACAATTCTTTATCAAACTTTTCACCTTTTTTATCCTTTGTCGTTTTCATTTTTATTTTATTCACATATTTCAATAAAACCCACACTAAACTTTTAAGGAAAGCTTTCATAGTCTCGTCAGTGCTGCCCTTTGAATCTATAATTCCCGTTAACACATTACGTGCGTCAGAATAAGCTTGTAAACTGTAAGCATCTAGCGGGGTCAGACAGTGTAATGGGAATTCATTCGGACGTCCAATACAACATAATGATTCTGGTACTTCAAAAGCACTTTCAAAGATATCATCTATCCTAGCAGCTTCTACAGTATGACACGACGTCTCCTGTAATTCAAGTCCTTTTATATTGATGGTACAGTAAGACGAGCCCCTTTCTAGAATCATTACCCAGATAAGTCTGTCCTGAAACCTTACTAGGTAATGATTACCTGGTGATGCTTCCCCTAAAATAGACAATATCTATTATGTTACACAATGTTCCTTAAAACTGCATATTTATATAGCAAAATTTGTATACATTATATAGAGAAACACTATAAAGGCCTGAACCTCTCTTTAAAACATGCAGTCCTATTTCATGCCATATATTTTTTTTTAAACATTTACCTTCCAAGAATAAAGTATCTATGATCTTTATAATCTAGGATTAGAGAATCAACACAAGTAAGTCCATTATCTTACTGATTAACCCACTGTATTTACAGTTTTTATTATAAATGGGTAAAAAATAAAATCTAGTGAAGAATAAATGAAAATTTGCAACTCTACGACTAATCATTAACATTAACTAACAGGGGTTTCTTGATCAACAATTCTTATCGTATGCTCAGCATACTTAGATAAATCATTTTTTTCAATACTTACCAATACTTCCACTTGCAAACCCAGATGCAAATGCCTTGGAAAGTTCTGGTGCTAACTGTCTGTAAAAGTTTGTATCTGGACAACTATTGGCCGACCCACCGACATCCTCCGGCCAGGATCTTAGGTGCCGAGGAAACGAGAATAATACTAGTGGCAGAGTGAATAGAGGTAGAAGAGGCACTGACAGGGCAGATGCTATTGCAATTACTCCAAAAATAAGTGGGAACAATAAAACAGACACTACGATGATTGGTACAGAAGATCCACGACGTTGTTTCTTGTCCGTCCATGAACTTATCAGTAATGTTATATAGAAATACAGTTTGTTAGATAGTTGGTACAAGCGATCTCTACAGAGACTTGTCAACATAGCTAGTATAGGAACTCCCCACTTTATAACTGTTGTATTTGTATCCATGGTAACCAATATGATATGAACCACTGACAACTCTAACAGGGCATGTACAGTACTCTGCCAAATCTGAAAATAAACATAGCACATAAACATTAAACAAATTATTTAAACAAATAAGAAATTTAGTTTCTCATTATGATTTTTTAGCTATAAAAACAGCATGCCTCTAGATTCATGCACGTTTTGAAAAATGTATAAAAAAGTAAATATTGTTTAGGGAACAAAGGACATAATTTACACATTGCAAGCAGCACTTGCAATCAATGTAATTTTACAAAACAAAGTCAAAATATGCAAAAATAGCCCTTACTGTGTTAGTCACAAAGAAGGATATGGTGATAAATACTACAAATTAGTCCCATATAACATGTAAATCATTACTTGAATATTGAATCTTTTACTTTACATATTTTTCTCACTATAATTTTTTTTAAATATTTTGGTTCATCTGGAGACAAGCAGATTTAAAGGATTAGTCTAAATATTGTGCATCATCTAGAATGTTGAATCTCTGTATGTTTCCATCTTAATTCTTTACTTGTCTGGCTTTAAAGTATCATATAACACATAAAGGGTATATTTTTGTCAAGTCTATTAGACATAAAGACTAAAGTATAGTGATAGGAAATGACTGGTCTGTCAGTTAATACAGTCTGTTTTTGTAATGGTAAAAACCAGACAGTATAACTGATCTCAAACCTGTATCATAAGACACAGTCAACATTTTTTTTAAACCTAGAAATAAACATTAGCAACTAATTACCAAACTTTGTCCCCTGATAATTTAATTCAACATACATAATCTAAAACTCTAAATACATCATATACATTGCAGTGCAATTTTTTGTGACAGTGGAGCATTTATTTTAACATCCTACTTTATATGAAAATAGATTAAAAAAACATATTTTCAATATTTTAGGTTATTTTTCCACATTGCTATTATCATACAACTACAAATGTAAGTGTATATTTCTGTAGGTGTGTATATTTCTGTAGGTGTGTATTTTTGTAAGTGTCTATTTCTGTAGGTGTATATTTCTTTAAGTGTATATTTCTGTAGGTGTGTATTTTTGTAAGTGTATATTTTTGTAAGTGTATATTTCTGTAGGTGTGTATTTTTGTAAGTGTGTATTTTTGTAAGTGTATATTTCTGTAGGTGTGTATATTTCTGTAGGTGATTATTTTTGTAAGTGTATATTTCTTTAAGTGTATACAGTCCGACCCCGGTTATTCGACAACCCTTTATTCGAATACCCGGCATTATCCGAAGTAGATATGCTGTCCCGTTTTTCTCTCTATATAAATCAATATAAATACGAGTGTATTATTCGAAATGCATTATCCGAATACCTCCTATTTTTCGAAGTAAAATTTCGGTCCCGATTATACAATTATGACAGAATTTCACACCTATTATTCGAAGCCAGCCTAATTATTATTCGAAGTCAGACTAATTGGCGCAGATCCACTCGCTGACTGGTCGACTTGTGAAAAACATCAATAGTCATGCATGTATTTAGACAATCGTGATAATAGCTCTTTTTGTGTTCTTTAATCAACTTTAATTACCGAAAATGAAAAGCAATGCACCGTGTCCGATTTTGTTACTGTTATTGCTTGAAGATGACAGCAATATTTTTCATACATACCGTATATGTAAATTTGTCAAAACATCCAAAACGCTACATAAGAGCCTTTTTCCTAATCGAAAATACCAGTTTAGCTGTAAATACCGTAGTGACAACACGGCCATTATCAAGGTTTGCGCGAAACGAAACGATACAAAATGTAGAATAAAATGCAAGTATTTATGTCTTCAATGTCAATACAATAATTTTTACGCATCTTTTCTTTAATATTATTTTTCTCAATTGATTACAGGAAGTAAATGTGTTGTAAACGGTAGTTTTGCTACGATTCGTCAAAGTGGAGTAGTTTTCGTCTGTCACAATATTCGGATTTCGATTATTCGAACCCATCGATTATTCGAAGTAAATATTCAGTCCCAGGCACTTCGAATAAACGGGGTTGGACTGTATTTAAAAAAATTTAGAACTGAAGTATGATAATATAGTTATATAATTGTAACATACCCATCTAAATGCTCGGACAGTTCCAAAGATATACCAGACACCTGTTGCTACATCTAAATGATCTCTTAATGACACAGATGTTGGGCTGGTACTAGTCACCATAATAGATAAATACGATAACATCAAAAATGGACCAACTGAAATTAAAAAATAAAGTTAAAATACCAAATTTACCAAATACTACTTTCAACATCATATAAGCATGAATGTATTGTCTTTTCTTTAAAATCATTCAACATGTAATTGTGATAAATTCTAGATAAGTTTGAGTTAGAAGAGAGAACAACCAAAAAGTTAGTTACTTATATTTTATTACACTACAAGTCATGGTGTTTTCATTTTTCAATTTGTCGTTATATTTGCTTTTATCTAAGCTATTGAAATTACTGTGTATTTTTATCCTATAGGATGCAGTTGTATATTATTCAATAGCTAATAGCTATTTAAATATATATCAAGTTTGTTTCCCCCCCCCCCACAAATGTTTTAATCAATGTACTAACATAGTCTAGATAATTTAAAAATAACTTATTCTTACCCCAATTAACTAAGCCTCTACGCATTATTCCAAGAGGTGTTAGCCAGAGCTTCCTTCCATCAAACAGTCGTCTGGAGTTGACAGTTTTAGGGAAGAGCATATTTCTCCACAAACCAAATACAATAAATACCCCCTGTAAATCTCGCACTATTTTCTCCAGTACACATACTCCTACAATACTATAACCTACAATCTTCCAACTATCACCACTAAAATCTCCACTGTTCTTGTTTAGTAGACCTGAAATAATATAGAAAACATGTATAAACCTTTATAAGTTATAAAAAGTAATTTTACTTGATAAAAGAATGTACATATGAAGCTTGATAAGCTCGATAAGGATGCTTTCCCTTCACAACTAAAGTACAACTACATCTGAAATGAAAACTGCAAAGTAAGGTTCATGTTGTAAAATTGAAGAAATTTTTCTGTTTTAATAAGAAACTTGTGAAGGACTGAAATTTAACTATATTGCAATTCAATTCTGATCTACTACTGTTGTTAGTTTATAGTTTCACATTTCTTTTAGTTTGATTGTGCTAGAAGCTTATTATAAGCTTATTGAAACACATTCAAATCCTTTCCTGGAACCAACCAGTACTAAGCAATGAATATAAAGTTTCTTGCCCAAGAAAACAATGGCTTGCCCCTGATGGGGTTTGAACCCTTGCAGCCAGCAATCCTTAGATTACTAGTCTGAATAGTAAACCACTTGGCAAAGCCACCACTGTTTGTTAATAGTGTCTTCCCTTGCAATCAAATAATCAAATGATTATTCTCCTAAATTTACTTATAAAAAAAAACAACTATAAAGCTGATTTTAAAGTCCCTAAATTTATTGAAATACATAATAGGGTTGAACCATTTTATTTCACAGATACATACATTATAACAACATATGAACATGAAATATACCTGCTACTACGCCAACAGCTGCAAGCATTATTACATGATACACAACTTCTAATATCCCCCATTTCCATAGAAACCTCTTCCCAGAATGCTCTTTGTCTACTTCCTGTACATCAGTTTTACTGGCTGATACACGGTTTCTCGTGATTAATCCAAGAAGCTGGGAACCAAGCCCACCAAGATCTGTACTGAGCAGGTAACCAGCCATTGAACATAATATGATGGTTCCCAAAGACACTTGGAAAAAATATGCTCCAAGGAAAACACATGTTGATAAAGTTACCATAACAAGTAGTCTGAAATAAAACAAGCAATTATCATAGTATTGCAAGCAATCCATAAGTCCCCTACCGGTAAGAGCCCAAGCAACATTCTGAAGGGCCATTCACTTATGTTCCTATTTTAAGTTAATTTGTTGAAAAAGTTCTTTAAAAGTGATCACAGGAAACAGTTTTTATGTACAGACAGACGGACTGAAGGACACTCTAAAGTTATTTTTTAAACATCCCTGTTATCAAAATATATCATTTTTAAAATCCTATCATGATTGAAGAAGTTGGAGTAAAAATTACCAATTTCTCAAAAAAAAGTCTAAGTTCAAAAAGGGGCATAATTCTGGAAAATAGTCTTGCTAGAGTATTGAACACTCACAAATGTTGAGTGACAATAAGAAACATTTATATGAAGTTTGAAGTAGATACATTTAGAAAAAAGAAGTTATTAAAAAAAAAACAATGTTTTTTTCATGAAAATTTTAAGTTCAAGGGAGGTAATTCTGATAAATTTTGTACTAGAGTTGTAAACCTTGCCACATATGATTATGGTTGATGACAAGCAACTTATATTTAAAGTTTGAAGAAAATACCTTAAGAAATAAAGAAACTTATAGTGAAAAAACTTAAAAACTAGAATAAGAAATCTGAAATTCAGTCTATTTGTTGCCATAGCAACCAGAATTTTCAACATAGGAAGATAAGAAAAGGATGTGCATAATTTCCATACTGCCATCTACCCATATGTCAAGTTTCATAAACATATTTTCAGTACTTTTTGTGTTATCACTGGATCCAGGTTATGTGTAAAATTTGCCATATTTTCAGTCTATTTGTTGCCATAGGCAACCAGAATTTTCAACATAGGAAGAAAAGAAAAAGACGCGTGCATAATCTCCATACTGCCATCTATCCATATATCAAGTTTCATAAAAATATTTTCAGTACTTTTTGCGTTATCGTGGGATCCAGTTTATGTGTAAAATTTGTCATATTTTCAGTCTATTTGTTGCCATAGCAACCAGAATTTTCAACATAGGAAGAAAAGAAAAAGACGTGCATAACCTCCATACTGCCATCTATCCATATATCAAGTTTCATTAAAATATTTTCAGTACTTTTTGCGTTATCGCGGGATCCAGTTTTGTGGACGGACGGACTGACGGACGGACGGACTGACGGACGGACAGACGGACGGAGGGTAAACCTAAAGTCCCCTCCGGTAAACCGGTAGGGGACTTATAAGACCTTTAACTTTTAAAGACCTTTAACTTTTAATAAATTTTTAATCTTAAATATACAAACATGGTACAAATATAACTTCAGAAATACACAAAGGTAAAGCTCTATGCATTATGCCAAAAGAAATTTTGATAAAGATATGAAGTTTCTGGGATAGTTCAGACCCATGTGCTGTCAAGGCCTGAAATCTACATTCTACAGTGTTTATAATCAGCATAACATATGTAAGTGAAAATGACATAAGACTAGAAATATGTCTATAGGACACCCGGACAGTTCACTGTTTTGTCAGTCAACAGATGGACAATGTGACAGCAGGACAGAGGTCAAGGGCAAATCTATATACCACATAACCCTTACGTAGTGAGGGCATGAAAATGTAGACAATATATAAATGATATATGATATGATATATTTACCTGACATCAGACGCCATGAACGAACCACCAAATAAGAACACATGCACCTGCTCCAGGGCATACAGGAAGAATGAATCTATAGGTGCTAGAACACCAAATGTCCAAAATACCGGCAAAAACACAAATATCACATGTAGCACTTGATTTGTCAAAAGAAATGAGTCAGAATAATATCTGAAATATAAGAAAAGATTATCTCAGTATAATACTGAATGATGATTCTCTAGTTACATGTCACATGATACAACAAAAATAACCCTTAGAATTGTTTTAAAGAAGTTTCTAAAACTTTATACAGAATAAAATTAGCAAATACTGATGTAATATCACATGGCTATAATACCACACATTATTAAGGTTTCATAAAAAATTTAAACTAAATATTATCCATTTATATAACAGAGTTATCATTAAAATATATATGCCAATAGAATATACATTGCCCTATAGACTAAATTCTTAAATTTCTTTGGTTAAGTAAACAGTTTCACAGACCTATCTAGAACTCCAATTCATTAATTTAGTCCATGTAATATAGATAGATATTAATAATTCTCAATAAAGATAAATTTATAAAGTGTTTTAAAATAAGTGATACTATTAAAACTTTGATATAATACACATACATGTAGTTTGTCAGTTAAATGTGAAGAAATAAAGATCATTTACCTATGAAAGAGATCAAATGTAATAAATACTAGGACATAGAAACTTCTCATTAGTGCAGATATTTCAAATATATCAGTAGTTCTATATGTAGCAGTCTCAGGGGGCGCTGCTGTTGTCAATGGATACTGAGCTACTAGAACAGCCAACCAACCTAGTATAAATAACACCACTGTCGCACCTGTAAATTATAAATATTGAAATAATTATATGTATATTTAATATTAAAGTAACCATAAATAGAATCATATTTCCAGCTATAAAATACACTTACAAGCCTTGCTTGTATGCATCATTTACATGAAATAATATGTCAGCAATTTTAACTTTGTAATCTTATTCTACTCCAATTATAAACCACATAACAAGCATAAAGATATAGAATTTAAGTACAACTTTATTTTTTTCAAATACATGTATATCTAGACTTGGAACTTATATTTCTGCTCCACAACAATATATATGTGCTCAAACAAGCATCAAAAGTCTACAAACACTTTTACTTACTGATATATGGGAAAGTTAAAGTACAGTAATTATACCTGTATTATTGTCATATAGGTTATTTAAAGTTGTAGGTAGCAGGTACAGCAAGCCCAGTCCACAAAGAGGTCCTGCTACAAGGGCATGAATCAGTACATTAAGTTTATATTTCTTTGGTGGTATAACAAACTTGAGTGTCTCGGCATCACAACAAGATATAAAATCCACCTCATCTTCTTCTGATAACAAATTTTTCTTTTTCCTCATCATAGGTAGATCAGCTGATTGTGATGCCTGCAATAAACAATTTGTAGAAATCTTAATTATTAACTTGTACAAATTACCTGTAATATATACATACACAGTCATGAACACTGTTTTTAGATGCTTTCAATGACAAAGTTTGACAAGAATAAAACAGTTAAAAAGACAAGGTCATGTGATGTACCATGTGATCAACTTATGCCTGAAATCCTAATTAAAATTCAGTGTCTAACAAAATACAACATATCTAGGCACTGATGTTACTTACCACTCTGCAAGTACAAATGTACTTCAGTACTAATTTTACCTTTCTTGGTTACTAAATTTTGTTTTTCTTTTGGTTGAAACTTAAATGGCATTTATATTATTCAGGTCATATAAAGCATCACTGCTGGTAAAAAGATTTAGTCAAACTAACTGCTAATAAGATCAATGTTAGCCTACAGAGTCATGTTAAGATATTAACAAGATAGGACATTGTTTATTTGTTTTCTGTAGTGTTCACAACCCTTTATAAAAAATATAATTATTTCATAGTTTATATAACTTATGCAATCAACAGTAAACTTAATTAAATGATTAAAATATAAATGTTTTTGCTCCTTCAATAAATGTGGCTTTACTTCTACATGTAAGTTGTGTAGCATATTAGAGTTATAAAGAAGACAAAGTAAGAACATATTACCATATTAGTATACATGTATTCTCAGTCACTTTTCTGATATTACTGTCAAATAATACAGATTCTCTTCAGAAATTTACTAAATGAAGCTCAAAACTAGAGGATGCTTTTGTAAAAAAGCGCATGTCTCCCCCACTGCTGAGAATAACTGTGAATGGAAACAGGAATGGAAATGGAGATAAGATAATGTAAATACCCGGTAGTCACTTCAATGAAGGCTGTCTATGGATGGTTTCTATTGTTAAGGTTGTATGAGAAGATGCTTCCTATGAAGTTTGAGGGTTGTAGGTCAAAAGGAACTCATCCGGAAATGAGAAATTGACCAACGGTCACTGTGACCTTGACCTTTGACCTACTGACCCCAAAAACAATAGGGATCATCTGCTCTATAAGACCAATCATCCTATGAAGTTTGAGGGCTGTAGGTCAAAAGGAACTCTAGTTATCATCCGGAAACGAGAAATTGACCAACGGTCACTGTGACCTTGACCTTTGAACTACTGACCCCAAAAACAATAGGGATCATCTGCTCAATAAGACCAATCATCCTATGAAGTTTGAGGTCTGTAGGTCTAAAGGAACTCTAGTTATCATCCGGAAACGAGAAATTGACCAACGGTCAGTGTGACCTTGACCTTTGACCTACTGACCCCAAAAACAATAGGGATCATCAGCTCTATATGACCAATCATCCTATGAAGTTTGAGGGCTGTAGGTCAAAAGGAACTCTAGTTATCGTCCGGAAACGAAGAATGGACGGACGGACTGACTGACGGACGGACTGACGGACGGACGGACAGGGCAAAAACAATATGTCTCCCCCCGAGGTGGGGGAGACATAATAAAAGGGGATTACATTCTATAATAACTTTTTTTTTTATAAAAATGACAGTTTTTCCACAAATCTGTATACACCATGTTCTGCACCAGATATTCTTTAAATCCCATCAGACATACATTATCTTTACTCCTGAAAACAATCTTCCTTACAAGGCAACATAGAGCACACATCAACCTATCAGACAGTGTTAATATTAACCATTTAACCTTTAGAAATACAACAGAAGCTGTGTTCATAAGCAAAACTCTGAGGAACCATGTCTAGATATAGGTTTCCTTTACAGTACATCTGTTTATCAACATCTTATCTTCAATCATACAAGCATTAAGAATGACAAGAATCATGATGCCATATATTGTTCATTTACAGGTTAATCTCATCATACTATATCTGTAAACATTACATTCCTACTTCATATAACCTAAGAGCACTTTCTGTGCTAACATGTAAGATAAAACATAATTGATTAATTAACAACATTATAACAGTAATTGTATCTTGCAGATGACTTTTACATTAACTTTAATTGATGCCTGATGACACGAAATGTCTACTTAAGTACTGACATATGAAAATGTCACTGCAGCATTAAACTAACACCATACAATTACTCTAATAACTGTAAAAGACGGTTACATCTCCCTGCAGAATAACAAAATAAATGGCTAAAATAATGGTAACCTTTCAAATAGAAACAGTAAATAATACCAAATGAAAAGGTTATCCCACTATCCTGTCTAGATTAGAATCTCTACCAGGGGACTTTAACATACACAACAATCTGTTGATTTTACCACTGACATTCAATTAGTAACTTCCAAGCACAATTTATGGTTACAGTTCCGCCAATTATTCAATCCCTGACTGGTTTTTCAGTCTCAGATATAAAATATATGCGCCATCAATTGGCAGTATCTCTGTCAAAAACTGCCCTGTAATTATAACCTAACAAGCAATCCTCAATAATGAACTTATCCTTACATGTTTACTGATAGTAACTGACAAGTTCTCCAATTTCTTACAAACATTTTTAGTTTGTAACACAAAGGTGCAAATGCATCAGAAAAGAAACTTCCAAGGCTGGGATTCAAATTTGTGACCTGCTTACAAGTCAAACTGACAATGCTCTAGACCACTGAGCCAAAGAATACAATCCCTGAGGCACTTGTCAGAGGTTGTGCTTATAGTTATGACGGTAAAGCAAACTCAACCATATCAAAATGATTATAAGTTACAGACAACTTCCCCACATGGATTACATAGGGAAAGAAGGCAGCAGAGGACAAAGTTGATTGCATTATAACATAATATGTTTAACTATAAATAAATCATTGGCCATCCATACTCACAAAGGTATGACTGGTTAATATTCTCCAAACATTATGAAGCTGACAGTTGTGGTTATGTATATGTCACCAGTAAGTTGTGTTTTTATGTCATCAGTAAAATATAAGAAAAATAATTATTTCCTTTTTTTCTGGAGAATACTGAGGAAGTTTAAATTACTCCCATTTAGCACAATTTGTGATGTAATTCTTCTATCTATCTTTCAGAAACATACATCAATTATTATTTCAGTATCAATCATGATGTGCCACCTATAATTAATATTATATTCACCTTGAAGTGTGAAAGACATTGGTTTGACAACACTAATTTAATTACCTGTATAATATGAGATATAAGTTGCACCAGTAAAACATAGGCTGTCATCAGTGACCCAAACGTGTACACTGCAATATAGTCCTTGATGGTATCTAGCTGTACCAGCAGGGTGAATATACCAGCCAGCAGGAATGGTACCACAAACAACACAACCTGGTTGATGTACACATAGACCGGAGCTTCATAGCCGATCCGAAGTTTGAGACCACCAAGGATTGTCTGCGGTAAACGTTTGGTGAAAAACTCAAGTTTATATTCATTGAGAAGTGGGACACCGGTACCCATGATGTATGTTATCCACTGTTTATGTCCTGAAATTATAAAACATTTATTAATATATGTATATAATTTTACGTCTGCCACTAATGCTGGCATTAAATTGAGAAGATTGAAAGAATTTAAGATAATATACAATATTAAATTAAAATGTGAAATTTTATAGGCTTAAGTTGTACATCACCAGGCAATAAAATCACCTGCAAAATATAAAACTTAAGGAATATTTAAATAATTCATGAAATCTACAAATATTCCATTTTCAAGTAAGTTTTCACAAGTTACATTTTTATATAAATAGCACTGGACTTATAATTTACCATATTTATACCATGTTATTTACAGAGTGGTGGTTGCTTCTTTAATATTTTAAATATCACTTGTAATTACTGTAGATAGTAAGAGCATTAGGTCTAATCCAATCACAGTATTTCTATTCTTCACATCATTTTTGACTAATTACAACATTTTTATTTTTTCATTAAAGTCTACTGGTGTGCTCTTTTAATAAAAACTGTGGCAAAAATGATTGTTGAAAACTGAACATAACTCTTTGAACATGTTTAATATTTTGAACATTTATAACTTAATACCATAAAACATCAGAACAATTCCTGTAGGGAGACTTTAGAACCATGTTTAGATACAATAAAGATATGCAACAAAAGCTTCGCAGTAAAGACTTAATCAATAAATTCTACAGTGAACTACAAATTAAATTTGTTTCTGAATTTAGAACAAATTACTGATTAAGCTAGAATGGAACTAGTTATTTTTCCAGTTTATTGCACTCTAGATAATTAAAGTGTTCCTCCAGGTGACATGTATAGGTGGAAATATAATTATAATATCATGTGATGAGTCATACACAGATGCAATTATCGTGAGCATTTAAAAGTCACCTATCAATAGCTGTACATGTCACAAAGTTACCTTGATTTATTATTCATTAGTACTGAAAACCTTGATGACTCAAAATTGAAGGGAATGTCAGATATCACATCTAGCCTTATTGTGTCAAAGTAAACAGAAATTCTTGCATATCAGACTGGTGTTTCTGTTAGTTTAAACATGCCGGAAATTTCGCTGGCATAGCCGGTGCCAGATTAGTTGCGAGCTATACAATGGCATGTGTAGGATGACGTTATTTTACCATTATTAATGAAGTTGTAATTTCATACGCTGTTGTAAGAAAATAGTTACGGGTGTAATGACATAAATTTCCATAGAAAATTGGTTTTATTAAGAATATAATGGAATATGGTAGAATATGCAAGAAAAAATATTGACATATTTTTGCGATTCAGATCAGAATATCTGTCCCTCCCAAGGGACTGATATTCCAATCTGAACTGCAACATATGACAGATATTATTAATCTGCTATTAAAGTACCAGACAATTTTTTTCCTATGGAAAAAAGAAATAAATGTCACCTTTATTAACTATATGGTTAACCAGTTACCTGCTGGAAGTGATTAGGATAGAGTCATACCAGCCTATGACCAGGCTCTACTAAAACTTTTCATTGTGATATCCCCAAAAATTGATTATGAGCAGTTCCAAAATAAGAACTGGGCAAGTCCATTGTACAAACTATGCGGATGAAGGGTTACCTTGAAATATTTCTCCAGCGTTGTCTTATAATGAATCTAGGACATTATTGAATAATATCCATATTTGATGATGCACATAAAATGCTCAATCTGTCAAAATGAACACGCTGCAAAGCCTTAAAGGTGTGTAAGATTATCATGGATATTAACAGCAATGTTTCTTCTATTATAGATAAAACATAAACAAACCTTGACTTATACGATAGTTGAGTCCATGTTTACGTCTGCTACGATGTATAGAGCCATAAAAGTTGTATTCTTCGTAACAATCGTCATGTAAACCTCGTAAACATCTTCTCTGCTCTGAAATTATAACACATTATTATAATATAGGTGCCGTTGTTTGAGTTAAAATACATGATAAAAATCTGGAAACAAAGTGATCCCTATGAAGCATTAATCACAACAAAATTACATGAAAATTGCAGACTTGGTTGGATTGAGTCTGTACATCTGTGTAGAAATTATAATGTCTTTTTAATATAATTTTGAAAATACAAGAAAGTAAATTCAGGCAATCTAACAACAGTTCTTAAGTCATTCAGTTGTGCAAAGAAGATAATATTCAATTTGATAAAACAATGCTGGCATTCTACTCATACCTAAAATTGGGCTGATCGAAAAATAAACTAACAACAAAATTACAAACACCATCTTATTTATTATTTCTATGTTCCAGACATCCAATCTTGTTACTGAGCTTAAAGATAATTAAAACATAATCAAACTTTCCTTTTAATATGAATAATTCATACAAACATTTTACTTCAAAATCAATAAATGATTATTCATGAGGCTTATTAGAATGAACAAATCATCTTATAAATAATGTAAACTTAAATAACATGTAATGACTCCGTATTAAATCAAGCAATAAAATTACTTATTTAAAGCTTCTCTTCCACACAAAACAGGTCTAAAAACATCAACAAGCGCACAAATTTTCTACCCACAACCAACAAATATGCTTGCAACCTCATTAACAGGTGTGTTTATAATTTAAGTCAATATTGACAAAATAAAACATTGCAACGGTTTGAAATTACAGCATGATAAACATTGCAAAAACTGTACATAGATGTTGTTTCAGCAGACAAGACAGGAATTAATCATCTAGTTTCATATAAATGTACAAGCCTGTGGTGAATTTTTTTCTTTTGATGACGTCTTTTTTTTCAAAATCACCAAAACTACAATGTGTGGGATAGCAGCTTTAACGGATAAGTTGAACAAAGAAAATATTTCAGATATTCATTTATTCTACGATATTTGCAAGCTTTTTTTACATAAACCAATCAAGATACAAATTAGTTTGGCAAAAAAAAAAAATGACAGCAAAAAATGGCAGCAATATAATGAATATTTATGACAACTGAGGAAGTAATTATTATGAGTATGTATCAATCATAGATAAAGTGACACTATAATGGTTCCTATAATTCCCCTGTTATGTATATCATCACTGACAAATCTTTTCTCTAGTTGTTCAATAATATATGCTTAATATTTCAGAGCAACAAGACTGATGTTCTAATGGTAATAACCCTATCTGACAACAAACAACTGGGATGGTCATTATAGTGTATCCTATATATAGTAGTGTAACACGAGGACTGAGGAGGCACAGACAGACAAACAACCAGACAGATGACAACGCCATACCAGAATAAATCCCCATGGCAAAGACAATCATGTCTTCAACAAAATATTTAAAGGACTGATATTTAATAAGATTTGAATAAGAAGTTTGTTACTATGATGGTATTTACTTTGTTATCGGACATAATGTATCGTGCTAATGTTAACATGCAGTTGTCATAGAAGCTGCCATGATAAAATGTGTATTCCTCTTACTAGATTTATAACAAGCATTATCTCTGAAAGTATAATGTCAGTACAGTAAATGGCATCTCTCTAAGGTACTGTCTACTCCATTTTATAATCAAATACATTTATCTATATTGAAGGATTAATGCCATATTTCAATTTAAGCTGCAGCAGTAGTATCATTCCAGGATACTTACTTTCACATAAATTCTCTTAATAAATCCCTTTCTGAAATCACATCTCCCTTGAGAGATTGCAAACTTTATAAAGTAATACTGATAGATTTCTCCAACCTGAATGTTCTCATATATTTTACTCTCCAACATAAAACATGAAGAAATCTTCTGACACTGATTATAGATAAGTACAGAAGGAAGGATTTATATCACTCTTCTTTCTCATATTTCCTAACGTTCTAATTGATTCCCAACCATTAAAAGAATACTGGTGATTCCCTTACATTTGACAAAAATATGCCCAATAAGCTGAAACACATTTCTGTGACACATGTGAAGTAATAAATTCTGAATTTAAAAATTTCTTAGGAGGATTAAAGTTGAATCTGTGATGTGATTTCCTTGACAGCAACATATAACCAAAACACGCAAATGTTCATGAAACTGATTTGACACATACAAATGTATTTTTTTGGTAAAACAGAAAAAATATATTATTTAACTACATATGTTCAGTTTCAGAAATCAATGACTTCAAATAACAGGGCTGGCCATTACTAACTATGGTAGAAAAATAAACTCTTGAACTGTATATTATTAACCTTTATCTTGATTTTTATGTATGATATACAAATACTTGCTTTGACTGGTAGTTTTTAGATTAGGATGATCCCATTAGGAAATTAAAGATAATCAAGGAGACATTGTGATATAAGAGTCTGGTCAGACTATTGGCTAGTTTATCTCTTTACTGTTGCCATAGATATGTCATTATTACTGTGGTACATGTAGGTTAAAACTGGTACCAAAAAAATTGTCCCAGGATAGAAAGTTAATGTAAAACACAATTATTTTTCATCATTCAATGTCAAATAAAATAGTTCTATTCTTGACAAACCAACTTATCTAATGAATTCTTTCCAAATTCTGAAAATGTGTAAACCCTTTAAGCATGCTGCATCCATGCAACCAGAGTCATCTGATCATGGACTCAATTGCACTGATTGCTATTCAATATTTTGAAATTTTCCCTAAAAATGATGAATGGTTTTGTCCAGAATGAAAAATAGACATATTTAGCAGGGTTAGGGTTTAACACAGTAACCTGATAATCTGTAGACTCAGATCAAATATACATGACTATAACAGTTAATTATTTATAGAACAATTTGGTCAGAGAAGATACTTATTTTGTAAGGTAAGCATTGTCCTGATTGTATGAATGTCAGGGACCAGGAGATGTGTGATTGAAAGGCTGGGTTTGATGATTTCTGAAGACAAAAATGTTTATATAAAAGTCTGTATTCAATGCTATACGTGTTGTTTTATCTAATAATAGAATGAAAGAGGATATTTTATACCTGGTTACAGTATATCAGTATATCTATTACCAAGACTGTCTCTAGGTAATGAAAGTAATAATAGAGTATTGATATCTCCTTCAAACTGACAAAAACCTCCTAATTCACTACAAACTTCTTCCTTTATCTGTCACATTTCCCACAATTCCACAGTCTTCCCACATGAGACAATCTAATTTATATGTGTGAAATAGTCGTATTTCATTACAGTCTCCATAGATAAATGAATTAGGCTCTAAAATTCTAGAACTTTACTTTGTTTATCAGGCAAATATCTCATAAATTTGTCATATATAAGCAAAATATCCTAAAATCAGAAGTAAAGATGGTCAGCCTGTAATACTTCTCAATACTTGTCAACGTACATGTTCACGTCAATATTAACAAAACATTCTATATTTGTATTTTTTATTGAATGTAATTTATTTTGAAAACGTTGATAAAATATTGTTTGTTTATTTCATTTCACTTTATATTTTTCAAGTAAAATACAAAATATTTATAATGAAATAAATGTGAAATTTAACTTGTTTGCGACATTAAAATAGCACTCTGGATTTGATTGTTTTGCATGTGCTGTTTAGCGCTACATTGTGACGTCACGTAAACAGCACTTTAAACGTCTGTTCAGTGTTGAATTAAAGTTATTAGTGTTCGGATTCATTTTCTTAGTTAGACCATTTTCTTTCATTCTAGATAGTTTTCACAACAAAATTCGACAAAAAATTGTTTTTTATTTATCAGATTTTTCAAACAAAAATGGCGTTGTCAATGTGTCTGTTTGAAAATACACAGGGAGGTAATAAGAACGGCGAGTGCATTGTTGTAGAATAATACACGTTTCTGGCCTTCTTTGTTTATATAGAAAAATTTCCGAGAGTGTTAGAATGTAATTTAATGTATCTCATATGCACTGTAAAATATGAACTAAGGAACTTTTCAAGAGGCTACATTATAACAAACAAATGCTGTTGTTTGTTTTCTTCTCATTTGAGGCATTGTTATTTTGAAGCCATATAAAACTAAACATTCTGTTACTATGGTACAAGAATAATTTGATATTTCCCCCAGAAGTAACAAATGCCTCCTAGCCAGATATAAACTTTGATTTACAAGAACCTGTACAGACAAGATCACTATCTCTGGAGAGGACTCTGTCAACCAAAAGTTATATGTCTGTTATATCATACAAATATATCATACATACACCATATGTACTAAACTATTCACACAGATATGATACATACATCATAAACTAAACTTTTTTCATGGAAAAAATATATTATATTACAATACATGTATAAACCCCAGCCATCCGTGTAACGGCCAATGCAAGTTAATATTAATATTCTTATCCTGAAAAAGTTCACATGTAACTAATAGGTTTATATTATAACATGTGACATAAACATTACTATAAAAGTGAGGACTTATAAACAACAAAGGCAATTTGGGATCAGTAAAAAAAAATTATTAATTTCATCTCTTTCTTCTGGCACCAAGCTAATGAACTGAAACCTCTGAATGTGGACTGTGTTTGAGGAATGCCTGATTAACTTTACCTTAAATATAACGGAACAAAGACGACCTTAGACCATCAATAATGTAATCAGGTGGACTGTAAGAGAGGAAGATATATAATGATACATCTAGGTTCAATGATGGAATACAAATGAACTAGCACTCTGTAATTTCAGTGTGACACATACTTATTTCAGTCCAGCAAAAATGTACTTAGGCAATATCTGGCTGCTAGAAATGAGATAGACAATCTGAAATGATATAGACATTAAATGTAGGAGCCTCGTTAGATTTTACATTATGTTCTATCTATAAATCACAAAATGATTGAGCATCGTCAAGTATATTTTAAGTTGGTTAATAGAGAAATTATTCTAGTTTGATTGTATAGGAAACTATAAGCTTATAGACACACTTTCAAATCCATGATTCCTGCTGTAAGCAACGATTGTAAAGTTTCTTGCTCAAGGAAACAACGACTTGCCACTGAACCCCAAGCAGCTAGCAATCATTAGATACATTTACCACTCTGTCATGCCGTCACTAAATATTAAGATGTTTAAAGGAATATGCTACTTTATTTCTCATTCATTTAAATATGGTATGATAAAAGAGTAACTTTTAAGTACCGTATTTATCTTCAGCAATAAAAAGATCTAGGATTACTTTCTGTATCTTTTAATCTTCAGTTATATTAAAATATGTTTCATAGTGTTGTTTTTTTTTTAATTTGAGGGTGCTGTGCTTTAGGGCAAATTTAAATAACAATTTAAATTTTGTGATATTGTGTTTCAGTCTCCTACAGTTTAAATGACAATGGCTCAGACAGGAATCTGTTGTACATTAAAATATTCCTGTCTAGAATGTTGTTTAATTGAAATGAAACTGTTTTCATGGGTATAAAATATCACTGATAATGTAATTCTGAAAATTGTTGTTGATTTGTTCATTTTATATCATGTACTTTTTTCTCCTGTTTTCATTTCTAAAGTTTCTTAATTGCCCTTTTTAAGAGGAATAAAGGTAATAAAGTGTTGTTTACTTGATTTAGAAAGCAGCAATACTTTCTAGCAATTGGGTGATTTGTATCATCTAGGGACTTGTATTTCATTCACCATTAAAACATCCAAAAACATTGGCAACAGACAAATAAAATAAATTGTTATTGTTGTACTAATACTGATCACAGATTAAAGACAATCCAGACATCATAATTCCCCTGGTATGTAACAGCCATTATATCTTTTAGTGATGGCGTGGATGATAACAGACCTCTATCATAAATACAGTTACTGCACATCTGTGCATTGCTGGCAGAAACAGTAAACATTTTCATGTAAAACTAATTAGAATTGTTTAAATTTACTCTATTAATATTACAGAAAAATTGTTCAAGGATCATGAGCTTGAGCTTTTTTTCATACAGAAATAAAGAAGAAAACTGTTTCATATGATTTATTTTAAAAAAAAATAGGGGGAAAATATATACATGTACTTTTTAAGGGAAAATTGTGCCGAACTTCAGCACCAAAATTTGTTAATGGAGAGTCCTGTAAAAATAAATCAGGAGTTCGGCACCAAAATTTGTTAATGGAGAGTCCTGTAAAAATAAATCATTCATTGGAATGTTATAAAAAATAATTTTCACCAATATCTACTATATCTTACCATAACGCTACAGAACAGACAGTCAGACAGACACACTTTAATAAGATCTCTTGTTGCAATCAGACATAAACACAGATTTATTTTTTCTAGGAATTATTTTCTCTTTTATTCCAGTCTGAGATGAGATAAATATTGACAATATTTGAGGATGATAAACAACTCTGAGTTCAATGACAGTAAGACATCACATTATATTCATACCATAGCTTGAAAGTAAACAAAATAATGTCTGAAATTATTTGAAAATAAATACAGTTGTATAGAATAGTCTGACATAGAAGCTTTGCTACATTGTAGTTGGGGAAAAAAAAACCAAAAAACACAAATAATATGTTAATCATTCAACTTAATGTAAATATAATTTTTCAAAAACATTTTTTCTAAAGCTGTATAAATTCATTAACAGAATTGAATACTTAATTAAAAACCTTAATGCATGATTTTATAATATTAAATACCTTTTCTTGAAGACCTGTCAACTCCACTCAATCTTTCCAAATTTAGCGCCATTTTGAACAAACAAAATCAGTCAAATCCACCAGAGGAATATTCAAAGTTTGAATAAATCTATCTTATACATAATTTTTTTTTACCAATGTATACGAAAACACAAGTATGTTTATTATCCAGGAATGAATAGTAAAAGTTCTAATCTATCATGTTTGAGCAGGAAATCAAATATTCATTTAGATTTGTCCTCCGAGTACAGTTGATAATATTGTAACTAACGTACATGCTCCAATAACTATTCCATCATTCCTTGATTTGACAGAAATTCAATTACATTTGTAACCTTTTAACATTCAATATAATTTGAAAATCTCTATTATTCTATCAAGTAACAAAATCATTCTGCATCCTGGTACTTCAAGAAAACACAATGTTTATTGGAAAATCAATTTTAATCATCAGTGTAAATTTGACTTGCAAATTGCATGAGAATCTTGTCTAACACTGGCAGCAGAAAAACAGAAATTTGTTATTCCAATTGGCAATGGATTATTTACTGAATATAAAAACCTTTCCTGGCACAACAAGGCTGTTACATCACGATTGGAAGAGTAAGGCTAGCCGCAAAATTTCCAATAAATCAATACATACTGTTATAGGAATGTTACAGTAGCTATATCATAATACAGGAAATCTTGGATAACGTTTTACAATTCAAGCAAAACTTTGTCATACTATCACCATTCTAATGTTTCTAAACTAAATCAGTGTCCCTAAAACTCAATTAGTGTCTCTAAAACTATATCAGTGTTGCTAAAACTATATCAGTGTTGCTAAAACTATACCAGTGTTTCTAAAATAAATCAGTGTCCCTTAAACTAAATCATAGTTTCTTAATCTAAATCAATCCAACACAAAATCACTGTTTTTTTTACACTAAATTAGTGTTTCTTAACCTATATCAGTGTTTCTAAAATTTATCAGTGTCTCTAAAACTAAATCATAGTTTCTTATACAAATGATAATGAATTTTTCCAACACTAAGTCCTTGTTTCTGCAACTTAACATAAATATTAATGTCCAAAGACTTCTAAATCTCAAATCACTATTTTCTAAAACTGACTCACACTTTCTAAAACTAAATCAGTGTTTCCAAAACTTAATCACTGTGGTTATACCTAAATAAAAGTTATATCACTTTGGCTAAAATCAATGCTTCTTCAACTATTTCATTGTCTAAAACTAAATCACTATTTTCCAACACTAAATCAATGTTTATACATGTACATGCTATAAATTAAAAGCTTCTGTTATCCCAAAGCAATCAATTAAATTACCTTAATTATGGTAAACTGAGAAGTACGGGAAAGTGTTTCCTGAAAATCAATGTTTCTATTTTGTTTAATACATGTTTATGATTCCTTTTACTTTTTATACAATATCAAAGTGCCAGAAGGGGGCAAACATTGATTTTATAAATGGCATGTTGTACAAAGCTGTGCATTCACATAACATTTTTCTTTAATTCTACATCACTACCTGTTTGGTTATTAGATTTAATTTAGTCATGTTCAACCTTTATTCATACTAAGGCGAAATATTCATGAATTAATGTTTTTACAATTGATAGCATTTAATATCACATGACTGAATAACCCCGTCACAACCAGAACCTTACAATTAACAACAAATCACAATTGTTATACTCTCTGTGCTTTGTTAGGGTATTATCTTGAACATTAATCTGCAGTTCCAAGCAACACATTTGTCTTGTCTGATTATTAAACACTACTAATAGTTCATCATTCATTATGATACATAATAACTTTATTCTGAAGCTTTAAAACAATGGCTTCAGGCCATCATTACAAATACTTTGGTTTACAGTTGTGTTACCTATATTTACCCATTTAAAAGAACTCATTTTTTTTGGCCCCTTTAGAAACCAAATGTTTTGCACTAACAGTGTTAAACAAATGACAAAATTTACACACATATATTTAAACATGTGCAATGAATGTCATGTTACACTGGGTGGGGAAATGACCTTGCCCTTTGACCCCATGCCCTCTTAGTGGGTCTGTCAGGTAGAATTATAAAGGTGCATGCACCTGTGAAGTTTGGAGGTTGTAGGCAGGACTTTTTGTTTATGGTCAAGGTTACAATTTTGTGACAAACAGAGAGACCAAACTTCCAATCTACCGATCTAGGAGCATAGTAAGCAAATAAGATAACTACCATCTGAAAGAGTAGCCAGTAGCCCAATTGCAAACAAAAAATTAATAATGGCCTCAGCTCTCATATAATACATTTTTTTTTTAAGTTTGTTTTTTTACTGGCAAGAGTTCAGCCCTAAGCTGTGACATCCATAAAAGGCTTTTAAGCCAAATATAGTGAAGTTCTGTGCAATGTCTATTGGGTAAATCCCATCAAATTTTAAAGCTAACCTGTATTTCAGGTTCAGTTCAGTTCTTATATACATTGTACAATGTTCAATGCTCTAGTTTGTAAAAGGCAACTGGGTAGGTTAAGATTAAAAAGATGATGCACTTTCGAAGAAGCAACCATTTCCAGCAACTTAATTCTTGGACAAAAACATGCTGGTGTAAACCTACTTTCAGGCTAACTTAATTTTGTAAGTTTGGCATCTTATCAAGTTATAAAATATAAACAGCTTTAACAACAAGAGAAACATTATTTGTAACCCTGTAATCAATCATATAACTGTCATCTTCTCCAACTCTTTCATCAATAACACAAATCACAGACATATTTCAAATAGACAGGAACATTCCTTCCTTTATAATAATAAAAGAGCTTGCCAAGATGTCAGCTAATTCTACTTCTCTATAATATTACAGCTGATATTGACAATATATTATTGTCAAATATGTAAAGTTACTCACTTTTCTTCAGAAATGAAACTTCGTTCTCATTCTAAAATTGGATCATTTTTTTTTCCATTTTATAATGAATTGATTTTCTTCAACACTTTCCGGAACAAGTTTAGATTACGGTACCACTTTGGGAACTGGACCTGAAGGTCCATCTTTTGGAAAAAGGACCAGGTCCACTAATTTAAGTGTCTGGAAACCTAAGTTCACCAGAAAAGAACTACTAGGTTCATCATTTTCAGATAGGACCAGAATGCACTAAAGACTCACTTTTGCCATACTTATTCTGAATGAAAGGTGAAGGTCACAATGATCTTTATTAATTCTTTCGATCAAGTTTTTGTTTCTGGTCTAATACTTTAATTACCGGTAGGACATTGAAGATCAGTATGTGGATGCATCTTGATGAATTATGCCCATTTCCGAATCAAAGGTCAAGGTCAATATAACCTTCATTTTACTAATTGTTCTTTAATGCTTAGTTAACATCGTAAAACAAGAAGTTGTATATTCAGATTAAACAGATGTTTTTTCCCTTACAGCTTATTCAAACTAATTTAAGAAATGGAAAACCTACAAGGAATATATTTCTATCAAGAAAATAATTTGCGACATTGATTTTGATTATGACTAGTTCATTATCATGGGAATAGTAACTGAGGTTGGGAGAAATAAATGCAGACAAAGATTACATATCTCCACAACTGCAGACTTTACAATATGTTTTACGGAGACTGAGTGAACATTTCCACTACAAGATTGTTTGTATGAAACTTTCTATAATTTAACAAAGAATGAACTTTTCTATCTCCGCTGGAAATGAATATCTGCATCATTCACTTGTAGTCCTGCTGCATTTTTCTAATGTATTTTTTGTGTGCAGCACTACCATTTCTTGAAATTATCATTGTCAAATACAATTGTCTTTGTTGTTTTTCTTTGCTTTGAATGACTGTTATTTTTCAATAAAAAAGATATGCATGTGTCTCTATTAGTTTATTTTGAAGTAATATTGATTTGTGTGTGGCGAACTGTGCCATCTATTGCTGATGTTCTTTTGTACTTGCAGTGTATTTAATTACAGACAAAAGTGACCTGTGAAAAACATTTATCACCTTACATAAGAAAAAGAATTAATAATAATTTCTTTTTAGTAACATGTGATATTTCTTAGTGCCATTTCTAGAATTTTTCTTAGGGGAAGCAGCCCTTTAACAGCCCCTACTATAGAAAGAAAAAAAGCCCTGGATCAATTCAGGGAATTCAGGGCCAGGAAGATAGAGCTTATATAACTTTTAAATTCAGGGCCAGGAAGATGGCTATATAACTTTTGAATTCAGGGCCAGGAAGATGGCTATATAACTATTGAATTCAGGGCCAGGAAGATGGCTATATAACTTTTGAATTCAGGGCCAGGAAGATGGCTATATAACTATTGAATTCAGGGCCAGGAAGATGGCTATATAACTATTGAATTCAGGGCCAGGAAGATAGAGCTTATATAACTATTGAATTCAGGGCCAGGAAGATGGCTATATAACTATTGAATTCAGGGCCAGGAAGATAGAGCTTATATAACTATTGAATTCAGGGCCAGAAAGATGGCTATATAACTATTGAATTCAGGGCCAGGAAGATGGCTATATAACTATTGAATTCAGGGCCAGGAAGATGGCTATATAACTATTGAATTCAGGGCCAGGAAGATAGAGCTTATATAACTATTGAATTCAGGGCCAGGAAGATGGCTATATAACTATTGAATTATTACTATGACTCTCTGGACTGGTGTCCAACTTTTTATTGTTTATTTTGAATTGTAATACAAGGGTTTTTTCCTGAAAATTGTTATTTTTCGTGTCTTTTTCCCCCCTACTGAGAGGCTAGGCCAAAATAGACAAATGTTGCGTAAGAAATACCATAGCATCTAAAAAAACTAAACATCACCAATGAAAATCCCATCCAAATCTATTTCATACCATAGCTACATGAAAAAATATAAAACTATTTTATTCGTCACTGCATACAAACTTTACCCAGAATACTTTAATTTTATTATAGAGCGACAATCTTTTAAACAATAAAAGTTAAGTGTTCTGATTAAGGTATAAATTTTGTTATGAAGGCATGACTTTTCTTCGTGTAGCTTTGGTAGGGGATAATATCAGAACAAAATGTTTTATCCCTGTGCAAATGGTGACAAGGTCTGAAGGTTAATCATTCCAGTGGAAAATTGTCCCAGGGAAATATATTAGTAATTAGGGTTGGATACTGATAAAAGTATCAGTATTTTAAACGGTAATTTCAAAATTAAAAGGAAAGATTATATATAAAAAATACAAAGGAAAACAAATAAAATCAATGATTATTTACGTCAATAATATCACAAAAAGAATGCGAAATGGCTATGGTCTGAATGTTTGTAATCCAAGTAAAGGGAAATCACTACCGTTCCCAGTAGAGGTGATATTGGTATTTATGAAAACCTTTACTAACAACATGCTGCATATATTCAAATACTTGATACAGCATTTGTTGATCACTTTTTGATGTATTAGTCCCCTGCGCATTTCTATGGGAACCATAATAGGGCAGAGAATTAGAATAAACAGAACCAGTGCATAAAATACCAAATGGGCCTTGGCATTTTTTGGAAAATTTAAAACAAAAATGAATGTCAACATCATGGTGGCTCTAGAATGATAATTTGATAATATAACATATCAAAATGAGATTACTATAGAAATAATGAGTACATTATGAATAATGCTGCTCAAACAACCTAAAAAGTATCCAGTATCGATAAAATACTGTATCGTTTCACAAGTACCAGTATCGTATCGTTTCGTTCGTAATGATATCCATCCCTATTTGTAATACGGGGAAGACAAAACCTAGGGCCGCAAAGCAGGTCGGGCTTTGGCTTGTCCAGCTTAAGACAACACATGTCTATTTAAAAGGAAATTAAAAAAAAAAATATGAAAATGAAATTTATTTTCAGCATCATTTCATGTGGGGCCATAACGCAATGATAATCGGCGATAATTCTCATAACAGACCAATAGAAACTTTTCGACTTACAAGACATAAAACAATTATAGCTGAGGTGTTCTGATTAAAAACATGTGTCACGGTTCAGAACTATTCACTATTTAGGGAAGAAGAGGTGTAAGCGGTCGGATAGCTCAGTCGGTAGAGCCGGGTTGTGGTATTCCTTGGGTCCCAGGTTTGAGTCTCGGTCAGGCTGCACATTTTTCTCATCTGGTTCCCTATCGTATTATGGTTCCCATTCAAGATAAAGTGCGCTGGGGACCAGTCTAAATGGAAGCAGAAATAAAATACTGAATGACTTTTTTAAAATGGAAAATGTAAAATAAAAAAATGATTGAATATTTTTATTTGGCTTTCAGGTTCATAGGCTTTGCCTATTTTCATATAAGTCAGTAGTTGTTTGGATTTGTTTGAATGCAGTGCCAGCGTTTTTTTCCTCTACTTAGGGAATAGTGCCGGTACCAGACTGATTGGGAAAAATATGCGTTATTTTGACTTAAATTGGGAATTTTTTTATATGCATTTTTCAGCTACAAACAAGATTAGTCATCATGAATAAAGATAGCTAACAGCTTCCATTGTCCAGGTAGAACTATTGAGTGGTGAATTATAGCGAGCTCGACGAGCTGGCCCAAAGGGCCTGCTCGCAAAGCGTAATGCGAACTTTTGTCCGAAGTACCGAATTGACACATCGCAACTTTTCGATTTACAAGATAACGATAAAAGCCGATGTACTCTGATTGAAAACGGAAGCGTAGACTGGTGTCCTGCGCACTTATATAGGAACCATAATACAAAGGGGGAACCAGAATAAACGGAAGCAGTGCATAAAATACCGAATGACAAATTTTAAACAGAAAATGTAAAATAAAAAATGTACCATTATTTTATACTATTTCATGGTAAAAGTAAATCAAGCTTGCTTTGAGGCTTTGCCTTTTTCATATATGTTGAATGTAAATTTCAGATAAATCACTTGGCCTTGTTAAACAGCCATTTTGGGAATTAAAACATTAGAAATAGGGAATTTTAATGTCTATTTTCTATTGGGAACAGTACCCTTTAAGGGTAGTAGTTATATACAGAAAAAAACACTGTGCACTAACGTTTTAAATGAATGACATAACAGTAAACAGGCAGTTGCAGTTGATATGCATGACATGACTAACTGACAAATTGACTCTATATTTTCAAGATGGAAGTGTGTTGTACAAATATGAATGCAGAATATAGTAGCTATTTTAATAAAAACTTCTTAATGGATTTTCTTTTTCAAACTTACCTTAAATCTAAGTGACAACTTAATTGTTTTTCATAAGATAAAACACAGTTGTTTACCTTGACACTGGTATGCTTGGTCACGTGACACAAATATGGTAGAAAGCATACAAAGCTGTTCTATATATTTTTGATTGATAGTTTCGAAGTCAGGCAGTACGAAAATTACAAATATTTTCAACTTACTATTTATTTAATATTATTGAGATATAAAATATATATTAAAAAATATATCGAGAATATAAATCTTTGACAATATTTTTGATTCGTTGACACGGCTGAAATATTAAATCAAAATGGCTGTCGCCGGAGTTTCAGTGGCGATTGAAGCTGTCCATGAAAATCAGATTCAAGAAGTTTCACTTGATGGCCATGAAATTTTAGTGCCGTAAGCGTCACCAAGTCTATTCTAAGATTTGAAACAAACTATGAAAACAATCTAGACGATTAAGATGTTAATGATAATTAAATACAAACACATTCTTTGTCATCACGATCTATCAGACGCTTATGATTAATAATATGAAATTAGGTGCTACGTATGGCGCGGAAGGCTTTTTAGGTTTTAATATCAAGCATAACATATTCTGTAATATGAAAAAGTCAAAGCCAAGCGAGGTCGATTTTCTTTTACCATAAAATAGCTTTAAATAATCGTTTTAAATTTACAGTTTCCGTTTTAAAATTGCCATTCAGTATTTTATACACTGCTTCCGTTTATTCTGGTTCCTCCTTTCTATTATGGTTCCCCCTTTCTATTATGGTTCCCAAATAAGTGCGCAGGACACCAGTCTACGCTTCCATTTTCATTCAGAGTACATCAGCTTTTATTGTTATCTTGTAATTTGAAAAGTTGTGATGCGGCCTGTTGCGATGTGTCAATTCGGACGAAAGTATTCAAAACCATCACCAGGTACTCGCGTTACCGTAAAGCTCGCTTTGCTCGTCGAGCTCACTATAATATGAAATTAGGCAAAACCTATAAACGGGGAAGTTGGTATTTTTACTTTACATTTTCCGTTTTAAAAGTGCCATTCGGTATTTTATACACTGCTTCCGTTTGTTCTAATTTCCCATCCAAGATGGCTGCCCATAATTCCTCGGCTTTGAGCATTATCTTGTAGGCCGAAAAGTTGTGATTTGTCAATTATCGGATTACTAGCCATTTATCATTTTTTGTTTTTCTTTTTAGCTCACCTGTCTCAAAATGACAAGGTGGGCTTTTGTGATCGCTTTTCGTTAGGCGTCCATTTGTCCGTAAATTTTTATTTTAAACAATATCTCCTCATAAACCACTAAGCCAATTTCATCCAAACTTCACAGGAATGTTCCTTTGGTGGTCACCTTTGAAAATTGTTTAAAGAATTTAATTCCATGCAAAACTCTGGTTGCCATGGCAACCAAAAGAAAAAACTTTAAATATCTTCTTCTAAAAAACCCAAAGAGCTAGAGCTTAGAAACATCTTCTAGTGAGTGTCTACCAAGTAAGGCTCCCACGTTTACAATTTTTTGTAAACGTTTACACGATTGCCAAGAAACGAAACGATACCGTTTAAACGGTGGTACCTCTGTACTATACACACCATGTATTTGAGTTTTACTTTCTATTTTTAATAAATGTACACATAAAGAATGTGCAGTTCTCATCACGATTGAGTCAGCACACATGTTCTGCATTTTATCCCCAATTTTTACCAAAAATGTATTATGTCACGGGCAATTTTGCACAGTAATGCTGTGTGGAGGGTTGTAAACACCCATTTTCCATTTTTTACTTTGGAATAAACTAGTAGAATTGATAAAATCCATGATCACAGGCAGTGATTATTAAATTTTGTAAGACAACATGGTCATTTCGATTAAACGGTAAAAAATATCGTAAACGTTTATGAATGAAAATCGAAACCAATTCTGTTTAAACGTGTAATCGCGGGGGCCTTTCTACCAAGGTTGTTCAAATAAAAGCCCTAGGGTCAAAATTGGCCCCTCCCCAGGGGGTCATTGATTTTCCCTATATGCATTTAGTAAAAACTTAAAAAATCTTCTTTTAAAGAACCCAAAGAGCTAGAGCTAAGATATTAAGCACGAAACATCTTCTAATGGGTGTCTACCAAGTTTGTTCAAATAAAAGCCCTGGGGTCAAAATTGGCCCCGCCCCAGGGGGTCATTGATTTTCCCTATATGCATATAGTAAAATCTTCTTTTAAAGAAGGCTAAGAGCTAGAGCTAAGATATTTGGCATGAAACATGTTCTAATGGATGTCAACCAAGTTCATTCAAATAAGAGCCCTGGGGTCAAAATTGGCCCCGCCCCGGGGGTCATTGATTTTCCTTATATGTGTATTGCAAAAACTTAAAAAATCTTCTTTGAAAAAACTCAAATAGCTAGAGTTTAGATACTAAACATGAAACATCTTCTAGTGAGTGTCTACCAAGTTTTTTCAAATAAAAGCCCTGGGGTCAAAATTGGCCGCGCCCCGGGGGTCATTGATTTTCCTTATATGTGTATAACAAAAACTTAAAAAATCTCCTTTGAAAAAACTCAAATAGCTAGAGTTTAGATATTAAGCACAAAGCATCTTCTAGTGAGTGTCTACAAAGTTTGTTCAAATAAAAGCCCTGGGGTCAAAATTGGCCCCGCCCCAGGGGACATTGGTTTTCCTTATATGTGTATAGCAAAAACTTAAAAATCTTCTTTGAAAAAACCTGAATAGCTAGAGTTAAGATATTGAGCATGAAACATTTTCTAGTAAGTGTCTACAGAGATTATTCAAATAAAAGCCCTGGGGTCAAAACTGGCCCTGCCCAAGGTGTGTCATTGTTTTTAACTATATGTGTAAAGAAAAAAACTTGAAAAAATCTTCTTTTATAAAACCCAACGAGCTCGACCTTAGATGTTTAGCATGAAACATCTTCTAATGGTTGTCTTCCAAGTTTGTTCAAATAAAAGCCCTGGGTTTAAACTGGCCCAGCTCTGGGGGCCTATATACAGGTGAGCGACTTCAGAGCCATCATGGCCCTCTTGTTAAATATACACATGTAGTCTATAGCCGGGCAAGCCAAAGCCCTGGGCAACTTCGCGGCCCCGGACTTTGACTTCCCCGTATTACCAGATTTTTCTTGCACTTTGTAAATAAGAGGTAAATGCAGGTATTTTATACCATATCCACAGAAACAAATAAATTGGTGATGTTCAACCAATCATCGGAGTGCTTCGAATATTTCTATTTATTTTCCATTAATGTCAAACCCCTCTCTGGGACATAGACATAACTCTAGACTTCAGATACTACAGTAAATGTACAAATGAATTGGTGGTGTTCAACCTATCATCAAATTGTTCAAGGTGTTTCCGAATACAACAATGAATATTTCATTCCATCCAGTGTTCGCGTTTACTGAGTAAACATATCAATTTACTCGCTAAAATTGCCAGGGAGGAAAGAAAAAAAGGGCTGTTGAGTCCCTGGGACGAAACACTTTTTCCCCGATAATTGGTCAATTCTCTCTTAAGTTTTTTTGCTCTGCTTGAAAATGATTTTCTATTCACTTTAAATAAATTGTATTATAAGAACTTGACTTTCACCTCATTTTCATTTGTTCCTTTCTCATTAGCAATGCAGATTTATATCCCAAATGTAGACTAGGAGCAAGTGCTCGGCCTCGTTTTGGGCCAACCTATCAATGGTATCCGCGAACATCAACAGTCACAAATTTGATTGTATTATGAAGTTATGCAAACATTGACATTTTTGTAATTGAGGACTCGTTCCATTTGAATTGGGACGTAACAGATCTATTAGCACTGAGTCCCAGGTACTCAGTAAAGTTAGGGAAAATCGCTAACACTGAAAAAATTTCCATCACATATTAAGAAATAGAATTGGCCTAAGCAGTGTTTACCGACTATTTAACACTGGTTTGGAGTTTTTATGCATGGGAATTGATTAATTGGTTAATTTTTTCACATCAGAACAACATACCAGTGTAAAATGCCCATTGAACACCACTCAAACCTATATTATTTTGATTCAAACATGACAAAATAAGTGATAATAATGCTATTTTTTTAAGCGGAGATTATTTCCGCTGCCGATTTTCATAATGAGCTGTTCTATTAAGCAACCTTCTACAGCTAAGACATAAAAACTTACTAAACAAAAAAATATTTCACCTTATTTTTCAAGAATTAATTAAATTATTTATCATTCTTTCAACAGTTTAAACTTACTTGTCAGACTGGCTTGTATTGTGCTCAAATAATCATTCATTCTTCATCCCCCACAATGACGTCATTCTGGCGCCTTTATGAGATATATACTTAGGATCATGTCATAATGTTGCTTTAAAATTGCCGTAATTTTTTTCTAATTTAAATAAAATTGTATCAACTGATACAGATAAAATCTGTGACATTAGTTTACATGAGATGTCAATTTAGCCTCATATGAAAAGAAATTTTATTAATAACGCAAAATATCGATAAAATATCGGCCAGAATAGGGCTGCTTCCCCAAAGAAAAATTCTTTAAAATCATGCAGTTTTCCCCAAAAATTGAATTTACATCAAGTTTTTTCTTCCCCTTTTGCAAATATACTGTGTAATTTTTCCCTAAAATTAAGGGCTGGTTCCCCAATCTGTGAAAAAAGCCCTGTAAAGTGTTTATCAGAATGTAATTTTAAAAGTTGAAAATTGTTTAATGATAGCTTTTTTACTTGCAGCCCACTGTCTATGTCAGAATGTCTGGCAAAGAGTGCACAGAAGATAGATTTTGGTGAAGAAGATGGTGAGGAGAAAGGGAAGACAACTTCAGAAGAAGATACTGAAGATAAAGAGAAAGAAGCGTCCACATTCCAGCCATCATTATGGCCCTGGGATAGTGTCAGGAACAAACTCAAGTATATCATACTCACACATAGCTGTCTTTATAATGTAACAAATTATACACTTTAGGATCAGTGAATGTTCCTTGTCTATCCACATTGTGTTATTTTGCCACATTTGTTTGTCAATATGTTTGTCCCAATAATTACTCAGATATTCAAATATGAATCCTCTCATATGAAAATCTAGGTTATAGAAAAACCATGTAAACACTATAGAAGCTACTGTTTCAGTCCAAATGTCCTGGAAACCTATCAAAAAACCTCTCCAACAAATTTTTTGATAGATTTCTAGCTCAAGTTTGAATACGGATCACCTTGGGTCAAAAAACTAAATCACACAGCCCAAAAATAGAAGAAAAACTTGCTTACATTAGCTCTATTTCAGATGCACAAATGAACATTTTGGTATCACTTTAAGTTATTTCTGCTTTTCATTCATAGTTAACAATATTAAGTGTTCCTTGTCATTAAGAGTCTTAATAATCAGGTGGGTGAGTGATATAAGGGACATCATGGCCCTCTTGTTTATAAAATCATGTTGGAATTGTTATTTGCTCTTAATTTTATTGTACATTGTATTGATAGGAATACCTTTTCATTTAGTGATGATTGATAGAATTGATCCTGAATATATTTTGTTAAACAAAGAAATCTGTATAGTGTCATTGTTTTAAGGAAACGTTTTTATGTGTTTTTGCAGGACAGCTTACACAGAGATGGGAGTGTTGTTAGATGTCCTTAATATTGCTAAAGAGAAGAAGTATATGGTGCTAGCACATGTTCAACAAGACACAACAGAACCCAAGTCAGCAACACAACTCCTTGCTAAGAAAAAGGTATCTAGTTACTGCTACAGTTTACATCTTATACAACAAGTTAATTGTGTGATTATTGTGTGTGTGTGATATTTGAGCCGCGTCACGACAAAACCAACATAGTGGGTTTGCGACCAGCATGGATCCAGACCAACCTGCACCTCTGTGCAGTCTGATCAGGATCCATGCTGTTCGCTTACCAACTCTATTACAAGTAGAGAAACTGATAGCGAATAGCATGGATCCTAATCAGACTGACGGATGCGCAGGCTGGTCTGGATCCATGCTGGTTGCAAACCCACTATGTTGGTTTTGTCGTGACACGGCTCAAAATTTTCTGCTTTTTTAACTTTGATATTGTGTTGTTACTTAGTAGCTAGATTAGTCCACCTTTTTACTCATTCTCTAAACATGTTACTTCAGAACTATTTTCTTTCTTCATTTTAACTTTGCTATTGCTTTACTTTATTATTATTTTCATATTATTTTTATCTCATGAAAATCAGTGCATTTAAGTTAAATTCAAAGTTTACATTATGATAATTAATGAACTCCAGTTTCTAAATTACGAAAATTAATCTTTCATTTTATAATGTCAGTCTTACTAAATTTGTCTGGAATAAAGTTGTGTGTAGCTGTACTTCTTTATGAAACATTCATTGTGAATAACTGATTAGTAATTTATAAATATAAAGCTAACCTACCCATTTATATACTAGTAGCTTCTCATAGTCTTCTTATTGGAAGCTATTCAGCTGTTACCTTTAGAATAAGGTAATGGTTTAAACCATTTTTCTTCTTTTGCCTAATTTCTAGTTTTAAATATTCTACTGTTGTTTATTAAATGCTATTTAAAAAAAAATTTAGCTTGAGTATTTGAAGAATAGTTTTTGCATTCATGTTGGTACTTCAAAGTAATGAAGGGAATTGGTTGAAACTTCACACACTAATTTGAGAGCATAATAGGAAGTGACTGACCAAGGTCCATAACTTTTACATGGATTTTGACAGAATAATGGCCCTTTTTGAACTTAGAAAACTTTACATTACAAAGACTCTTGTTTCACTATCAAGCCATGAGAATAGTCAAGCACACTGTCCTACCGACATCTCTTTTGTGATCGCTTTTCGTCCGGCCGTAAACTTTTACTTTAAATGACATCTCCTCATAAACCACTAAGCCAATTTCATCCAAACTTCACAGGAATGTCTCTTTGGTGGTCACCTTTAAAAATTGTTCAAGGAATTTAATTCCATGCAGAATTCTGGTTGCCATGGCAACCGAAAGAAAAAACTTTAAATATCTTCTTTTAAAAAACCCAAAGAGCTAGAGCTTAGATATTTGGCATGAAACATCTTCTAGTGAGTGTCTACCAGTTTTGTTCAAATAAAAGCCCTGGGGTCAAAATTGGCCCCGCCCCCAGGGGGTCATTGATTTTCCCTATATGCATATAGTAAAAACTTAAAAAATCTTCTTTTAAAGAACCCAAAGAGCTAGAGCTAAGATATTTAGCATGAAACATCTTCTTATGAGTGTCTACTAAGTTTGTTCAAATAAAAGCCCTGGGGTCAAAATTGGCCCCGCCCCAGGGGGTCATTGATTTTCCCTATATGCATATAGTAAAAACTTAAAAAATCTTCTTTTAAAGAACTCAAAGAGCTAGAGCTAAGAGAATTAGCAGGAAACATCTTCTAGTGAGTGTCTACCAGTTTTGTTCAAATAAAAGCCCTGGGGTCAAAATTGGCCCCGCCCCGGGGGTCATTGATTTTCCTTATATGTGTATAGCAAAAACTTCAAAATCTTCTTTTAAAAAACCCAATGAGGTAGAGCTTAGATGTTTAGCATGAAACATCTTCTTATGGGTGTCTACCAAGTTTGTTCAAATAAAAGCCCTTGGGTTAAAATTGGCCCTGCCAGGGGGGGGGGGGGGCAAAAAGTCATTGTTTTTCATTATATTCGTGTAGTAAAAACTTAACATCATGAAACATCTTCTAAGGGTGTCTTCCAAGTTTGTTTAAATAAAAGCCCTGGGGTTTAAACTGGCCCCGCTCCGGGGGGCTATATACAGGTGAGCGACCTCAGGGCCATCATGGCCCTCTTGTTTATTTTCTTTGTGTGTTTTCATTAGTATTTCATGAATTTAATTTAATTTCATTATTTCAAGAACAGAACCATAATTCTTTTTTATGCGTGCCAATTACGATTGAGAAATAAATCAAGTTTTCTATATGTTTATAATTGTGGGATAAATATTTCATATGTAAATACACTAATCACCAAAATTGACAAATGAGGATGAATTGAAATACAGGTAAAAATAATAAGTATGTTTTTAATTTTCTTTTAGTGAACTTTAGGTGAAGCAATGGCTTAAATTGGATTGGTCCATAATGGGCACATTTTCCATCAGTATTGCAAATATTTATAAAAAAAAACAATAATAAAAATGAGTTTTAGCTAGAACAATTTTTTAACAGCTATATGTAGATATTAGATACCAGATTCTTATCTCAAACTTACCAGCAACATCTATATATCATTTTTTTTTCATGGTTTGTTTTTGTGTTCGATACTAAATTTTATCAGCATGTTTATTGATGGTATTGCCGACCTTCCATTATTGACTAGTTCAGTTTGATTGGTACAATATATAATAAAGAGTTATGGTTCTTTGTAGTGATTATATACAATGTATATGTGTGTTTGCTGTGATCTATTTAAGGCATTAGGCTTACAATCAGTGTGCACAGTAAGTATTATAACTTGCCTTTTATTTTATGGTCTTTGCCATGGAATGCATGTTCATTACCACACATGAATTTATTTTCACATTTTATCATCACCTAATATTATATAAGCATCAGTTAGCTTCAATAATACAAATGTTATATTAAAATCATATTTCCCTAAACAGTTTGAAGTTTAGTAAACAATGCACATGAATTTTAAAAGTAAAAGATCACCAAAAAGTTAATATGTATTACATTAAACGATATATTGTCACCATTAGTTTGCTTGTAGTTTGTTACCTGCTACAGTATATGTATGGGTTTTGCATGTCAGAGATGTTTATATGTCCGCTTATCTTTACAATCACAGACTTGTTATTCGCCTGAGCTTTTAATGGATTTGTAGTATATTTATGTCTATAATGCTGTATGTGTAAAATATTTTTATCATAAATAATATTAAAGTTTATCATATACCTTTATAGAGCTGTGGTATATGCTGGGTATACATGTTTCACTGTAATATTATGAATGTTCAAGATTTTATACAGAATCATGGTTAGGGTGCATCACATCAGCACTGGTCAGTTACATAACAAACTATGAATTATCGTTTTCATCTCCTAGAATTTACAAATTTTATTAAACATTGTTACTGTTGCTATGGTAACTGGTATATGTGATGATGGTATATCATACTGTGATGGGGAAAAAGAATGTACATGTAATGGTGTCAGTTAAATTTCATACTTCATGAATAAATCTTAATGGTTAAATATTCACTCTGTGGTTTAACTTCTTTTTTATTGTACATTTACAGTTCAAGTATTTTATAAATACATTCACCAATGGCAACTTTTTGGATCTTTCACAATAGTATGAATTCACAGAACAGATACAGTATTTTAGTCTAACCTACGCTAACAAACTAAATATGTTAACAAATAGGAGTTGTTGACAAGTTTATTTCTAATATATCAAAATAAAAGTCCAGCTAAAAAAGTAAATTCATACATACGAGAGCAAACAATTCATTATTTATATATTTATTATTATGGTTGTAGAAACCAAAGGTACAAAATGTAAACCTGTTGACATTAACATGTCAAGTGGGATTTGTTTGAAATTGTACATAACTGGGCATTTTTTAATTAAAAAGTGTTGTTAGACATATTTTCAATCATAATCGTACCAGAACACACCCATTTTTTTCCTTTGGATGTCAAATAAATACATTTGTTTTACATTGCAAATTCTGTTTCTGTTTACATCTGAAACCACGTGGTAGAACTACTTTCAATTTGTATTGTTTCCAGGGTTATTATAGATAATAGCCAAGGACGTTCTGATTAGTACATTCGCATAACAAAAGTTTTGATGATTATATTTGATAAAAACAGCTTTATATGTTGTTAAATTTTATGGGAGATATTTTACTTTTCATGTAGAATCTTACAATGACAGTCTCAAAAAAAATTACAATAACGAAACAAAAAAAAAGAATTCTGTTTAACAACCAATTTAGAATGTTACAGTATAAAAAATACAAAGTATTTGGAAAAGAAAATTATTGCTAGATAAACAAATGAAATATAATTGTTAGACAAAATATGAGACTAAGTGACAGAGATTAAAATTTATACTTCCCACATATAATGTATAGATAATGATATATCATTTTATTATATAACTAGGGACTATCGACAGCTGCGAGCCTCCTGACAAGTGGGGCTGATAGGTTGAAACGATCACAACAAGAGATAGGTAACAGACAACAAAATGAGTTCCATTATGAACTTCTTAAACTACGACAAAATTGGAGACTGAAAAAAGTTGGAAATGCTATCATTGGTGACCTTAGTTATAGATCAGGTAATTTTTTGAGAGAGAAAACAAATTTGAGCCGCGCCATGACAAAACCAACATAATGGGTTTGCGACCAGCATGGATCCAGACCAGCCTACGCATCTGCGCAGTCTGATCAGGATCCATGCTGTTCGCTTACAAACCCTATAACAAGTAGAGAAACTAATAGCGAACAGCATGGATCCTGATCAGACTGCGCAGATGCGCAGGCTGATCTGGATCCATGCTGATCGCAAACGCATTACATTGGTTTTGTCATGGCGTGGCTCATTTGTTAATTATAGTTCTAAAACTTATCAATGATTTTCATCAGCAAATGATTTACTTCCAACTTAAAGGAAACAGCTTGATAAATGTTTAGACAACTTGAAGCAGCATGCCTGCAGATTCAAAAATTTTGAAAATGTATCAAAAAGTATAATATTGTATAGTGAACAAAGAAAATAAATTTCACATTGCAAACAGTACTTACAATCCACGAAAATTACCAAAAAGAGGTCAAATTATGTAACATCAAATAAATATGGTGAAAATACTGCAAAATCTGTCAAAAGTTGCACATGACATGGAAAAAATTATTTTTATCTTAAATCTTTTTACCTTTTATAAAGTGTTTATTTTTTTCTCAAGTTTAATTTTATTGAAATATTTTGGTTCATCTGGCGGCATGCAGCTTTTAATTGGCTTAAATTATACATGTAATCATATGTACTAGTATGTATTATGTTTTGCATTTACAAATGATGAAAAACTTTATGTCACACATCCTTTGTTTGATATAATTTGAAATTGTAATAAACTTAAAATTTGATATTTTAATGGTAACTGACATTATTTTTGCCCATTTGATCATATTTAGGTTCATTAAAATATCATTGTTGTTTTTCAGCTGGATCAAGGTTTTGGCAAGGAGGAACATTTGAAGTAAGTAAGAATACAACATTACCATCAGAGCAGACTGAGGGTGGTGTGACCAATCATAGTGCACTAGAGGTGATTATACCCAGTGAGCTGGAGGGATCCTCGTACGTTCAAGTTGAAGTTAAATGTGTGCCAGGTATTATATGCATATAATGTATATACATTGTACAACTTTATTTAATAAGTATTGTTTACATTACTTGTCTGTGTGTCTTTAGATTCTTTCATGTGAGAAAGCTATCCAGCTAGCTTATTGAACGTCAGTGGTTCTACTTGGGTGCCTGTTTGTGCCTGAAATAATAAACAGAGGGGCACTGGAGGTCTTCCACCAGTAAAGCTGGAAAGTCGCCTTATGACCTATACTGTGTTAGTGCGACATAAAACCCAACCCAAAAAAAAAACCAAATCATTAGTTGCCTTTGTTACAAATGTTATAAGACTGATATGGCCAACTCTTCAGATGAGCAATATTACGAAATGATGCCTAATAAGCCAATGTTTTGGGATGCTTAAGATGTGACTTGTGTAGTTTATATATTTCAGAGTCAATGGATCTGATGACAGCTACATTAAGGGTACCAGATGGGTTTGGGAGATACCCCTCTGATGCCCACTGGCAGACTAAACTAGAGGCAGCTCAGAATGTTCTCTTCTGTAAAGAACTCTTCTCACAGGTATCATTGCTTTTTTTTGTTTAGAAACATTTGCTTGTTTGAGTATTGCATCATTTATTGTAACTTTTTTTGTTTTGTATTAAGGCTTTCTTACAATGTGACATTTCATCCGTTTTTGCCCGTGTTCCTGTCCTGTTAGGTGGCTTTCTGGGCTGCTTGCTCCTAACACAGTTTGGGGATGTGTTAATGCCGCCCTTCCTTGCTTATCTTGTTTTACATGTTTTCTAACCAGTAAAATGACAATAAATATTATAATTATGTGAAAAAAAATGTTTGAAAAAACAATCCAGATATTGTGTGTGGTATATAAAGATAAATACAAAACAAATTTAAAACAAGGCAAAAAATACCTTTGTAAATGATATAATTATAATGTATTTACCAGCTTGCTAGAGAGGCTACCCAGTTGAAAAGCAGCGTTCCACATGTTGTTGTTGCAAACCAAATCATTACAAATGTAAGTTTATATTTATCTTGTGTTTTAGATTTTCTTTGCCTATTAGTAATTTTTGTCTTGCATTCAATATTCATCTACATACAGTCATCTTTATGACTAACATTCATTCCCTGTGTCCTGTGAGAAAGTTAGTAATTGCAGTAAAAACTTGCTTGTTTTATAATTTATTTTGTTGAATATGTCCCTGATATTTTGAACATGAAGGGTTTTCAATCATTAATCTAAGTATTTGGTACAAGTAACTTATTTTGAACATGTTTAATTTGTCTTATTATGTTTAGTTTATATAAGTTAACTTATAAAATTATTGTAAATTATTATTGTAAATTAAAACGAAATTGTGTGTATTTGTTTTTAGATATTTCCAAGTGTACAGTTATCAATAGTTTTGTGCCATTCTACAGGGAAAGGGGAAAAGAAAGTAAGTGGAATGTTTAAATTGTGTGGAGCAGTCAGCAAGCAATCATCATTTGAATTCTGTATTTTGTTGGCAAGTTTTATTTTTAACCCAATGGGATGATGTATTATAGTAAATGAAACTTCTACAGCTAAATATTATCTTAGGATCAAGGCAGGTTATAAGGCATATAAAAACAACACAGGTTCACTTGATTCTTGTTGATTTTTTGCTGCAGTGGGAAGCAGGTTTTGAGATACTATTATTACTTTTAATTGTAAGTGAATGTGTATTTCAGCACCATTTCTTTTTGTGTACTTCTTGCTTAAATCAATCGCAGTTTCTGTAAAAACATGTTGTTTATAAGATGGGAATCCTGGAAATCTTTATAGGTATATCAAAGTTATACTGTGAGAATAATCAGGATTATTACCATGATTTCAGTCTCCTGCCCAGCCTAGTAAAGTTGAACATAATCATGTATTAGAGCATTCATTACACCAATTATTACGAGAGGTACATCATAAAACACTACATCTAGATCCCCCACAACCTGTTACAGCAAGCTTTGGTATGAGTAAGAGACGGCGCCTGGCTGGACCATCGGCAATGTCTCGCTCAGAACTTAAAGAAATGGCGGACAGGTAAAACAGCCTGATTGTATTAGACTTGTTATCATATGTAATCGGTATAAGGAAGAATTGCATTGAACATTCAAGCACCATTTAAGCTACAAGTTAACCACATGAACATTAATATAGTAGTGAATCTAGAAATGTTTAATGAACTTAATTGATAAAATTTAGCTTTACTAATTGTACAATTGTCAAATGTAATGGATAATGTACAGCATTTATTAATTGGTATAAGTATGTTAAAGTGACATTATGCCCATCTAAAGGTATATAGTGAGTGAACAGGTGAGAGTCAAAATAAATTTTCATTTTGCCATAATTCCTTTTGCTTTAATGATTTACTTAGCATAAACAATAACCACCGGATTCAAACGAAATTTCAGTAAATATCATTAAGAATTTACCTGTAATGTTCAATTTATAAAAAGAGTGGGGCAGTCTTTTTATATTTTAGGCAGATTCTTAATTTTATTCCAAACATTTTCCAATATAATCTGTTAGTCGAACATCATTTAAACAGTCAATCTTTTGAAATATAAAGTCAATTCAGCTCAACTTGACAATGAAAATATGAGCATAATGTCACTTTAATATGCAACTGAGCTTTGTATTAATTTGTTTAAATTCAGAATTCTCTTATTCAAGTTTTTACACATTGTATAATGACTGTTATAGAAATGCTGATTTTATTTTTCAGTGAAACTCTTCTAGAACAAATTATAAAACAGGCAAGACATGAAGTGTTAAGAGCAAGGTAACATAGTTGTATCACTTTTTGAATAACATACAAACTTTCTGAAACATATATGATTTACACATCTATGGCATCTTAATACATATCAACTGCAAAAGGTGTACTGATAAAACTAAGATATGTGTATTGTATTATACTTGTGTCACCAGGTAGGCAGCATTAATTTGACTTTAGGTGTATATAATTATACTCTATAAAAAGTACTGTTTCATAAATATATATACCCTATAAAACTTGCAGCAAAATAACAAGGGCAAAAGTGTTATTAGTTTAAATTTATGGTACAAGTAGACTTACTGTACGCATAGATTAATGACTATATGATATAATTGTTTTTATAGAACTATGGCAACAATAGATAGACTGGCGACAAATATAGCAGATCCACAGATCATGGCTCACTGGAGTTGTCTCAACAGTCCTCTACAATCTAATGTTAAAATCATCATTACATCAAATGGGTATGAAGGCTTGAGGTAAATACTCTTTATTACAATATATATGACTGAGTTAACCTAGACTTTTCAAAGGAAAGTAGGGCAACTCTTCCCATTTTGACATTTTTGAAGCACTTGATCACAGTTTTGCTTGTTCATATTGTGTTAACATTTGATTGTATTCATTTGAAACTTCACACATCTTCAGTTTCATGATTTCACTGGCTTATATCCATCAATTTTAGCACTGATATTTATCATGTTATCCCTCTTTGTGAAATTACCTACACTTGTTTTAATGTCAATCTCTGAGAAAATTGAAGAATGTTGCTAAAATGGACACCTCTTGTTATATAAATATTTAGAGGAAGACTACTTTCAGTTTTGATGGTCAAGTTTTTGAAAGTTAAGCTGGACATTGATATTGTAGGAATTGTTAGTTTAATATTTTATGTTACATGAATGAAATAACATGTAGTGTACGAATTTTAAGAGAAATTATATGAATTTATGTCATACAATGACAGGTTAACATGGCAGTCATTTGACCTTGAAATAGGAACAGAAGGTATCAAGGTGGTAACTAAGGACAGAAGAACACTGTCTCTAACATTTCAGGAGAAAGAGGTTGAAGATCTCATTAGATGGCAGGTAAGTTAACATGTCTTTACTGGCCTTATATCTAAATATTTACCTTTATTTTTAGGTGTAGTAAAGATATATATATAAATAATTTTATGGTGTTAAGCAAATCATGATTAAAGAAATAATTTATTTTAATGTACTTGTTGAATTACACAATCTATGTTTCATTGAAGGATGATGTAAGGTTTTGTTTACTGTATTTTTATATGATATATATTTGGAATATGAGGTGCTATTATTGATCATACAACATAATATATGGCTAGATACTATTTCTGACCAGGATGGTAATCACTTGTATTGAATTAAATGTGATACATGTATTTAAATGGAATGAGCCACGTCAGGACAAAACCAACATAGTGTGTTTGCGACCAGCATGGATCCAGACCAGCCTGCGTATCCGCGCAGTCTGATCAGGATCCATGCTGTTCGCTATCAGTTTCTCTACTTGTAATAGGGCTTGTAAGCGAACAGCATGGATCCTGATCAGACTGCGCGGATGCGGAAGCTGGTCTGGATCCATGCTGGTTGCAAACGCATTATGTTGGTTTTGTCATGACGCAGGCTCATATGTGACATATAAATGAGTTGATTGTTTTCGTATAGGTATCACAACATCATATCTCGCTGTCACAGAATCTGGCTAGACTGATGGGTTGGCAAATACTCAGTTATAATGGTTGTAGTGGTGTCGGAGAAATGGAAGACTTTGCTACAGCCTCATCTATACAGCTTGTAGCTCCCAACAATGACAGGTGAGTTACAACAATACAAGTTATATTTTATTGTCACTAACAGTGATAAAAGATTTTAATGAAATCATAAAATACTAAAGAAAAATGATACTTAAATCAACACAATTAAGTTTTAATGATGTTAATCATAAAATAAGGAAGAAACAAATGTAAATTATGAAGTTACAAAATATCAAGCATGTTTTAATAAGTTTAACATGCTCATCATTTTCTTTTTTCATACGTGAATAAAAAACGTTGGTGTCTACCACCTTACATATCTCTTAAGTCAACTTTTTCTAATAATATGAATGATTTGTTAATTATATACATGTAGTTATTTTAAAGTTACTCATGTATGTTTGACTAAGTATAACTTTCTATATGTGTTTTGTATTAATAGCTTTTAATCTTATTATACCCCCAAAAACGAAGTTTGGGGGGGTATATAGGAGTCACCCGGTGGTCGGTCGGTTGGTCGGGCGGTCGGTCGGTCGGTCCAGATGTCCGTTGCATTTTCCTTGTCCGGAGCATAACTTGAAGACTAATGGTTGGAATTCAATATAACTACATACAATGGTCAAGCACATTGAGAGGAAGTGCAGTGCACAAGAACCATAACTCTATCTTGACTAAGTACAGAGTTATTGCCCTTTGTTACTTTTCCTTGTCCGGGGCATAACTTGAAAACTACTGGTTGGAATTCAAAACAACTACATACAATTGTCAAACACAATAAGGGGAAGTGCAGTGCACAAGAACCATAACTCTATCTAAAGTAATTACAGAGTTATTGCCCTTTGTTGCTTTTCAATTGCCTTCTTTTTTTTGTCCGGAGCATAACTTGAAGACTAATGGTTGGAATTCAATATAACTACATACAATGGTCAAGCACATTGAGAGGAAGTGCAGTGCGTAAGAAACATAACTCTATCTTGACTAATTACAGAGTTATTGCCCTTTGTTACTTTTCCTTGTCCGTGGCATAACTTGAAAACTACTGGTTGGAATTCAAAACAACTTCATACAATTGTCAAACACAATAAGGGGAAGTGCAGTGCACAAGAACCATAACTCTATCTAAGGTAATTACAGAGTTATTGCCCTTTGTTGCTTTTCAATTGCCTTCTTTTTTTGTCCGGAGCATAACTTGAAGACTAATGGTTGGAATTCAATATAACTACATACAATGGTCAAGCACATTGAGAGGAAGTGCAGTGCATAAGAACCATAACTCTGTCTAAAGTAATTACAGAGTTATTGCCCTTTGTTACTTTTCCATTGCTTTCTTTTGTCCGGACCATAACTTGAAGACTAATTGTTGGAATTCATTATAACTTCATACAATGGTCAAGCACATTGAGAGGAAGTGCAGAGCATAAGAACCATAACTCCATCTTGACTAATTACAGAGTAACTGCCCTTTGTTACTTTGCCTTGTCCAGAGCATGACTTTAAAACTACTGGTTGGAATTCAAAACAACTTCATACAATGGTCAAGCACAATGAGGGGAAGTGCAGTGCACAAGAACCATAACTCCATCTTGACTAATTACAGAGTTATTGCCCTTTGTTACTTTATCTTGTCCAGAGCATAAATTGAAAACTACTGTTTGGAATTCAGTACAACTTCATACAGTTGTCAAGGACATTCATCTGAAGTGCAGTGCACAAGAGCCATTACTCCATTTTGACAAAATACAGAGTTACTGCCCTTTGATACCTTTCCTTGTCCGGAGCATAACTTAAAACGTACTGGTTGGAATTCAAAACAACTTCATACAATGGTCAAGCACAATAAGAGGAAGTGCAGTGCATAAGAACTATAACTTTATCTTCAGTATTTATAGTGTTATTGCCCTTTGTTACTTTGCCTTGTCCAGAGCATGACTTTAAAACTACTGGTTGGAATTCAAAACAACTTCATACAATGGTCAAGCACAATGAGGGGAAGTCTCTCTGGACTTATTACAGAGTAATTCAATTAAACTTCATCAATGGCCAACCACATTGAAAGGAAATGCAACAATTATCTTTAATTGCCCACAACCATAACTGTATGTTTCAATTCTTTTACAAGGTATTCTGTTACTAGTAACATCCTCATTTCCGAAGCAGACTTGTGGGGGTATTAATCACATTTAGTGATAGTTCTAGTTTTCATAAATTTACTTTATTTTTAGAATTAACAAAACAGTTATACCCTTTACCCACATTTTATAATAGAATATCAAACATTCTATGTTAATATCTTGTCCTTTCAGCCATGAACTCTGTGTAATCCATTTTTCAAAAGCATCAATAAAAGCTTAGCTGATATGTAATTGATTAATCATATTATATCACTCTGTCAATGTTATAAGATGTTATAATAATGTTTACATTGCAGAATGCTGTCAGTAAGAAGTGGTCCAACAACAGGACTACATGTGTTTCTAAAAATAGATGATAAAGATAACCTTGACCCCAGTATGGCTGCACTCATTGACCCAAAATGGCTGAATCTAAGTGGAACTTTTAAAGAAATAGATATGGACCAAATAGAGGGAAGAAATTTAGCAACAAAACTTGAACTTATTTTAGCCATGGTAAATAAAAAAAGATGAGTGTGTTATGCTGACCATAATTTTGGTTTCCAATTAAACAATTTTGGGAGGAAAGAGAAGAGGGAGGTTTACTACATTGTCAATTGCCCAGGATGGGGAGGTCCGCCTTCCATGGCAATTGACAGTGTTCAAATATCAATTGCCAGATTTCTCCCATCCTTTATTAGTTCACCCCCATAATTTTTTCATGATAGAAGGGGGCCAAATCTCGAATGCTGTTTTATCTTCAACTTTCTTGGCAGTGGTTATGATGGTGGCAAGTTATAAATGGGCGAAGTTTGTGAATAAAGGTCCCTAAAAGTCTGGTTACATAGCAAAACAATTTATGGCTGAAACAATCCAATACTTTGCCAGAAATGAGAAATAAAAAGATATAAAAACTAGATGGTTATTTAAATGTGCACATGGAAGGTAAAGATATGACAAACTTGTAATATTTTTATATGAAGGAGTTTATTCAGGTATACATGTATTGTTAGAAGTATAATTGCTTTTGTGTACAGTAAGAAACTGCTGTATTAAAAAAGTTATAAATATCAAAACTGTTCTGTTCCATGGGAAATTACAACAGTAAAATGTGGTATGTTTTTGTGTAAGGAGAACCAGTGTTGATTATTTTATCTAATGATGTGTATTAATTGTGAGAATATGACCAATTAAATAACCAATTATGTATAAATAGATGTTATGTCGTTATTTTTCAATGGTAAACTGCACATACTTCTATTTTTTGCAAGCGTTTGAAAGCTAGTATTGTTGAAAGAAAGAATCAGTTTTATATGGTAGACATTAATAGTTCTTACTCATTGGAGTTGATTGGTACATAAATATTAACTCTCAGTTTATTTCAATTACTTGTAATACATACATTACTCTGAATCTCAGCGCCTTAATGTAGAAAAATTTGACTTCATGCTTTAAGTCATGACTGACATGGCTACTATACGGCTTTACTGGTGAAGTTAGACCTCGGATGGCACACTTTGTATTATTTTAGACACAAAGATGTATTTTATTTAAATCATGTTAGATTAAACATCAGCACTCTGTCATTACCGGTACTTTCTATGATAATTCATAAATCTAACACAGAATGTATCAAAATTCATTTATTTTCTACACATCTAAACATAATTATCTTGTGTGTAACTTTACATAATACTAGTCTATCACATTAACACACTGGTGTTTTTACTGAGTGATTGTGAAAGTTGTTGTATCCTCGTCGTAGATGGCGCTGTGTGGATGTTTGCTGCCACATTCACCATTACATATGGCTGAAGATAAAACAATACAAAATATTTTAAGATATGATATAACGTTAACGTAGTGTAAATATGTGATTTATGAAAATAAACAGAAACTCCTTGAAAAAGAGGGGTTTAACCCCTAGAAAAGTTTGTGTAGTAGATAATTGTTAACTGTTCAGAATGATGATGATATGAATAGTCTGTCATTTAAGTATATAGTATGTATATTGATAAAGTCATGGGTGTTATGCTATTAAGTAAGTCAACAAACATTTGTTTTACAGTTAATGATTGTGTCAAAATTCTTTGTAAATGATAATCATTGTTTTCAAAATAAGTCTTCCTAATGAAATGTAGTCTTGTTTCTACAATGACATGTGTAAAGAAACCTACTGTGAAACTATATTTAAAGAGACAGGATCTTATTTGTCTGATGTAAGAACCTTGATAATACAGTAATGTAAAATTATTCTTCCAATTGATATATTGTATTTACCCATTTTAACAGTGTAGTCTCCTGGTAGCCATTCTTCACATGGACCTTGGGATGGATCACAATTTGGATCTGGTTTAGCATTCAGCTGGAACTGGCCAGTATAATCCCCAGCTTGTGCTAGAGCATGGTAGAAACTTTGACCTATATAATAAAACATATTTTATAGTACAAATACCTGTGGCAACCTGGAATTCCTCTTAATTATGATCTGGAACAAGTAGGGCCTGCTCAGATTGTAAATGTATGTATAAATTGATAGCTTCTTAAATTTAATAATTTCATTTTGAAATGCAATAAATCCATTCGAAATGTACCTCTAGACTAATAAATAACACATATTTTTCTGGTAAAGGTTAAAAGCTTATAAACATTTTGATATGTCAGAAAAATATTTCAACTATAGTCTTACCAAGTGGGACACCATCGACTGTGACAACTTCTAGAGAAATTTCTCCTGTACCTGTTCCATTCTTTGATGTGTAGGCAAAATCAATGGAAAATGTACCTAACAAATATAATAATAATCTATTTAAGACAGATGTTGTAAATAGTTCAAATACATGATCATTTCCGTTTGTACGTGAAGTTATTAGGATTATGCAATTAATTAAGTGTAAATAGTTTTATGAAATGTATAGAATTGGTTGTTCAACTTATTATGTCCAACATGTTACCCAATTTTATATATTTATATATAAATTTAAATGTTAAATGTAATATAAAGCAGTATTTAACTCGGATGGTATTTAACTGACCTATTCACAATTTAGTATAGCTCTGCGTTTGAAAGTACAGTATAGGGAAAATTGTTCGGATTTAGACTAACATAATGGATACTGTACCTTGTGGTCCAGATTTTGGTGTACATGTGAACGAGGTGAATGATGCATCACCATTGTCATTTATTGGGCAGACTGGAATTAACTCACAATAGTAGATAGGGTCAAGGTCAGCTCTACAAAGCAATCAAATAATGATCAGCAATAAAAAATGATTGGCACTGCAATTCCAATACGTTAGATTTGAGGATTGAATTGCGCTTCAACCGGTACCCTATGGTGCTTGGACAACTTTGCATTTGCCATTATCTCATAAACAAAGTCAATTCTTTTTATTTCATTATCCTTTTCACATGTTACCGTAAATTATAAATAGCAAACAAATAGTTATTATCATGCTAAATGTATATAACTTTCTGGGTAACGTTTATAGCTAAAAACGAAGAAAAGGTCTACATTTAATTTTGATATTCTAGCTGTCAGTTCTGAGATATATTTAATTTTCAAATGATATAAAATTTAAAAACACAGGAGACATAACAAAATACGTACTTTTGTATAATTTTGATGAATTCTTCAATGCCGACAATGTCACACAGTAAATTACAAACTTCTCCGACCGCTGGCGACGTTTTTGAGGCGAGAGCACCACAAAGATCAGCACAGCCACCCACAACACCGCCCTCTATATTATAATAAATATTTAAAGTATTTATATTAAAACATTGCTAATTTATAATGATTAAGAGTTTCAATATTTAACATTTCTGGGTTGGGTTTAATTTAAAATTAAATAGAAATATTAAATTTTCCCACCAAAAAAGATTCTAATCTTTGAATAAAAATTAAATTTTTAAAAAACAGTTTATAGTTATTCCCAAATTTTTCACATTACCCTAGACAAAAAACGTAATGCGTTAAGGTTGGCAATCTTTATAACATAATCCTTAGGATTTAAACCCACCCTTACGTTTAAAAATTGATGTTAAGGAGCTGGTTTAAAGCTTGGCCTGCGAAGTCGATGCAAGTTTTACATTTGTCAAACCCAACTTTCTCCCCTTGAACTATTGGCTTATAAATGTCTTTTGTTACGAACTTCAAATCCGCCTTTAAAGATGGTAATTTCAACCCAACCAATGGGTGAGCTAACAATATTACCGAGGCGGTGATCACCAAAAATCCCTGCAATTATTATAGAATATTATGTCCTTCATCACTATTAGAAAGTTAATAAAATTCGCAAAGCTTCCATAACCGAACAGTAATACTTCAAAAGAAATCATAACTACACACTTAATGTAAAATATTTTAATGAGGATTTTTAATAAACGGTTGTACTGACAAATTTAAAAAAATGGAAATATTTCATTATTATTTTATGTATAAACGCTCTGAATGGATGATCCTAAGTCGTAAATTATTTTCATTCTGTGATCAGAAACTCTTATACCATAATTAGGTTATTCATTTGTAAATAGCATCATCTAATTAATTGCATTCCAAAACATTATCGTTTTAGTTCTATTTTAATCTTTTTCTTCTTTTATATTTTTTTTATTTTTCTATTTGCAATATTAAAACATAAGATTCTTTAATGACATGGAATGTTTGGAAATGTCATACCATATTAAAATATTTAATAAAGAGTGGAAGAAGAACTAGAGGAAGAATGTAAGTATAAAAGATTACCTTCATTTTGTTCGTATCTCTGCTAACGTTATAACTGACCGTATTGAGCGGTGTTTCCTTTTTAAGTTGCCCTAAGTTTCTTATCTTGTACCTTGTTAAGATTGTAGTCATGTACTACTACAATATGTTGTCTTAAAGTTGGGTCACACTGATAAGTAATGTTTCTCATTAAATAGAACACAAACATACTATTTTCGTTGATTCATTTAGCATAATTACCAAAATACACGTAGGCACATCATATTTCCGATGTTTCTAGAAAGTATGTGTACGTGCCCATTGGTGATGATCACAAAATAAATATGATTTTTTTTTCATTAATTAATGTGAAAAATGCTCTTCCACATTTCGTAAGAACTAATTCTTACTAAATAACTACATGAGATATTTACATTTAGCTTCTATAGCAGAGTATGTATTTCAAGAAAGGAAAACGAATCAAAATAAGGCCGTATCATTACCAATCATCTTTGCTAATTCAGTAAATCGGACAAGGTGATCCCAGACTGAATTAAAGAGAAAAGAATACCACGTAAAACTTGAATCTTTATTTGAAAGTATCTTTTTTATCAATTTACATAACTACAGAGTTATGATGAATTGTCTGTGATAGTGAAGGTGGCGGAAGTTTCGTCATAAATGGCGCTGTGAGGGTGCTTGCTGCCGCACTCACCATTACAAAGTGCTGAAAATATTTGCGGAAGTCTAATGACTGATATATTTGATTAAACTACACATCAGCTACTACTTATGAGACCGCCTACGTGGTCGAGGGGTTAGAGTCGATGACTTCTAATCCAGCTGCCTCTCGGGCGTGGGTCCGATCTCCGGTAGATGCTTGGTAGTTTAGCACGGAGGAAGGTAGTCTAGTACTGGTGTAACTCTCCAGGAACGATGGTTAGGAAACTACCCGCCTATATGACTGAAATACTGTTGGGAAAAGGCGTTATATGAAACAAACACACACTACTACTAATATTGCTTCTACCCGTATACATGTATATTGAAAATTATCACAGTTGAACAAATTTAAACAAACTATCACCATAGAGCAGTGATTTGTCTATAAAAGAACATTTCAAGTCAACCAGCAGTTGATACTATGAGCCTTGTTTCTTGCTGTTGGTATGTTATGTCTATTGCTTGGTTTGCAATATCTATTGTTACATTAGACTAAAATATATCAATTTAACTTCGCTCATCAACCTTTTGATACTATTCGCTTTAGCCTTTGTTTCTGATCATTGGTATGTTATACCTAGTGTTTGGTTTACTATATCTATTGTTACATTAGACTTAAAGAATATCAAGTTAGAAAACTATACCGATTTTCACTGTATAATCTCCAGGTAACCACTGTTCGCATGGTCCAGCTGTGGGGTCACAGTTTGGATCAGGTTGGGCCTGTAGTTTAAACGTTCCGTCGTATGTTCCAGCTGGTGCCAGCTCGTGAAGGAAAGCCTGGGCTACATGTATAAACAACAGTTACTTCACTCAATGCAAAAGTCGAATAATAATTAGCCTATACCAGCAGTGAAGACCCCCATCCCAGCTTGCCAGTCCATATTGTCTTATTTGACTTTACATTGTTAGCTATTGTTCTTTACCAATGGTAAAATTATGTAATTTATCAATGGGCATTTCTGAATTTCAAACAGGACTGGACATTATTACATTTGATATAAACGTTCGATTTGAAAAGATTAAAAAAATGATAAAGTGAATGCAAAATTAAGATTTTTTTTTTAAATGTGATATTCCATTTTCTTTGTGGTAATCGTTATTTAGATATTTCCAAATTAAGAGGTTTCTTTTACATGAAACTCCTAAGATTTATATTTATTATATCAACATCTGAATACATACATGTAATATCATATAGTTATAATGTAATTTGATTTCCAGACTAATAACTGTACAATAAAGACAAAAAGAGCTAAATGATGGGAACATATCAGCAGATTCTTAAGCCATATCATATCATACATAAACGGAAAACTAACCAATAGGTATCTTATCAACAGTTAGAACTTCCAGCAGGATCTGTCCGGTTCCTGTACCGTTCTTAGAATCATACTCAAACGAGATGTCGAAAATACCTAGACAATAAACGAAGGTTCATAAAAAAATTTGTAATGTCAATTGGAAATGATAAGCCTTAGAAACGGACTTTACGTCTTAAAATTTTTGTATGCTATTGATTTTCATTTCTGATTAAGACGTATTAAAGTCGGAACTAGTGAAATTTTTGTTGTCTTGATTTTTTACATTGTCAAATAAGGATAATTTAAGTAATAGACATATTAATATTACATAATTACAGGTATGTATATTCTTTAACTTCTAATCATTTTTGTCTACAAAATGTTCAACATTTTCTTTAATAGTACTATTTTTTTTGTACAGAAGATAATAGAGACCACTTTATATAAGTAAAACATACTAAATGTAATACATGGTAAGACTATATACTGGAATTGTGGAATTGATAATACAAACCTTGTGGTCCAGATTTCGGATCTATTTCGAATGTGGTGAACTTTGCATCCCCGTTATCATTGACTGGACAAGCAGGGATCAGTTCACAGTAATATATCGGATCCAAATCTTCCCTTAAAATAACAAAATATTTCAATAATTCCTATGTCGACTAATTTATATAGTACATATCATATCATAGTACATTATTTATTTATTTATTTATTTATTTATTTATTTATTTATTTATTTATTTATTTATTTATTTATTTATTTATTTATTTATCTTTATACAGGTATCAATATAATGATGTTCCTAAAAAGTCATGATGGATAAACGAAATAGGTTGTCTGTTCTTTATATCCATTATTAAACATAAAATAACAACTTCAAGTTATCTCCCTTTAACTGGCGTGTTTTAGGTATAGAATATTTTACTTGTTTATGATATTGATGAATTCCTTTATTCCTACTATGTCACAGAGAATTGAGCAAACAGCACCAAGAGCTTGACTTCCGCTCTTGTCAGCCAAGATTTGACAAAGGTCTCCGCACGTGTCAACAACACCAACCTCTGAAAATGTTATACTTTCATTTTAAACTTTACTGGTTAATATAACCATTACAAAAATCTTCTCATCGTATCATCGTACCTGTCATTGAGCCTATGACATTTTGTTCACGTCCCAAAGTCTAATTGGCTGCCCATGACGACAGAATACAAGTGGATTGGTTTTTAATCATCAAAGAAAATTTTATTCATCTGTAAAATTACAACAACTTAGATGTTGGAACATAGTGAAATATAGTGTATCAACTTTCACTGTTCTGTCAATGAAGTGCATTATATGTAAGGAATGCAGGTACTGAGTGATATCCATGAATGATATGTACATTGTACTTACGTAGTACCATTTGAAGGAGACCATTAATGGCCTGGCCGGCAAACTCTATGCACAACGAGCATTTATCATCATCACCTACTTTGCCACTCACGCTCGAAACCTCACTGATATAGCTGTGCTGTTGCTTTGCTACAGCTGGTACGTGTACACCTAATGTGCCTGATACTAGCAAGCAAATTAAAACCCCGGAAACCTGGAAAAATTTCATAGCTTAAATCGAAATATGAAATGTGTCTTGCAAAAATGTCTCCACTGACGTCAAAAAGCATTCAAAACAAAATTTGAAATTCTTACACAGATGATTGAAACACTTAAATGAAAAAAATCTGCGAAAAATAATAAAGAATTATACTTGGAATTAAATTGAAAATCGAATTTTATGTGCGATTCTCTGCCTGATTCGAGTTAAAAGCGTTACAACGCATTTCATTTTGGGGTCTAAATGCACAATAGAAATATAGTTCTGGAAAATTCAAAAACGGGATGAGGGAATGATCTGAAAAAAATCTAGTCGTGCCATGTCAAAAAACCTCAATGGCCTGGGGAGTCCCTTTAAAAGTGCGCATTCTTTTAAACATCTTAAATAACTAAGGGATGGCTTAATATAGATCTTATCTGTAAATCATTGTCGCCTTAAAAGTACAAATGCTATCACACAAATTTTGCTAGATTTAGCTTCTATGTTGACCAGCTATCACTAGTTTTGCGTACTTTTCAATAAATTCGTTGTTAAACATTTGCTGCAGTGTTGAAATTAAACTGAATAACATTAAATTGGTTAAATTAAAAGCTACTTACAAACATTGCTGTATACTGTTAGGTTTCTTGTAGGTCTAGTTAAAGAACAAAATCTACTCTCTTATCGGTCTGTGACCTACACTGGTAACTTACGTGGCTTATCTTTATATTGTTATCATCTTCCTTGAGAAATATATTTACCTGATTTTTCAGGACATCCATGTAAATTTCGTCTGTGGGTATGAGCGAACTTGGAGAAAAAAAAACGAATTTGAAATGGGAGAAATGCGACATAAAACAGAGCTTTAATGGTCTAACTGATATCAACTAGAAATATTCATGAATATTTTCCTTGAATGCAATAAATTTGCGAAGAAACGTCGATTATTTGTTGATCGGCAATCTTTGCAGAAATAAATTAAAGTAAGGTACATGTATACTTGAATATTAGGCTAATGTACATGTATACAATAAATCTTTTTTAGTTTGGTAGTTATGAAAAAGTTGATGTATTGTGAGAGTCATATATCACAATTATCATTATTTACGTTTAATTAAAATACGCGCTTCACACATTTATAAATATCGCATTGGACTTCCCGCGTAAATGTCAAATAAGTTAGCCTAGGTCACATGATAAACCATGGTCACGTGACAGTCGTCAAGGTGTCCTAATTTGCATAATATTGTTTAACAATGGCGGACAGTTGAAAACAAGCAGTAAAACGTGAATTAGATAACTGCAGACTCTAGAAATGGCCGACACAGCTCATTCACGCCAAAAGATTTTTGAGCTGGATTTAGATAATCAGAAAAAGAATGTTTTCGTGACACAATTACATGAAAGGTTTGTTTTATGATTGCGTGTCAGTAATTGGTAATTAAGAGATCGTGTCTCATTCATCCATTATTTATAAAGTAACGTTATGAGATTAACGGGAGAATAATGGGTACAAACACATAGAAAATGGAAGCGTAGTGACATTAAATATTCACTCTGCTTTGCTTCATAAGCTGGCAAACAAATAAATATACATGGTAAATTAGTAATGTAAATATTTGCAATTGTTAAAAAAATATCAAAATCATGTGCATGGCATGAATGCATTGAGTAATGGATTAAACTTTGCATGTAGCAGAAAATTCAATTATTTACATTATACAGACCAAATTAATGTCTTCATTAAAGCATTGCGACATTTGATTATTTCACAATAGAATTACAAAAAGGGATCACTGTGTACTTGGCATAATTTATATAGTTCTCAGTGACATTGCGATTAACAATGTCTGATCACTTATCATATTTTGCCTTATCATAATCGGTGCCTTATCATAATCGGCATTGTGTCGGCTAGTCCAACATATTGTACTACGCGACAAGATATTGTACTATTTCATGTCTGGGCAATATCTCTTCTCTACAAAAGCGAGATTCTGACCCAGAACGAAAATATCACAGAAGAATCAAGCTTTAGCACGTCAATATATTTTGACTATGTGTGGGCCTCAAGCTACACATGGGACATATTGTAACGTTGTTTTTACAATGAATGTTTTAAACTCAAACATGTCCACTGATGACATTGTAAGTGTTGTTTTTACAGGTTAAATTCCACCAGAGACATAATGTTATTCTTTAATGTTTAACACTGCCAGGGAATCATATTAGTTTCTTATTTTTCATATGTTAATTTCTGCATGTTAAATTTCTACCAGGTAGTTACTTGTTGTTTTTTTTACACTTCGATAATTGGGTCATGTATTTTATAGAACCTGTTATTTTAAGTCATTCGTTAACATTATGAAGGAGAGCACATGGTGTTATGCATCATATAGTCAGTAAAAATTATGTATGGCCACTAAAAATAGAAAATATGTAAAATCTTTTTTTATTTATATATTTCACCTGTGAATGTCTTAAATAGATTGCATCTGGTGTTCACTCTGTGAAATATATTTCAATTTGACATCGGAACAAATGAACATTTACCCTATTTGTGAACGAATTCTTATATTGTTAATGTTTATATCCCAAACATTTCAATATGATACAGTACTGAATTCCTTGAAATGGAAGAAAAAACTTGCGGAGATGGACATTCTAGAGATACATTGTAGATAGTCTTTATTAGTATTTTATGTTAATTATTAACTTAATTGCAGAGATGATGAAGATGATATTACAGCATTTCCCGTTGTCAAGGAAACCGGAGACAAACTCATTGAGACAGGCATTAACACACTACAAAGAACATTGCTTCTCAAAAAAGAGGTTGAAGTGGACAGGGTCCAAGCAGAACTTGAAGCTAAGAGATATGAGTTCAAACATAGGATGGAGGCGTGTGCTCAACGGCAGATTGAGATACAGAAAAAACAACAAAGGGTAAATATTAATGCTTTGTGTCCTCTTCATTTTTTGCCCACTTTCTGCTCCAGGTGCTATAGTATGCTGCTGTTTGTTATAAAAAAATGATTTAATTTATATGCAGAGTAAGTTGTAACACTATTTTGAAGAATGTTTGGTGAAAAATGAGACCGTAGTTTGTAAGAGTAAAACATTTAATACATCTGTATTTCAAATAATTATGAAATGTTAGGGTTCTTTTGTTTTGTTTTTAATAAAATTCTCATATTTTGCATTAAACAGAACTAAACCTGTCATTTAATTTATACAATTGTCTACAGCTACACTATATTATAATTGTATTGGTTAAAACAAAGTTTACAAGCAGAACAAAAAGCATTAAGTTAAATGAATTTTAAGTTGTTGATGCAGTGCTTAAGTGGTATTGATACTTGAAAGGGAAACAATCAATCATCTAAATATCAATTATAATAAAAAGTCTTCTTCTTGTTGTTCGCCATAATAAAAAGTGAGCTAATTTATGTTATTTCTTTTTTTGTCAGATGAAAGACAGGGTTGCCAAGTTTGAGACATTTTTGAAAGAAAATGAATTAAAAAGAAGAAGAGCTATACAGAAATATCAGACTGAAGTCAAGTTAAAAGAACAGAAAACTGAAGAACTGATAAAACTTCAAGACGAACTTGACAATGTCAAGGACTTGTATGTATTTTACAATTTTATTTTTTTATTAACAAAATATAAAAAAACCCATTGTACTTGTATGTTCATCTGTCATGTAAGAGAAATTGGTAAGGATAATTAAATGTCACCAAGATTGAAAGAAGAAGTTTGAGGCTATCAATATATAGACTGATTATCTTGTTAATGTAAATTTGTAAAAGTTCATACAAAATTTATTATAGTTTGAGTGTGTATGATGTTGTAAATTTATAGATACACTAGCTGCAGAATCTGTTCATGGAACAACCAGTGTTGAGCAATAATTGTAATGTTTCTTGCTCAAGGAAACATTTATTACTTGCCCCTGACAGGATTTGAACTTGTGGCTAGAAATCTTTAGATTAAAAGCCCGACATGTTAACCAATCGGCCATGCCACTACATCCCTTTAATGTTGATATAAATGTTGAGAAAATATTCAAAATATTCATTGTACTAATGTTAAATTTTTCGTTATTTCATTATGACATTGTTGGAATGTTAGACACCTTCATTCAATTCATATACATTTTATGCATTTTGAATTTACTGACCAAACAAAATCATCTGTCAGTTATAAAAAACTCCTTACATTTCAGGTTATCGAGATTAGAAAAAAAAGTAAACCGTTATAAAAAGTTTGAAGATTATTTGTTACGAGTAATTGATGTAATGCCAGAAGATTATTTGGCTGCGTCAGACGATAAAATGAAAGGTCTAATGTCCCGTCATCGTACACTCAGTGATTCCAATGTCCATCTAGTCAATAAACTGGAATCTATGTCAGATGAGGTAAGGCTATATAACTTTGTTGTATTTTTAAAGTTTGCCTATATAAGTTCTGATACAAATGAAAAATGTTTTTAATATGACTACCGGTAACTACCTACAACCATTAAAAGTTGGAATCTTGTAACAACATACCAGCATTTGCATAGATTAAGTTTACTAGTATGCAATAAGAAAAGTTCATATAGTGGTGGTGGTAGTTTTCATATAGTGGTGGTGGTAGTTTTCACTCTAGATCAAGGCAATAAGCCACATTGAATTTACCAGAGCACAGTTCAGTCATCGTGCTGTTCCTGGGCAGGCTATCAAGCAATTTACCAGAACTAGTTGCCTTCACTTTCACAAGGGACTGATTATTTCTGTAAATGCAAGAGCAGAGGTACAATTCGAATGACTGTAGAAAGGATTTCACGATCAATCACAACAAAAGTGACCTGCGCTGTTTGGGAATCAAACCCTGGTTGCCCAATTCAGAGTCTAACACTCTACCTATTGAGCTGACCGGACAGCTGAAAGTTCATATAAAAATTTACAATTTGTCAAGTAGAACCTGCTGTAATATGGCCTAAGATTTTATGTCAAAACCAGACTGGTTTCTGGACTGGATTTCATTCATTTAATTGTACATTGTACATGTATTTGTTGTATAATATAGCTGGAGATATTGAAAGCTGAGCTAGATCAGATGAAAACTGCCCATAATAAACAAGTTATATCAATCAACAGTCAACTGTCCAAACTACAACAACAACATGAGATGGAAAATGATGCCAATCAGAAAACTGAAAATAAATATAATGCTAACAAAGGTGGTCTCAGAGAAAAGGTCAGCATAATTATCTTAAATATTACCCATTTTACTATGAAAATTGTTATTTAATTATTATGGAATGTTTGGCACACAGGAACCACAATTTTAACCTTAAGTAAGATTTATTTTACAGCTTATGATCTATAACAAATTATTTTTATCCAAATAATGTTCCAAAGAGTAAAATTGTAAAATATGTTACGAAGTAAGATTACACCTTGTCAAATTATTCTGTGAAAAAAAGAAGCAAAGAATTGTTGCAAATAGTTAAAAAAAAGTTTAAAATTCCATTTTCTTAATTTGCTAGATTTTCATATTCAGTGTATTATGTGATATATTAGCATAATTATCTTAAATATTACCGGATTCTACTAATGGAACAGTCTACCTAGATTTTCATATTCAGTGTATTATGTGATATATTAAATTAAATATATTTCTGTGACTATATTATATTTTAGAGAACGGAGCTGGGTGTTATTATGATGGCTATAGATAATATAGCAGAGATTTGTCATAAACAACTAGATATACCAGTACAGGAAATGTCACTGGACACAAAACTTCATAGAATCAGGGTATGTGTATAATTGTCTGTTTGCTAACGGAATTTTGCAATTGTTGTTACTGTTGAGTCCAACTATAAGTACCACCTCTTGCAACTGTGTTAGGAAATTGATTCTGTTGGCTCAGTGGCCTTGAGTGTTGTTCTTAGGGTTGTAAGCGAGAGGTCACAAGTTCAAATCCAATCCATGGTGGGATCTTTTTGATGCATTTGCTCCTTTATGTCACAAGCTTAGAAAATGTTCGTAAATTTGCCTTTTAGTAATGATAGGGATATCTGTATCAAAATAAGGTGCTGATTTACAGATTATCCTGGCTTTACATTATTGTGATAGTACAAATTTATTTATTTTCTCCAGAACATCTTCATAATGATGCTCAAATAGTAAATCTTGTGCCGGTTACTTAATGCATGTATTTGACTTGGTAATATAAAGTTATAGTTATAGCTGTGTACTTGATGTATACATCATTTATCACACAATAAGGATACTTAAAGGTAATGTTCAAGGAATTCTATAATGTATGTTATACTTTCAGGATTTTGTTAACGACCAAGCAGATGTTGCAGTGATGGCTCGTCCAACAGATGATGATGGGTCACCTGCAGGGAGTCGGAGAGGCAGTGTAGACAATGCTAGAAAATCTAATAAAGTCAAAAAGAAAGTAAAACTTAACGGGTAGCTGAGATATTGTTTCACATACATAGTATATGAGCTGCGCCATGACAAAATCAACATAATGGGTTTGCGCAGAGGGGGCCTCCGTGGCTGAGTGGTTAAGGTCACTGACTTGAGATCACAGGTCCCTCACCGCTGTAGGTTCGATCCTCACTCGGGTCGAAATCTTTCATGTGAGGAAGCCATCCAGCTGCCTTACGGAAGGTCGGTGGTTCTACCCAGGTGCCCGCTCGTGCCTGAAATAATGCCCGATGGGGCAACTGGGGTCTTCCTCCACCAATAAAGCTGGAAAAAAATCGACGAAAAAATCTCGGGGGGACGCTCTAGGATGGCCTGACTTGAGTGTATGGTCGCCCATATGGGCTTTCCGGCGGCGACCTTAAATAAACGACCTTACCAATCCTTTTACAAGTAGAGAAACTGATAGTGAACAGCATGGATCCTGATCAGACTGCGCGGATGCGCAGGCTGGTCTGGATCTATGGTGGTCGCAAACGCACTATGTTGGTTTTGTCGTGACGCAGCTCATATGTAGTTTACATAAACTGACAAAGAGAAGTGCTTATTTCATGGAAATTATTGTTTTGGTCATGTATCTAAAGCTAAAGTAAACAAAGTATCATCAGGTCAGCACAACATAGCCAATAGTCTTGTCCTCTGTACATATAACTGTTCTCCTAGCTTTAATTCTTTACATCCTACTATGTAGGTAGAGTTTAACTGTTCCATTAGTAGAATCCGGTTAACTAATGTTAGATTCACTTGCAATCATACTACAGTATATTTTGGAAGTATGAAAACACACAATTTTACAGAGATAAGTTTAGGACGTTTGATTTAAATAACTTCCTAGTTTTTTTTTGTTCTAATGATAAAATCTTGAGTGACTATTAGACATTAAGGGTACAGTACACCTTCCTTGCTCACTGTATATATTTTTGTAAGGTGTTGCATTTAGTGTAGCCAACACTTGCTGATTGCTTTTTTTTGTTGTTGTAAGAAGTTGTTTGTAAAACTGCCAGCATTTATTTTTGTGAACAATGGTGAAGTGCCATTTGGATGTTTAAATGTTCATAGTAAAAATGATTTGTTGTTATTATTTGCACAAGTTTTTTAGGAGTAGATGTAACAGAGTTTTGTAGATTGTTCACATATAGTTTTGCTAGATACAGTGACTCTTACCTGTGAATTCTAACTGTGCATAGTGTTAACATTCCTGGAAGGTGAAAATTATCAATGGTTAATATAAATATGTCAATAATATGAAAAATTAAAAATACCATTTACATTTAGGATCATCAGTTAAACAAAATGGACACTTAAAGGTTATTCATGCTACAGAATGAAGCATGCATTTCTTGTGCCTTTATTGTGTTTATAAAAATTTCTGCCTGAAAATAGAAGCCACTTCTTAACAAGCTGTTTCAAGTTAACTTTTTGTTGTATTAATTTTGTTGCTAGGATTATTTATTTTTTTGTGAAAAATTGTTTTATTTCTTTTTGCTGTTAGTAAAATATGATGTTAATATGTGACTTTTTGTAAAATTACTCTTAAACATATTTTTATAAAGTCTTCTGAAATTTTAGACAAGCCATTTTTATTCCAATTTATATTCTATATCGCTCATTATTGTTATATGTTAAGAAATTATTTATGCCTTACAATGTCATTTTGCATGAAGCATTATATTATATTTTACATGATAATGTTTGTATATTTATGTATGAATTACAGCAGTGCAGTTCAATAAACATGAAATATGATCACAGTTGTTGTGTCATTTATTTACACATTGTTGTATAAGTATAGAAACAGTAATGTTAATATGTCTTAATATGAGCCGCGCCATGACAAAACCAATATAATGCGTTTTGCGACCAGCATGGATCCAGACCAGCCTGCGCTACCGCACAGTCTGAACAGGATCCATGCTGTTCACGTACAAACCCTATAACAAGTAGAGAAACTGATAGCGAACAGCATGGATCCTGTTCAGACTGTGCAGGCTGGTCTAGGTCCATGGTAGTCGCAAACGCATTACGTTGGTTTTGTCATGACGCGGCTCATATATAGTAAAAGTTCCACTGACTTCTGTAGTAAAATTACCCTCTGTTAACATGCTTCCTGTCTATAAGGATCAAAGGAAAAAAAGAGTTCCAATGTTTAACTTTCCAGTCTATAATTTAGACAAAACCACCATTTATATCCTGTTTGCTAAGTCATCTTTACATATGTGCAGGTGGTAAGGAAACATATCAGAAATGAACACACTACCTTTATATTATACACCACTAATTGGATCATGTCTGTAAAGTTATATTACAATCTACGCATATATTTTTTATTATTTGATTTTTAGTTACATTGGCAACATAGAGATGATATAGTTATCAACTTTCCAGTTTTACTTGTAGAGCAAGACCTCTGGTTTACATAATAAGATCATTCCAGTTGCAAAGGACAATAACTTGAACATCATGCAAAGCCAGTTATGGTCTCTTGGATACTGTACTTCTTCATGAAATCTATCCATCCATAAAGTTTCAACTTATACTTCTAAGCAAATTTTCAGTTATGCCCTGGATAAAACAGAGCTGTCAGTAGGACAGCAACGCTGGACTATTCTTAGTGCTTGATAGTAAAAAAAAAATGCTTGATACAATTACCTCCTCCTGTTTACAGGTTGGGGTAATGATGGTGAACAAGTGTGCAAAGTTTCAAAGCCATATGTCAATGGACTTTGAAAATATTTGAACTATTACAAAGCTTTAACGTAAATTCTAAGTCGAAAAAGGGGCATAATTCTGTCAAAATGCTTGATACAGTTACCTCCTCCTGTCTACAGGTTGGGGTAATGATGGTGAACAAGTGTGCAAAGTTTCAAAGCCATATGTCAATGGACTTTGAAAATATTTGAACTATTACAAAACTTTAACATATAAATTCTAAGTCGAAAAAGGGGCATAATTCTGTCAAAATGCTTGATACAGTTACCTCCTCCTATTTACAGATTGGGGTAATGATGGTGAACAAGTGTGCAAAGTTTCAAAGCCATATGTCAATGGACTTTGAAAATATTTGAACTATAACAAAAACTTTAACGTAAATTCTAAGTCGAACAAGAGCTGTCGGTAGGACAGCAACGCTCGACTATTCTTAGTGCTTGATTGTAAAAAAAATGCTTGATACAGTTACCTCCTCCTGTTTACAGGTTGGGGTAATGATGGTGAACAAGTGTGCAAAGTTTCAAAGCCATATGTCAATGGACTTTGAAAATATTTGAGGTATTACGAAAACTTTAACATAAATTCTAAGTCGAAAAAAGGGGCATAATTCTGTCAAAATGATTGATACAGTTACCTCCTCCTGTTTACAGGTTGGGGTAATGATGGTGAACAAGTGTGCAAAGTTTAAAAGCCATAGGTCAATGGACTTTGAAAATATTTGAACTATTACAAAAACTTTAACGTAAATTCTAAGTCGAAAAAGGGGCATAATTCTGTCAAAATGCTTGATACAGTTACCTCCTCCTGTTTACAGGTTGGGGTAATGATGGTGAACAAGTGTGCAAAGTTTCAAAGCCATATGTCAATGGACTTTGAAAATATTTGAACTATTACAAAAACTTTAACGTAAATTCTAAGTCGAAAAAGGGGCATAATTCTGTCAAAATGCTTGATACAGTTACCTCCTCCTGTTTACAGGTTTGGGTAATGATGGTGAACAAGTGTGCAAAGTTTCAAAGCCATATGTCAATGGACTTTGAAAATATTTAAACTATTACAAAAACTTTAACATAAGTGGTTACGCCGACGCCGACGCTCGGGTGACTACAATAGCTCTACTTATTCTTATCGAATAGTCGAGCTAAAAAGGATGGCAGGCTGACAGACATACAAGCTACAAGCTGATTCAAATATACCCACCCTACAATTTTATTTTACACAGGGACTATCTCCATGGAATTAGAATTTCCTAACTGGAAATCAGTTTTTAATTGATTTAAGTATAACAACACCTATTCATTTCAACTTGTAATTTTAACTTCAACAATCACAATAATTTAGCACTGCAATGAAAAAATATATGACAAGTTGAAGATATATCTAGCATAAAAAACAGGTAAATAACATACAGTAGAAATGTAAAACATGGACTATATATGTCTCCAATGTAACAATCATTTCAAATGACATGCTTTAATGACATGTTACAACAATCTATCGAGTAAAGGTTTATATCTGGATGGAATTATCTTCAATTTTTCAGTATTATCGTAGTATAAAGTACATATTTAGTGACACATATACAAAAAAAACAAAACACATTGTTTCCCAAACTTATTCATCAACAATAAATCTTATCCTTAAGTTCTGTATAAATATGTCACACAAAAAACATTTCAACATCATGCTAAAATTATCAGCATCTGACGTACATGTATAAAAGACAAACTAGTCTGTTTGACATCTGTGTACATTTGTATTTTGTTTAAACAACCACAAAAATGGATAAATATGCCTGGTTCATCCTAGCATAGTTTATTGCCAATTCCACAGTTTTTCAGTTATATTTGAAAGGACATTTGCCTAATTAACTTGTATTTTCCTCACAAATAACAGTTCACAACATCCATCATTTGAATCATTCTCATGATCTATAGAATGCAGACTATTTCATGATGTAATTGTCATGTTAATCTGTCAACAACAAAATCATTATGAAACAAACACTATGGCTTAGTCCTCAAACTTACATATCAAACATTCATAGATTCTCTCTTTCTCCTTGGCAAATCAGGGAGCGGGACCCTTATATCATAGACACACAACCACACAAGTGTCTAAGAAGTATGCTTGTATGATATGAACACTTATAACATGAAGAAACTATTAAAGTTTCTATGGCAATAATGAAAATGGGAATGTATAGAACATGCAAAATATACATCCTTCATAGATAAATAACACAACTCTATAATCACTGTAGTACATGATTTAAATCGAATATTTAGTGAAAGTCAATGTCAACACTGATGTATCAGTACAACACAGTTATTACTTGTCCTCTAGTTTATTGGCTTGCGACAGTTTTGTATTAAAGCTCCATTGAAATGCCATGAATAATGTTGGTTTGAAACTAATATGGAAATAAAACTAACTGCAACATTTATCAAAACCATTTTTACTAAAACATCTGGTCTAATTTCCTACATACAACTTTATGATCATATCATATCTAGAGAAAACTAAGAAATCTTAACATTCTATGGTTATTTAAAGGGCATTTAAAAGATATGATAATAATTCTAAAGAAAGTTGATGAAATAAACCCATTTTTTAAAATCAATTTATGTCAGATTCCCCTTATTCTTTCAATGTCATTTTTTCAAAATATTGGAGTCATCATGTTAATTAAGTTAACAATACTGTATTCTCTATATAAAAGACAGGTTGTAGGAATGTTAGATCTGGTGATGACTATGTAACTATATTTGTATATGTTTATCAGCTGTGCTGACCCACATCATCTCAATGTCAACTACATGTAATAACCAGCTGGTCAATATCTCATGCCCCCTGGGAGACATTATAGGTCAACATAAGTCACCTTATTTAACATGACACCAGACTAAAATCAGACAATTCTCACATCTACATCATGACATAGTCACTGAGATAATTTCCCCATCAGTCCAACATGCTTAATGCATGACAGTATAATATGTGATAGTTCATAACTAGTAACATCCTAATTATATTGTTTATAAGGCAATGTTTAATAGACATTGCAAATAGACATTGTTTAAATACACATATATCAACCTAAGGCGTACAGCCCTTATCTTAAAATTCATTAACTAAAATCAACATTACTTATTCAACAAAATGTGTTAAATAAAAGACAAAGGCCTCTGTACTAAAGTCTGCCAAAGAAACAAAAAGGCCCCTAGTTCAAAAATAATTTCTGCATGCCAAAAAATTAAGCATTTTGTATAGGGATTAAACGATGATCGAGTATAATCGAAAATTGATCGTTTATAGAACCGATCGGCGATGATCGATTACAAAGATTAATAATCGATTATCGGTTATTTATTTTCTTGCTGTTACTTAAGTGACTCACTGTATTATAACAACACTCTAAATTAAAGCCAGCTTTGGTTGGAACAATAATTTTCACTCAAATCAATATGAAAGCATACTGGTGACCATGGAGTTAAAAGCTGACAGTGAGGCATTCTAGTTTAAAGATATACTATGCTCAAATTTGACAACAAAAAAATATTTAGAATTGCTACATAGTCTATTTGTACATATAAAATAAACATGTTTTTACTTCCCACAAAGAAGATATGTTTAGTATGAAATTGTTCTACACACTAAAGATGGTTGCAATATCAATATATAGTGTAATTAAAAGAACCTGGCAGTTTTGTTAAGAAAGGACCAACTTAACTTGTTCCCATACATACATATACCTGTATTGATATTGAGACATAGTAAATATAATTTGATACGTTTTAATGAATTTATTTGATTAAAATATTTTACTCAAGGATGAACAGAAGCATGAGTAACTAGTTTATTTCAGTTGATAAAGTGGTAGTTATACAAAATATAGAATATTAATGGAATTCTTATAAATATTAAAACATGATTTGTGCATTGTACATATTTACTTTGTTTTTGTAGATGTTTCGATTATATAATCGATGATTGATCGAAAAGGGTTGTCCGATTATTTTCGATGATCGATTATAATTTTTGTCCGATTAAGAAACCCTAATTTTGTATACAGGTACCATATGTTTGTCCAAGTATGAATGTTCAGCTTATAGAATGAACATTCTTTTTTGAAAATCAAATTAATTTTGAATTTAACATTGAAAATGTCATTAGGTTTGTGAATATTTAAACATTTAAATGTAAAGTTTTATTTTTTTCTCTCTTTTTTAAATCTCATTTTATCATCTGGCAATGGACACCTTTAAATGTGATGTTTTCAATGTAAGACTATATTTCTTTCAACTTATCTTAAATGAGATAATAAATGTCGTAATTTCTAAATGTTTCACAGAAGATAACCGAAATCTAAATTCATGTTTTTGTGTCATATCTGCCATATTGTAAACTTCTCAATAGAAATAGTATCACTAACATGTTGAAATACTATATCAGATAAGTATGTTAAACTTTGGTATGCCAAAGAAAAAAGAATATTTGAGCCACGCCATGACAAAACCAACATAATGGGTTTGCCACCAGCATGGATTCAGACCAGCCTGCGCATCTGCGCAGTCTGATCAGGATCCATGCTGTTCGCTATCAGTTTCTCCACTTGTAATAGGGTTTGTAAGCGAATAGCATGGATCCTGATCAGACTGCGCAGATGCGCAGGCTGTTCTGGATCCATGCTTGTCGCAAACCCATTATGTTGGTTTTGTCATGGTGTGGCTCATTTAACTAATTCTGAATCCAAGTGCCTCATGAGAGGAATTATTTTCTTTCATATGACCTTTATGTAGGTGGTGTTGGTAATTTTCACTCTGGATCAGTAAGCCACAAATGACATAGAATTTACCAGAGCACAGTTCAGCCGCCCTTTATGTAAAACTATAGAACAATTTATATTGTACATAGACTTTTATAATACTGTACATTTGTAACATCAATTTTAATTGGATAATCACAATGTTCATATAATATATATACACAGCTGCTGTCAATTTCTGATATTATTATAGAAAATGTGCCGTTCTATAAATTTGTTACACTGAATTTTGAGGTTATATTATGGTTTGGTATTAACATAAAAATCCTGTATCTAAAAATTCATGAGTCTAAAAATATAACATACGTAACAGATAATCCTTGCGTTTCTTAAACACAAAATATTTTATCCTATGAAATGTTTGTAACTAATACTAGATGTTTGTTTAAATTCTACACTTATATCACACATCTAATATATACCATACTGTCTTTTTGTTTCCATGGTGATCACAAAATATCTGCAGACATAACCAAGTCAAGTCTAGAACTGTCATTATACTGTTACATATTTTATCACAGATTAACCGAAACCTTGCATAGATTTATGACAAATATACTACAATAATCAACAATTTATCTGTAACAATGATGTCCAGAATATTCAATATATAAAATGTCTACATATTTTCTTAAGACCTAATAACAATAAAAATATATTCTGATATTTTGATAGTCAACATTATTTTCATATTCATTCTTATTTCCATTGACGTTTTTAAATAATAAAAAACTTTCGTTGTTAACTGTTCTAACAGCAGTGTATATACTATAATATGGCAGATACAAATATAAATAAGAGAATACTGTAAAATATAATAAAATGGCACAATTTGAACACTGATGGCATTGTGTCATTCATAATGAAAATATCAATAACATGGCTTTCCTAAAGTGATGTCAATTTTAAATGAACATGATGATTCATCTAACATAAGGACTTGCCTTTAAATACAATCTTTGTATCACAACAAAAAAATATGTCTTTAAGTGAAATGACCTTGACCTATCGATTAATACCATGACCTTGATCACAAGATTTAATGGATGAAACTGAGGAGGTTGTTGATTAGGGAAAAAAAGGCCATACTTAACATGCAGCAGACGTGAAATGACATGTACTGGGCATGTCAATAAAGATATATATGTTAGGTAGTAACTAAGGAAACTAAGGATTGTAGTTAAATGAATAATTTTAAGGGTTTTAACTTATTAAATGATTAGGTCTCTGATTTAATCATAATCTAATGCAAACATAGTGTAAAAGTACAAATATATATTAACAATAAAAAAACTTAACTGACAAATTCTTAAAATTTCCTAGTTCATGACTACATTATGTATGTATGTATATTGTAAAAGTATGCTAGTGGACAAAAAAGACTCATTTAAATAACTCTGTAACAATGGTAAATGACATGTATTATTCTACAGTTGTCATGGAGATAGAAATGTGAACACTAGTTAATGTTGTACTGCCAAGTTAGTCATGACTGTCTACTCACTTTCTCTTCATAAATACTAAATACATGTATCTCAAGTGAAGAAAAGTGTACAGTCATTTAAATGGCCAGCTTCAGTCTACAAGCCTCGGTGAATATCATATTAGCCAAGTTTACAGACTTTGATATTCACCTTACAATCATACAATATTTATATACTGTACAGATATAAAGGCTGGCATGACAGTATATTATTGATACAGCACTGAAAGTATTGCCACAAGCTGTCAGAGAGTTCAATAATAAGTTACATATCTGGGATATACCAACAATAAATAGTCCCCATACCTTGTTGAAACGAAATACAAGGCTGGAAATATGTTCCCAGTTCACTGTCACCTTGATTAAATATTTTATTCTACCCTGTTTCCATACTTATTTAAAGTCTTGTCAGTCATAAGAAATATAAGAACAAATCTTCTGACTTGATGAATATATCTAATATAGAAACAAAAACAAATGACAATTAGGTTTATCACAAATGTCATGTAAAAATAGTGAATATTACCCAAAGTGTTAGATGTGTAGCTCTTTTTTCCCATTATTTTGTTCCATGTGTAACAATGGTGGCTGTAAAAATTGTATTTGTTTGTAAAGCCTGACATAAGATTATTCAAATTTCATATCATAATGTAAAACCAAGTATCATCAAGTTGACATTCTACAGAATTAATTAACTGTTTATTGACCCTATAAATATTGCCTATTAACCCACTGCTGATGTATGTTACCAAGATAGCTAAAGTTATAGAAGTACATGCCATCTTAGTATGAATCTCATCTAACAATATCCCCTTCATTTATATACTGTTATAATATATTCTCACAACACGAAGACACCATTTCACAGTGAAAAGAACAAATTCAAAAGAGAAAAATTCAAATTGAAAAAAGCACTAAAATAATAATAATAATAATTATAAAATGTCATCATCAGTTATAACATAATCAGTAATAGATACAAAATGAGATCAATGGTTCTCTCCCAACATTCTTCAAACTTTCAACATATCTAACTTAATCTAAGTTACTGTACACAAAAATATAACTACATGTAAACGTTATGCTGAGCACTCCCCCCACCCACTAAAAACCCATCCTGTCAGAAAACCTCAAAGTGTTATTCAACTTGAGAAATCTTTCATTTCATTAAAATAAAATGTTAACAAGGTTAGCTTTTAAAAAAGCTAGTAGCGACTCGCTTCGTAATTTTTTTCAAGGGGTGTGTTTAAATGTAAAAATGACAGTTCTGTTAGCTGAAGAGACTTCAGCGAACATCAAAATAAAAGTGACGTCAACACTGGCCCGGTGCCCGATGGCCAGTGTATATAAGTTCAGGCCAGTGTAAATTTAAAAATTTAAGAAAATTTTGTTAATTATTTAGTAGAATAAATTCAAAACTGGAATTCGGGCCAGTAAATTCAAAATCTTAAACTCATTGACTGAAAGTGACATATAAAGTTCTTTCAGTTTAACCAAGATGAGTATGAGTATATATGAAGGTGCATGTAAACAGATTGAATGAAGAACCTATGTCTATGCACATTTACTATATGGCCTGTTGACCTTGACCACAAAATGTTAGATAGGTAGATTTCATAAAGATGTCTCTTTATACAAAATTAAGTTGTAATACATGTATGTTATTTAGTATTGGAATGAGAGGCACAAGTCCTAAAGTAAACACAAGTTGTCAATCAATTCAGCCAGAAAAGCCGGGATCCTATTAAAAAATATAGGGATCCCGGAAATTGACCAGTCTAAGAAGATGTTTTTCAGATAAGCCGGGATCCTATTAAAACATATAGGGATCCCGGGAATTGACCAGTTCAAGAATATAGTTTTCAGAAAAGCCGGGATCGTATTAAAATGTAAATAGATCTCACGGTGGCCAGTTCAAGTATATAGTTTTCAGAAAAGCTGGGATCGTTTTAAAACATATTGGGATCCCGGGATTTGACCAATTCAAGAAAATAGTCTTTGATTTTTCCAATTAATTAGGCATATAATTATAAGTATTGTGATTCCCGCATTTTAAGTTTGTAAATAAATAGCTCTAAATATATCTATATTCTAAGTTAAATAAATTTAACGTTCATTATATACAATAAAAAAAATAACGTTTAATGGCCTTTCATTACGACAACAATCAACACAAATATAGTTCATTAGGTTTTTCCTCCATATCTTATACGATCCCGGATCCCGGGCGTCCCGGATCCCGGCCAGTAAATACATACACTAAATACCGGAAAGGATAAAATGACCGGAAAAAAGGAAAATAAAAAATGCACAGAACCAGATGTACTCTTATGTTAATTAACCAAACGAAAACTTACTACAGAGAAAACAGGTGAAATCGCTAAATCAGAAGTCAGTGTAAATATGATTTATTGAAAAGAATTCATAAAGACAAACATTTTAATCATCATTATATCTTTGCGCTCAAAACAATACTTGCTGATTTTTAAAAATGGCGTGAAAATTGAAGGTTTTTTGACGCTATGTAAGATTAAATTTGATTGGCTAAATAATTTTGGGTCCTAGCCCTGATAGATAAATTTTGTAGAAAGCTGGAAGCCAAGCTTCGATTAAATTTTTGGATAGCTTCGGAGTTTTAGGTTGTTTCTCAGTAAAATCCTACCGTAATACCGGCTCGCCGTGGCGAGCCGGCAAAAAACATTTTAATTATTTACATAATTGTTCTCTTTTTTATTACCTTTGAAATGTTGAAATGGATTATCAGTAAATTCATCATCTTGAAGTTTTGAAGAAAATCATCATAAAGGTAAATTATAAACTATTGACTGGATACAGTTGATGTTTTATTTAATTTTCATACTTTAAATCATGTTTTATAGATGAATGTATTACGTTGATTTTATCAAATAATTCCTAGAATGAAAACTGGTATGTCTAAAGGGAGATAAATCAATATAGCAAGGTACTAGCCTATAGATATGTCAATGGAAGCTTATATGCCAACACAGGTAGTCTCCCTTTATTAAACATGGTACCTATACCAAATAACTTTATATGATTTGTGTGGGGCCGAAAACCAATAGTAAAGTTAGTCCAGCATTTATTTCCCTCAATAACTTTTGTTAAAATTTTATTATGATTTATAAGATAAAGTTTTGAGTGTCACTGGACTGATTTTTGTACCAGTTTTCTGGCCCATGCAGATCACAAAATGTCATGTGGTATAGGCACTGTATATATAGTTCATAATCACAAAAGAAATCCCAGACTACTTTCTAGTAAAAAAAGTATATCAAATAATCACAAAAACTACAAGACAAAAATGTTCTTTCTTTAGACATCAAAAGTTTTACTATAAACTATTCTTTACTAGAACCTTATTAAAAATTATTCATTATTATCCCGATGAAGGTGTTGTTCACCGAAACGCGTTGATAACAAAATAATAATATTTTGAAAAACTGTATGTGTTGTTGCTGTTTAAACATCGTTTTAGAACCTTATTACTAAGAATAATGTGCATGAATAGCTGAATATGACATGAAAAATTATGGTTATAGAAAAATATATCCTAAATTCCTTACAAAGTAAAGTGCACTGTGAATTACCAGATAAATTAAACAATGACTATGACATATGACTTTCATAAGACTTAAATATCTGAACATGATTATGGATGTCTTTTTTGTTGTTTTAATTGCACTTATTTCTAGAGTTTAGATGATGATTTACATGCAATTTAAATGTTTTTTTACAAGTTTACATTGTAGATTCTTTTAGGTGTCTCCTTACAAAAATAAATTCTTTTTTTTTTTCTAAAAAAAACTTAGTCACCATTTGAAATAATTTTGAAAACAAACAATAATATAATAAGAACAATCTGAAGAAAAATATCCTCATAAATCATAAATATTATGACTTAAAGTAAACACTGGCTAAACTTTTGTTTCTATATTTTGTGCTAACAGTTGTTGTTGTTGTTCTGGTGTAAGTTGTTGCTGTTGTTGAGGAGTTAACTGAACTTGTTGTCCTGACAACTGTAACATCTGCTGACCCTGACCTTGTAGTTGAGACAAAAGTCCTTGACCTTGTAATTGTTGTTGAGCACCAACTTGCTGGGACTGCATTTGTTGTTGGCCTGACATTTGATAAAACATCTGCTGGTTACCAGACACTTGTGTGTTAGACTGTTGTGAGACGAGAACCGGTGCTTTAGATACCATTTGACCTTGTGTCATCAAAATATTTGGATGAGAAACAACATACTGGGCCTGACTAGGCTGCTGTTGTTGTTGTTGTTGTTGATATAACTGTTGGAGTTGTTGATAGTGATGTTGTTGCAGCAGGTGCTGATAAGCTGCTTGTTGTTGTTGATATTGCTGGTGGAGAGGAGAAATCTGTTGTTGTTGTTGCTGCTGCTGTTGTTGTTGTTGTAACTGTTGTAAATGTTGTTGCCGTAGCAACATATACTGATAGTGCAGCTGCTGCTCCTGACTAGGCATTTGTTGTTGCTGTTGTTGTAAATGTTGTTGCTGCTGTTGCAACTGCTGTTGTTCTTGCATTTGTGCCAACAGTCGTTGCTTGGCTAACTCTTGTTGTTGTTGTTGAAGTTGTCTCTGCATCTGTAAAATATTCTCATTCTCATACATAGTACCTTGATCATGTTGGAACAGACCACTCTCACTAGATTGCACAGTTTGATCACGTAAAGCCTGACCTTGACTTTTGACACTAGCTGAAGAATTTGACCTTGACACTTGCACTGCACCACTAGTGACAGGTGTCTGTCTGTCCTTTTCATTGTTTGTTCTGGACTGATTATCAGCATCATCTTTTGGCATTTCTTGTCTCCGTCGTTCAAGTTCACGATTTAAAGCAGTTCGATATCTTTCATAACTCATCACAATCTTTTCTAGTTCTTGTTTACATAAACGATTCAACATTGCATCAAACGTTTCCATCTGATTTAACTGGAACAAATCCCACTGAAATGAGAACATTGTATTTACCACAATTAGTTATTGTTAGCATGAACTTTGCCTTTCTTACAACCACCAACAATTAATAGCAGAGTTACAGAGTAATATAACTATTTAGAAGAAGTTACATTTCATATGAACAAGAGTTGTCCAAGGAGCAGTGGGCCCCACTTTTCTCAGTGCTGGATGCTGCTGAGTTGGTCATGACAATAGTTCTACTTTGTCTTTGAAAAGATGAGGTAATAATGAGCTGATAAAATATTTCTCTTCTTTCCTAAACTTTCTGTGATAGTATAACTTATATAATTGTATTGTGTCTGAATTTTAACTTCTATAAACACTAATCAATCATATAAACAATATACCTTCAACTTGTGGTCATGCTCTGGAGGTGCTTTTGAGTAAACTCTTAACCATTCTGGAATCTCTGTCAATAAATTTAAACAACAGATGAATCACATAACAGGAAAAATACATCAAAATTTTCTTCAAGGGGTATAACTCTATATTCTAGTATATAAGAGTCTATGAAGAATTACTTCCCTTCCCTACCAGAAACCAAACATATGGATAACAGTAATTTTCTAAGGTGTCGTCAGGAGGTTTACCCTCGTGGCATATACTTATATGGCATAATATTTATAATAATCAAATAAAGCATCTTAATATACAGTTTCATTGATACATTTTTGTTTGTTTGTTGGGTTTTATGTCCCACCAACACAGTATAGTTCATATGTCAACTTTCCAGCTTTACCTCAGATGCTCATCTGTGCATTATAAATATACCTGAGTAGAATCACCAGCATTCTGTAAGCTACCTGGATAGCTTCCTCACATCCAAGTTCCTGTTAGAACCCACAGTAGTGAGGGGGCAAGGCTCATCAAATTGTACTGAACCAAATTCTACTGAATGAATATCAAATCAAGTTACATGTGTTACTGGATCTAAAGATCTGTTTTGAATAACATATATGCTGTAAACTTAATTCACAATTAAAGGGTTCACTGTAAACCTATCATGACTAAGGAATGTTGTGTTGAGCCCTACATATACACTGGAAATATAACTTACAGTTTCTGTTACCATGATTTATTACTAATATATACAAACCTGTATTGAGATAGGGGTTGGCAGGTACCAGGTTCCCACGTGGCTGAGCTTGTGATGTAACTGGTAACTGGTTGCTATGGTGACCATATTGATATGACATCACAGTAGAACATGGATGAGCATATTGTGCTTGCTTTGTGTAGTGACTGTAATGATTTTAAACATTTATATATCACAAACCTCTACAAAATATCTTATAATAAATCCGTCTTTTATATACAAACAAAATAACTCAAAATTTTGTACATTGTACTGTTTTACAAATAAGTAAGATTAAATTAAAGCTAAACATTTTTATTTCAGATAAACACTGTAAAAATATTGAATGGGTATAAGAATTGCCAAGGTCAATCTAACAGATAGTATATTAGTAAAATTACAAATACGCAGTGCTATTCTAAACATCTTGATATTCCTGGAACTGATATGGACAGTTTACGTAAAGTCTACGGTATATAAGAAATGCAGCAGAAAAAGGATTATTTACTTAACTGACATTTCTACTCTCACTAGTTTTCTTGAACTTTAAAAATTACTTGGTCTAAAAACTGATCTCTTGTCTGTTTCATTGTTTTTACGGCACACCAACACAGTATAGGTCATTTTAAAATGCTACATATGATTATAAAGTGCTACTAATAAAAGGGAAAAATAAAGGTACATGAAAGTACTTCACTTTTATTTGAAAGTCTACTTTAAAATCCTGAAAAGTTGGAAAATAAGCGCATATTGTATACTTACTTCACATAATAAACACCATACTCCTTTGATTCTATCCTATGCCAGCCTGTTGGTAGATTTTCCTTCTCTAGAGGATGACTCCAATGTGTTGTCTGTGTATTGTGGTCAATGTAATACTTGCGACCTCGGAATGTCCAGTCCACTGACCAACCTGTCGGCAATGCCATTTCATCATGACCCATAAAATTTGAACTCGCTGTAAAATATAAATATATATACATGTATACAGGCTATATATGTCTTAAAGGCACATTATGCCTTAGAAATCGATATGTATAAAATTCTTTAGAAATGGCAAACATGCGTTCAATAATGTTTTAATAACAAATTTAGAGCATGTTACATGTTTAAAAGCGGAAAAAAGTGGCACTGAATGTGCAGTTATGTCTTTAAGGTAGCAAAATGTAAACAATGTAGTATTTTGATTTCCATACAAAATAATAATAAACTACAGTTATAATGATTACCAACAGAACTAAAGATGCAAATGATAGTTTGTGTTTCTAGCAAATGAGTCTTGATGAGTATGTTTTCGGAAACTGTAACAAGACACCAAAAAGATAAAGTTTTTAAAAGATCAAAAATATAGCACTTCTAGACATAATGGGCCTTTAAGCAAGCAATCAGGATGAAGATCTGGAGCCTTAGATAATTTATTAGATAACCCCCTCCTTGGAATAAATTTTCTTCTGGAATTTATATTAATAAAGAGCTATAACAATACAATGCTCAAAGTAATTTACAGCTAGATAAACAGTAAGGTCATAACTGTAAATCTGGTAGGAACCTGCAACAACTTGCATCATTAAATATGTATGTATGTCTTGAAATAGCAACTTTAACTTTTCAAATGTTTTTCCAAAGTCAAATGAAAATATCATATACTTTCTGAGGCTATTTTTTTTTCAGAAATGGGAGTAAAGAAAAATAAAAAATTGATTTATTAATTTTGAATTAAAAAATAGATCAACATAATAATATCTTCTAAATGAAATGTAAAAAAAATAATAATCTAAATATATTTGTTTTTCTTTAAAAAATTATAATTTACTATATTTTAATTTCACAACCTGGAAAAATAATTCTATCAGTAATAAATGATAGAATTGTGTCCCACTATTGAGTAATGAATGGCCAAACAGTTAATTGATAATCTGTCAATGGATGATTGATTTCTGATTGACAGTTAAGTAAACACTTTCCTAATCTGTTTGCAAGCCCAATCTACAAACAATCATAAGGTGCACAGTTCTGTATTTCACACCTCATTGAATCACTGCATACATCACTCAATTTTCATACAAGCTAACTCCATTATCCAATCAAAATATTGAACTGTGGACAATTGACCAATAGAAAGAACTTTAACAATTACCAATTCTAGTTAAATATGAACTTTGACACTGAAAAAATTCAAAATATCTTTACACAAAGAACAAAGTGTACATGTTAACAACACCTCAGGAAAAGATTATAGACAGTGCATTAAAAGGAACTTGTGAATAAATATCGAGATAAATTATCACCATTTATTGATACAATAATCTAAGATGGAGGACCTGAGTGATTTAACATTTGATTGTAAATTGAGTTCAGTAGCACTAGAGGATCTATATTCATCTATAGACAATGATGTGACAGATTGTGGGGCAGATATGAGTCGACCATCTAGTACAGTGAGCTTTAGTTCATGGACATTCTCTCCTATATCAGAGGACAATAATGATCTTGATCATCTTGATGATAATAAAGGTAAGTTGTGATCACCTATACTCATATATTTTTACATATCTAGATTCCTGACAACTGTATTTAATTTACTTTAGAATACATTTATATGCTATGATCACAATGTGCAATGATATGGTTTTGAACACCAATCCACAGCTACCAAGGCACATTAGCCATGTGTTGAAATAAAATCAAATTTAAAATTTTGCCATCTGTGAACATCCTACATCTGATTTTTTATAAAGTTGAAAAAAAAAATACACAGTGACACAAACTATGTTGTAAAAAGAATTATTTGATTATTTCTGTTATACATGTATATTATGCTCAATAAACAAACAAAATCTCTTTATTATTTTTCTAGAAATATGTCATAAGCCTGTTTATATGATCAGGCATTTTCATCAGTCTGTCAATGTCAACAATACACAGATTAATTATGTTGATCATAGTTACAGTCTAATAATATATTACTTTGCATTGATTTTTTTAAATAAAAAACTGACATATCTAATTAATTAATTATTATTTCAGCCCATCAGAAGCCAGAATTAGCTGTTCAGCCAGTATCAGCCACTATCCAGCCAGTATCAGCCACTATTCAACCAGTATCAGCTATCAAACCAGTATCTACATGTGTTCAACCAGCTGTAGTGCCTCATCAATATCCAACTAACCAGCCACATTACAACCCATCATGTGACTTTGTTTACCCCAATACTATCACATATCATCAAAGTGTTAACATTCATAACTATGTCGGGAACTACTGTATTGGGGCACCAGTATGGAAACCAGAATATGTGTGGGATCGACCTGTACCCAGCCAGACACCATTCCTCGACAGACCAGACACTCCTCAACAACTTATAGATCACCATGATCCACTAGCTAACCTGAACACAGCCGGTCTAGAGTTTACACGATGTTCAACACCAGAGTACCTGATGGCTCTCAACTCGCTCAACCAACTCGATTCTCCTCCGAGACCAAACCATTCTCTAGCAATGAACTATAACTGTACAACATCATTTGAGGAGTCAATAAATAAATCTACAAATAACATCAAACATGATAGTGGATATAATTCAGACTTGAACGCATCTCCGGTAATCCAGCTACAAGATGGGAACGGCAAACATCTCCGACAAAAACAAACATCAACCCCTCAACATCAACCAATTCAGCCTCCACCAGTTCTTAGAATGATGGACATTCCCCAAAATAACAAGGAAAATGTGCCTCAACAATTTGTGCCTCAAACATTTACAATTCCAACTCCAAGATTTTTAACAAAACCTCAGTGCAGTGACATCCAATCAGAAAGCGTATTAATGCAACCTGGTGGCTATCTTAAATCTACTCTTCATAAACCTCTAGTTGATACAAATGGTCCAAAATACAAAACCATGGCAGATTATCAAATTGCCAAGAAAACAAAAGCTGAGGCAGTAAAAGCTGCTAAACGTAAGAATGAAAGTGAGATATCTTCAGATAGTAAACGTCGTCGTCACAACGAACCTCTCAGTAACAAAGCTCTACAAGTCATGAATGAGTGGTATGAACAACACTTAGAAAACCCATACCCTACTAAAGCTGAAAAAGAAGATCTCGCTAAACGTGGAGGAATTACCCTGGGACAGGTTAAATCATGGTATGCCAACAAACGTAACCGTAGCAACAACACAAGGCCAAAGAAACAGAAGAAAGAGATGGAAGGTCGTTTAATGGACATATGTCACCAGCTAGCACGAGATGCCAGTAAACCAGACAAGGATAACGCTTACTATATCCAACAACTCTCCTCTATCTTAGATACAACCAAATATTGTTGATATATATTTATGTGACCTAATAACTAAAATTGTGCTATGTTATTTTGCAAATTAGTAAATTTACTGACACAATATCTAAGATCATTTTTACATGTTAGGTGTATCTACCATCAGAATGTTGAATTTGTGATATGATGACATTAGTGATAATCAAGTGGCATTATTTCATATCAAATATTTTTCTGTGATTTTTTTTTCTGTGATAAATGATTCAGTCCATTTTTTCTGTAACATGTGCAATATATATGTTGTATGTCTTTCAAAAGTGTATGTAAATTTCGAGACAAATCTGACAAAAACTGGCTAATTGCAATGCATTTCCTAGTTAATACTAGATTTTGTGTCAAGATTTTGTGTCAATGATGATATGTCATAATTGTTAATGTTTTGTTATGTAAATTTGTTATTTATGATAAATGTGCTAATTATTTGTGCTATTGTGTAAATAATGTATATAATATTTATTGTATTTCACTTGTCTTTCATTAAATTACTCTTATTATTCTGCATGCATTATGTTTTTATAATAAACTGTATAGACTGTATAAAATCTTTGTTGATTGATGTTTAATACAAATCTCTAGGTTTGAATTAGTATGAATGGTTTTGGCAAAATAAAGCTTGTCTTGTCTTGTGAGGTTGGGAAAGAATATTGTTATGACCCATTAAACTAGCTCTCAAACCCAATACAAGAGCACTACAGACAATGCCAGTGCTTGTTTGTTAAAGATGAGAGCACCCAACGCTCATCTGAAGTATATATGAGGGATATAACTCAAATACAGCTTTCAGAATAATGCCCCTTGTCTAACTACTGTGTCTTGTCTGATATGGAAGCATTCCAAGTGTCACATTGATATTTTGCATGTCTACAAAGACTGATGCTGCAGCAATCAACCACCAAAACAGACAACCTTAAAATAAATTTAAAAATCTGGAAATACTGAATAATGTCATTTGTCCTAGTGAGTCGTCCCCAAGTATGCCAAGATTGTGTACAATATCTTTGATGATTTCCTAAATAACCAGTTTTAGACAAAATATTCTAAATGAGGCTTAACTCATGTTATTATATATTGTTATTAGGGTATTGCCCTTTGTCATGATAATCAAGTGTTCCAAGTTATAATGTCCCTTGTCTTGGTGAAATTTACTATAGTATGCACATATTGGAACAGAACAAGAGCTGTCAGTAGGACAGCAACATCTTAGTGCTTGATAGTAAAAGAGTCTTGATAATGTAAAATTTTCTAAGTTTACAAAAGGGCAAATTTTTTCTTTAAATCCATGTTATAGGCCTTGGAAAGAGTCCTATTATGCTCTCAAAAAAGAGTATAATATTTCAACTTGTTTCAAAGCCAGATGTCAATAGAATATGAAAATATGAGATAGTATGCAAACATGTACATAAATTCTAAGTCAAAAAAGGGGCATAATTCTGTCAAAATGCTTGTTACAGTTACCTCCTCCTGTCTACAGATTGGGGTCATGATGGTGAACAAGTGTGCAAAGTTTCAAAGCCATATGTCATTTGACTTTGAAAATATTTGAGGTATTACAACAAAACTTTAACATAAGTGGTTACGCCGACGCGGACACTCGGGTGACTACAATAGCTCTACTTATTCTTATCGAATAGTCGAGCTAAAAATGCACCCAAAGCTGAATGGTAGCCTTTGACTTACTGCATGTTTACTATATTGAGCATTTAACATAAAACATTATCAGTATGCAAAATTATGAATGAAAGAAAAAGCCATCAATGTTGACATCCCAAATACATCCATTCACCTTTCTAGCTGTTAACTTTGAATTCCTGTGTGACAAGTGCAACAGAATTATGCCTAGTTATCATTTTCAAATCTATCCATAAAATGACAGAATTGTTGACCAGATACAACGATCAAGGTTGTTTTATGATATTTTACCAAGTCTTAGCGTGACCTTGACTTTTAAGCTGAAAACCTGCTCTTTTATTATTATTTCAAGAAGTATTCATGAATGACAAAGTAAAAACACATCTATTTATTCATATCAAGACTTTGAACAAACAAAAGTGACCTTGATGCTTACATGTGGCATGGTGTCATAATGTCCAACACATTTATGCCAAGTTAATCTATCTAGGAATGACAGAACCGCCGACTTGATTTAACAATCAAGCAGTTGATGAAATATATTACACAAATGTGACCTTGACCATGAGCTAAATACATGTTTTTTGAATGCCTTTCATTTTGTTTTCCTAAACTTTACCAGAACTATGCGATTTCAATAGGGACCATGTAACAATATTTTACTTTTTCACTTTAATATTAACATTCAATATCTAGTATAAAAGTTGGGTAAATCAAAGTCTAAACCCAGTATAATTATTATATTCATACATATACATGTGTATGTTGTTGAGTCTGAAACATATATATGACTGTTTGTTGTTGAATTATTACCTGAAGTTGTAACAGTATGTACATCAGAACTCTGTGGTTGACCTAATGTTTGTTGAGTAGAAATATTCTGTTGGGCGTAATGATTTCTGATATCTTGATGGTATTGTTGTATCTCATAGTTATCATCATACACCTGACCGCCCTCGTTACCATAACTTGCACCATACTGACTCTCTTCATCTTGTTCTGTAAAATGATACAATACTTAAAACATACATGTAGATTACAATTTCAGTGAAGTACCAGTCAAACCATCCATTTTCAATATAAAAAATCAAAATTTAATTATATCAAATATACTGGACATTTTACTCATCTTCCTTTACTGATGTATTGCAAATATTTAGTCTGGTAAATATCTAAGTTTATAAAAGATTAAAGTCAAAGAAAACATTCATATTTGCAACATTGCCAAAGTTACAAGAAAATTAAATAAAACTAGAACTGCCACTATCATGGCGTGAATACCCCCGCATACCACTTTGTCAGAATCAACAGTGGCCATTTAGAACTCAAGGACAACCTCCCTGCCAAATCAGAGGTTAAGGATCATTTACTAATCATGACTAACCTCCATGCCAAATATGAAGACTGTGGGTCATAGGAACCTTAAGTTATTGGGCGGACAAGCTTTTTGAAGTCAAGGCCCCTGTGACCTTGACCTTTGACCTGGTGACCTCAAAATCAATAGGGGTCATCTACTAATCATGACTAACCTCCATGCCAAATATGAAGACTGTGGGTCAAAGGAACCTTAAGTTATTGGGCGGACAAGCTTTTTGAAGTCAAGGCCCCTGTGACCTTGACCTTTGACCTGGTGACCTCAAAATCAATAGGGGTCATCTACTAATCATGACTAACCTCCATGCCAAATATGAAGACTGTGGGTCAAAGGAATCTTAAGTTATTGGGCGGACAAGCTTTTTGAAGTCAAGGCCCCTGCGACCTTGACCTTTGACCTTGTGACCTCAAAATCGATAGGGGTCATCTACTAATCATGACTAACCTCCATGCCAAATATGAAGACTGTGGGTCAAAGGAATCTTAAGTTATTGGGCAGACAAGCTTTTTGAAGTCAAAGCCCCTGTGACCTTGACCTTTGACCTGGTGACCTCAAAATCAATAGGGGTCATCTACTTATCATGACTAACCTCCATGCCAAATATGAAGACTGTGGGTCAAAGGAATCTTAAGTTATTGGGCGGACAAGCTTTTTGAAGTCAAGGCCCCTGTGACCTTGACCTTTGACCTTGTGACCTCAAAATCAATAGGGGTCATCTACTAATCAAGACTAACCTGCATGCCAAATATGAAGACTGTGGGTCAAAGGAATCTTTAGTTATTGGGCGGACAAGAAAAAACCGACGGACGCCGGACGGACAATCTGATTCCAGTATACCCCCCTTACAACTTTGTTGTGCAGGGGTATAAAAATATGTTTAATACTAGCAATCAAAATATATTTCACATAGCAACTGGTTGTGTCACTGCATTTTATCTATCCAGGATATGTTTACTAATGAAGTAAAACCACTTAAAAGAAAAAATTCACATTTTCAGCATTACTAATTTATTTTTGGAATTATTACTAAATGTTTTGTGATGTCCATATATATTCCTAGCAAATTTGATAAGCTGTGATAACATTTTACCTTCTTGAACAACATTGAAATTTCCACTGTGCACATCAGTTTGCTGGTACCCTGGCTGATAACCCTGTGCAGAACCAGGGGCACCAGCACTTTCATAAGCTGTTTCACCTGTATGTTGGGAACCAGTATTTCTACTACTGCTTGTTCCCTGTAAAGAACTTGCTGACCCAGACTTTGTAATACCGGAACCAGCACTAGATATTCCAGATGATGTGCTAGACTGTGATGAGAATTGTTTCATTGCTCTAGCTTGCTCCAGGGAGGCAGAATCTACACTTAGTCTATGCATTTCTTTAGTTATTGATAGCATATCTGTATTAAGATTAGAAACAGGGTGAGAGGTGACTAATTGTTGGTTTGACAAATTAGGTTGAGACAGAACTTGTTGAGAGACAGGTGACTGAGTTTGTCTCTCATGGTTTATCACAGATGAAGCACTTGGCACAGACCGCTGGACTTTCACTAAAGACTCCCTAGGTACAGTTTCTATCTGACTTTGAGGTCTTGTACTTGTTGGTTTACTAATGAAGGGGAAGCTGGCAGCTGAACTGACTGCCTGTTGTGGTATATATGAGGCAGGAGCTTTAACTCCAGATCTTCTTTGGCCTGTAGGAGGTTTCACTGGCTGATGGTAGGCTACAAGAGAAGAATAATAATGTATAAATTACAAAAAACAACAACAATAAATTATAAAATTATAACATAATCATGGTATAGCCATTCTGGCCAATCCTCATCAGTATATCAATTTTGTAAGATTTCACTGTATTTTCTAACAGATAAAGTGAGTTTTGACAATATTCTACATCTATATCATGTTTGTGCAAATTTTAAAGTACCTTCATACTCACATTTTCTATCTTAGCTTAAGAACATACATGTCTAGTTTGTCATTATATTTAAATAAAATTGTCAGTAGAACAGCATGTTCAACTATAATCCTGCTGGATATAAAACAAGACCCTGCCCTGGATAATGTATAATTTCATTTGAAATGAGCAAGCCATTTGTGAAGATCCAAATGAATAACTTAAGAAGTTTTGACTGATCTTTCACACAAAACTTTTTGCTCACAAGAAATTTTTGTTCACAAAAGGATGGAATTTAGTATGGGGCACATAATATATGCCTTAGTTACAAGTCTTCTACAGTGACCTTAAATTATATTTCACTCCAAAGGCATGTGTGGCTTCAGTAGATGTGAAGACTGATAATGCATGTAAAACTTTAAAATTATGGGGATTGGAAAGTGACCTCTAGTTATGATCTTACAGCTATGTTTGAAGTAACAAGCAAATGTTTTAGTGTTTGGTGTAATTTGAATGCTGTACAAAATATTGCAAGGGTAGTGTAAATACTAATGCAAACATTGACATAAAGACATGTAGGAAAGCATCACTATTTTCTTGATTAAGCTAACAAAACACAACTTACATCTTAGTATTGGGGGAGTGTCTCTTTTAACATACTTCCCAGCTATACCATCATTCAACCCTGAGGAATCTTTCTTCTTTGAAAGCATATCTGCACCGGTAGCTTTGTATTATCCTTTATGTAAAATACTGTAAATAAAAGAGAAAAACATGTAAAAACACAATTTTTATTAAAAGACATTTTCTATCCTATTTTGATTATTTTCTGTTTTAAAGTTTTTTTTGTAAGTAAAGCAGAGTAACAAGTGAATGAAGTTAGTGAATGTGTTTGCATCTTTCACATCCAGTACAGTGACTAGAACCTGACCCATTAATAATGAAAAAGTACTGACTATATCTTTACTGATATTAAAGTTGGTTTTTTTTTGTGTGGTGGTGGTTGGGGGGGGTTAATTTTCACATCTGTCTCATCAACAGAAGAGGTCTCGGATTTTTTAGACATATTTAGTTATTTACGGAAAGTCTGGTAATGATAGTATAAATCATTAACAGAAGAGGTCTAGTCATATTTATGGTAAGTTAGGGTAAGGGTTATGATATTATCAAAAATCTGAAAGATGTACCAAAATTTAAAATGACTGACATTGTAAGATTCATTCCAAACTTTAAACTATCTTTTATGAAACAGTATTCGCAATGCCACAAAGTAACAGAGGCTACGTCAAAAAGTTTTAAGATCAGATTATGGCGGTACAAAAAGTATAGTATTTTTTCCAAAAAAAAATGTTATTTTTCGCGCCTTTTCCCCCCTACTGAGTTGCAAGGTCTTTTCCCAAAAATTGTATCTGTTTTGATGATTTATTATTTTGTTTGGCTCATGTGGAGGCACTCAGCTTTAAGACACATTGTATATATGCGCTTTTTGTGATGTTTGTTTTTTTTTTAAATAATTTGTCATTGAATGACATTATACTGTATAACTCTATGCAATTTAGACTTTATCAACTATCAAATATGTTGACAGATAAATATCTCTGCCAAGCCCAAAGAAAGGATATTTAACAACCAAGTGACAGCAATTCAGTGTTTGTAAAGGGAGTACACTATGGCCAGTTGGCCGATAAGTGCATTGACACTAAAATATATAAGCCAAGCTCAAAAACATCTTTTGGCAGAGCTGGGGGCGAATCGGCAACTCGCTGATTCTCTTCAGCTTGAAATGGCAACCCTCCAAAGTCAACACTTACATCATTGAATTCTGAACATGTGCTAGGATACAAATATCTATTAGAAGAGCTAAGGGCTGCAGAATTTAAGCCCAGGTTTGGCAGCAGCCAAGTGTCACCACAATTAAAAGTAATTTAATTCTGATATGCTACATCTACATAATACTGGCTCAAAATCGTTAACGATAACACTAAGCAGGTATACATTGTATACATGGAATTGAGAAACAGCTATGAGATACAAGGGAATCCGGGAACCAGTCCCTAGCTCGTTATTGAATAGATCCCTTGGTCCTTTTACATGCCCAGTGTATATTACCTAGATTTCTTACAAGTATACCTTAAAAATATGTGGGAAACACAAAGTGTCTCTGAAAAATTTCAAGGATGCTACCCAGGATCGAACCCTGGACCTCGGAGCACAGGTGTTTGGTACATTGATTGGTCACTACCCCCCACCCCCCCCAACCCATTACCCACTCTACAACCATCCTTCCTCTCCAAAACTGCAGTATTTTTCATTTGATATGTTTTTAATTCAATATTTTATTTTCACCAAAAATAAAAAACAATACATAGTAACATATATATTTAGTAAATATATAGGGATTGTATTTTTTTGTGTGTTAAATGACGGAAATGAAATTAAAAACATATATCAAATATTAAAACATATTACAAATGACAAATACTGCAGTTTACATGATTTTGGAGAGGTAGGAAGTTTGTAGAGTGGGTAATGGGGGGGGGGGGGTAGAGACCAATCAATGCACCAAACACCTGTGCTCAGGAGTGACAGTCAGTGGTCTAACCAATACGAAACGTTTGCATTCAAATTGAAACGTACAAAGTTGGCAGACTGACATAAATCAATAACTTTGACAGCCACATGTACTTTGAATGACAAAATCTTTAGCATCCACTGTAACAGTTACAGCCTACTGTGTAGATCTATAGATGCCATATTTTTGCATATATTCAAATCTGATCTTAAGTATCAACATTCAATAGTAACATTATATTTGTACATTTTGATGTCTCTGAACCGATCAGAGATCGTACTATAATATTTAGTAAATTATAGAAAAAATAGAAGTGAGGTCATAATCTTCTGTGCTATCAGAGAAACACCCATTTTCAGCATGACTAATGAATTCCAATCAAAATCTACAATTTATTCCTTTATTAATATAATTACCGAATGGTGTTTTCTTTCTGCATTTCTAATAAATATAATTCGCTTTCGGTAAGTCCTTGTTAGAAGGTATTTTTGACAAAATACCAAATTCTTGACATACAGGAAGTGTACAAAAGAATATGACCTCCGCAAAACGTCATAGATATTTGTGTATTTTGGCCGGATGTGACGTTTTGTACCAACGACCTCCATGTTTACCCTAGCAACTTCACAAGGTTTGGATAGAAACAGCTCTTTACACATTTGGCAACGCGAGAAAACAAGCAGCTAAGGATTCTTTAATTATTTACACAGGCAGATATTATTGTCTGCATTCTTTTAATGGAATTGCATAAATAAATTGTTAAAAAGTAACTCGAAAGAAAATATTCACTGAACATTATCGTGATATAAAAATCAACCATGGATACGCCAAGCATAAATCCTAAAGAACAAGAATATGCAAATGCAAAAGCATATTTATTACAAACAAGTACAGAAACTGGATACAATCTGTAAGTTTATTGAATTAAATTATATTTACTTATATCATGTTAATAGATTTACTCGTCTTAAATTCATATATTTTCACAGCAGGTAGACTACTGTTTATTGAATTTAATTATTATTTTTTTCTACATGATTCAACTTGGTGTATTTGCTATCCCACACCAGGAAAATTTGATCCCTCTCCCTTAAACATCACACCATGAACATTTTCTGGGCTATCTGTTTCTTTATAGCAGTCCTATTTATTTTAAAAAATTAACTAAGGCTGGGCTGTAATAATTACTCGGATTTTCGTGAATTAGTGATTCAATACAGATAAGGTATTGTTAGTTTTAAGATTGCCGGATCAAGATTTACATCTATATGAATAAAAATTCTAATACATGGTAACTTTTTCATTAGAGCAAAACAAATTTAGAAAACTAATTTCACTGTTTAACATCATCATGTTTACATTAGACATGCCTAAACCCTGCTATTACTAACATGTGTTAAGGTACAACAAAACCAGGTTTGTTATTTGTCAATGAAAAGTGAGCTCTGTGTTGTCTACAATGATTTTTATTTCTGCTTTCAGATATGACCATCTGAGTACATGTTTAACAAAGATTTTAGATGAAAGACCAGAAAATGTAGTCGATGTTTTTGAAGATATAAGTAACCACACTAAAAGAGCAAAGTTCACTTCAAATGTAGACACTGTGCAAGATAAAATAGATCAATCAACAGAAGTTGCGCTAGCTCAAGTTCAAAGGAAACTTTTTGCTGTAAGACCATGTTTTTCCATCTCTAAAGCTGTAAAAGATAAATAAGGGTTAATCAGTGTTAGTGTTTTATTTGATTTACAAACATTTATATTAATCTAGTACTTGTAAGTATTTTTGTCATGGATAAAAACTTTGATTCATTAGTTTTATTTACATCAAAATAGTAATATTCTTTTAAAAACTTTGCATTGTTCTGTCATATAAAATCAAGCAAAATCATATTTCAGCTTTATCACAACCATATCTACAATAGTGTGATCACTATTAAAGTTTGAATTGACCATTGTGAAATATTGTTCTTTTCACAATTATCATATCTGACAAGTTTAAACAGGGTTTTTCATTTTCATCTGAGGCAACAGATGCTCAAAAGAAAACAACTGATTTTGCCAAGGGTTAAGGGTGATACTTTAATATACAGGCTGAAAATACAACCAATTTTAACAGCATTTTAACCGATGGTTTGGATGGCCAATCGGTTAATCATGAAAACCCTGTTTTAAGACTGTTTCACATATATGCAATCACATATCATCCTGCTGAGAAATCTCTATAAATCAATAAAATGCTTAGTTAATATTAAATATATTTCATATTGTTTGTATTTCTGTTAAATAATAACTAGCTCAAAAGGATTAGGAGCACATTATATATCTATGGTTAAATATATAGCTAGACAGCATGTCAAGTGTTAGATCATAAATTTTCATTTGCCCAACACTTTTATTCAGATTGTTTTTTACATAATATTTATGTCTGAAAAGTATATATAAGTACCTGTAATTCATATAATATGTTAATTTATCAGCTAGCATATATTTACATTCATGAGATATTCTAATTCGCACAGACATTATGTCATTGCTTTAATGATGAAACATATTGTCTGTAGCATATTTCAAATCATTAAATGATTTTTTTTTACACTACATCATACAAATTGTAATGTATTTTACTTGTATATACAGAAAGGAGAGGGAGAAGAAGGTGACCAAGAACAAGATGAAGATGCTGAAACTCCACTACCAAATCTCATGGAACTCTGCTTCTACTTTGAACAAGCTGGAGTTGGTCTGAACAGAGAAGAGGTCATCAGAGTTTGGATGGCACTAAAAACTCTGGTAGATACACATAACCTTCAGCATGTCAGGTTCTGGGGTAAACTTTTTGGAACAGAGCAAAATTATTATGTAGCAGAGGTAGAGTACAGAGAAGGTGATGAGGAGCAGGAAGAAGAAGAAGAAGAGGTGGGTCTGATTAAATTTCCTATGAAATTATTAAATTGAAAGTTTGAAATGAATATCTGATCACATATCAATCTATAGAAATCCATTTATTACATGCTTTTAAGTGATTTTTAGAAATATATCAGTGAAATATATAGAGGATATTTCACTGTTTGAAACAGTGAAATTATCAATTTGATATTTTTCACTGTTTTGAATTCTAGCCGATTACATTGTTTCAGTGAAATACAAGTGTGCATAGTACTGGAAACCAACTTAATGATGTGACGTCGTAAATGATGTCACATTGTATTATTATTTAGCACAATTTTCATTTAGTATAAGGTTAAAATGTCTTTTTAAACATTTCTTTGTATATAATAAAAAGAAAATTTATTTTGTGTAAGATCGAAATATATTTTACCTCACAAACACTAAAAGCTCATATTTCACTTGTGCCTGCACCACTAGTGAAGTATATCTTTTGGTGCTCAGTCAGTGAAATATAATCTGATCTTACACTGAACTGGACATACATCCTATATCTATTATTTTTGTAATTAGATATTAATATCCTCATCTGCTATTATTCCAGTCTGAGGAGAATGCAGATGAAGATCAGACCGAGAAAGAAGAAGGAGAAGAAGGTGAAGAGGAGCAAGAGGAAGATGACACTCCCAAACCTGACTTTAAACCACCACCAGTAGTTCCTAAAGAGGATAAAGCTGGTCCTAACAAGAAAACATACTTTGTCTGCAATGATCGTGAGTCTCTTCACTGTTTATGTTTGATTAAATTTTATTGAATAAGGCAGATGCTGAGTACATGATTTAGAGATTACAAACATGATTAAACAAAAGGCATGATGCAAATTGTCTGTCAGTTTATCCATCGGTAAATAACTAAATATGCTGAAATCACTGAAGTAATGATATTTGAACTTAGTTTTTAGGACATACTTATACAACAATTTCATGTTGAACATTGTTGGATCCATTTACATGTTTTCATGCTAATTGATATGTTTTTCAGCTGGTAAACCATGGAACAAACTGCCTGCATGTACACCAGCACAACTTCTATCAGGAAGACAAATTAAGAAATTCCTTACTGGACGACTTGATGCTCCTGTAAGTGTCTATTTATAGTTTACATTCATAAATTATTGACAGATTATTGATAGAGGGGAGCAGTGGCCTAGTGGATAAGGTGTCTGCCTCTTAACCCAAGAATCATGAGTTCGAACCAAACTTCGGTCACAATCACTATTTCCTTATACAACACCTGAGTACTGATAAGTTCCAGGAAGCAGACTAGAAAGTTTTGCAATTGTATTTAAACAACTAATTATTAATGATCAGTTTTAGTACCAATATTATTTTATTTCATTTTTTTTTGCAAAATCAGATTGATATTTTTCAGTTTCATTTGATGAATATTACCTATAGAGTTATAACTTGTTTTGTTTAAGGTTGTAAGCTTCCCACCGTTTCCCGGCAATGAGTCAAACTATTTGAGGGCACAGATTGCTCGTATATCAGCTGGTACCCACATCTCACCTCTAGGTTTCTATCAGTTTGATGAGGAGGAGGAAGAAGAAGAAGAAGGAGAAGGTAAAACTTCCACTGTTGTTAACTCAGTGTGAAGATTATGATATTTAATCATATTACATTCATTTAATTACACTTGATTAGACATAAATTTCTCTAGTCATTCTATAATACATGTGTATTAGACTGTTGTAGTCATTCTACCATATGGCATGTGCTTTTTAATTGATTTGTCTAAGTTTGTTTTTTATCAAGAAAATTTCTGAATCCTTGTGTAATGTAGATATATGCCATATTGTTTCCTTTAAATATTTATAGACAACTGTATTTATGATCTGTTTGTTTTCAGGCCGTGACAACTTTGTAGAGAATCTTGACTTTGAGGGAATCCCTGTAAAAGAGCTCATAGACCCAACATTGTCAAACTGGGTACATCATGTACAACATATACTGCCACAGGTAAGGCTATACCTAAATAATTCTTCAAAATCATTGTCTGTTATTATGCTGTGTAAAATACACTCTATTCCAAAATCCTTTTCTTGAACTGCCTTTTGAAATGCATAGAAATGAAAAAAAGAAGATTTTTCCAATATTGTTATGGTTATTTTCTGAATTATTTCTATGACATGAAAGAAGTGCTGATAATAAATTGAAATTATATTATAATATTGTTGTACAATAGTATTTTGTCAAACATGTTGAAACTGATGCTGTAAGTGCTAATGATAACACTGTCATATTGTCCTGTTAGGGTCGTTGTGTCTGGTGGAATCCGGTACAGAAGAACGAGGATGAATTTGAAGATGAGGAAGAGGAGGAGGAAAGAGAGGAACCAGACGAGCCTGAACCCGAGACTGGTCCACCATTGTTGACACCTCTATCAGAGGATACTGAGATAGGAAACATGCCTCCATGGACAGCCAAACTCTCCTCCCACCTCATTCCACAATATGCCATTGCCTGCATACACTCTAACCTCTGGCCAGGTGCTCATGCTTTCGCCACTGGAAAGTAAGTACACAAAGTTTGTTTGTTTCACAATTATCTAAAAAGTTGAACTTGGAGGTCATCACTAATAAAAAAATCCACAAATTTATCTCTTAGATACAATTTGGATTCTGTTACTTGTGAGAGTATTCTATTACATGTAAGGAAAGTTTTAATAAAACTGGCACTCCAAACACAAAGAGAGGATTTCACTATATTATAATTTATTGTTGTTATTTTAGGAAATTTGAGAATGTTTACATTGGTTGGGGACACAAGTACTCACAAGACAATTACAGCCCAGCAGCACCACCTGCGATACTTGAAGAGTTCCCAAGTGGACCAGAGATCACGGAGGCCGAGGATCCAACTCCCGAGGAGGAGGCAGCATTGAGAGCGGCACGCCAGGAGGCACAGGAAGCTGCTGAGGACATGGAAGAGGAAGGTGAAGAAAATAGCGATGAGGACTAGATACATTTTGTTTTCATAGACAAGAAAAATGAATATTCTGTGTATTGAATAAAATATTACGAGATTTAAATACTGTGCATTTTTCTTGATTTTGACGGAGTAAAGTGCCTTATGAAATTGAGTAAGATTCCATGATAAGGACTGCAATACTAGATAGATACTCCATTAAATAAACCAACAGACTTAGAAATGGTAGAAGAGATGATTGCAGAGTTGGAATTTGCAATGTTGTCTCTGAAACAATTCATTAATACTTTTCTTATTCATTTCTTCATATATAATGTTCTTATTTATAATTGAATGTAAGAATGAGCATTGCATTTCTGTGATATTATGATGTTTATTTGTCCGGTAACATTTGTGTAAATGTTTAAAAAGTTTATTTAAGTTGATAGACTATTTTCTCCCTCCCTCAGTCTTGTAAAGAATACTGCTTCAGTGTAGAGCAGGGAAATATATACGTTCTTGTACCAGCATTCCAAGTCTGACAATTGTTGCTAAAATAATATATTTATGAATGGAAATATTGAATTAAAATAAAAAAAAATGAAAAATTATCCTTGTTATTTTATGTGAACTAAACACAACAGATATAGCAGTAAAGCAAAATGTTAAAGGAGCTTTTCTATACATGCTTTAAAAAAACAACAACAAATAGAACACAATCAAAATGGGCAAATAGTTTGTCCATATTCCTATGTCCAGCATTTATGAGCAAAGGGAGAGAAATATTCATATTGAAAATATATTTTTATTTAACAGTTATTCCCCTTATTCAACTGTTCACTTTTTTGAATGTTGAATATTAGCAATTACAAGAAATAATCCAACAAAAAAATAAAAAAAATACTGATCATAAAGAATCACCATTTACAGCATAGATATATTTATTTACACATAACAAAATATATTGGGAATTTTGCATGAGTTTGCTTTTCAGATGTGTTGAAAAGCTTGAGTAGATTCTTCCAGAAGAACATACAGAACTAATGTAGAAATGTTTTTGTTGGGTTTTATGTTGCACTAATGCAGTAGATAGTAGATAAGCCATAAGGTGACTCTCCAGCTTTATAAGTGGAATAAGACCTCTAGCACCATGCGTTATTTCAAGCATGAACAGGCAGCTGAGTAGAACCACCCATCTTCCATAAGCTAGCTGGATAGCTCCCTTACATGGAAGAATCAAAAGTTGCTGATGGGATTCAAACCTACAGTGGTGAGGAGCAAGTGTTTTGATATTGGCAACCTTACCTACTCTGCCACAGTCACCCAAAACTGGTGTAAATACCAAGAAGTTTGAGCTGGATGTATATAATTTCTCCCTTGAAGATGACTGTTGTCAGGAAACTTGTAGGTATATAAACTTAAAATAATAAATGTATAAATAAAAAAGATTTTATTAATTTTAAAATAAACATTTTCATGATGTTCATTGCTGAACATTTATTCTAGTATATGAACTAGACATTGTATTTTATATGATCTCAGAATTATCACAAATATGACAGGTGCTCTGTACTCATTTATTAATAAGAGAACTGATCGATTGCTTACTTCTTATTCAAAAGAACAAATGAAGAAAATTAAGAAAGCTGTGTAATGAATAAACAGCTCAAGAATTTTCACTGTGACCTTTGACCACAGACATAACACATGTTTCTTCTTCCATCAGGACATTGTCAATTTCTTGAAGAAAAGTAACAGATTGTACAAGTGTGATATTTATGAAGTGAAAAGTTGATATCATTATGTAACTAGAACAGTGGATTGTTTGAAGCCAAATCAAATAAAGTAAGACCTTAGGCCACTACTTGATGAAGAGGATGAATTTTTTGTCTGGAAATTGAAAGTATTTTAACACTAGAGGAGATACTGTATTGCTCTTGTTGATGAATGTTACCAATCTAAGACTGTCTTAACTTTTAATAATAGATGACACAAGTCGTTCAATAAGACGCACGTAATAGATTGATTTGTACGCCGAGTTGTTTTTCCTCCTCATAGCAGACTGTGCACTCGTTTTTGCACTTAAAACCAGTCTGCCATTGCTACATTGTTGGAAATCAAATTTCAAGTAACTTGACAAATATGTAGTATTTTATTACATGTCTTTCTATGAAAGTAGTCCAGATTTTAGAAACAGTTTCGTGAGTTTGATTGCTTTATAAGCCTTAAGATAAAGTTTTTGGTAGCTCCACAATGACTCTCAACCTACATGGGAAACACATGTTTCTATTTTTTTTAAATGTAAACTCCTTTTTCTTTTTTATTATTTTGTAAAAGATTTCTATTCCTACCAGATCACTGTATAAAAAACAGGAACTTGGTGATTTTTTCAAAGTTGATGTATTACAGATTACATATCCTACAGAAAAAAAAACAACATCATGCAATTTTGTACAAAGCTATAAACATACTGTCTAACTGGCATATTCAGGTCTTATTCCTCTCAAACTTTGACCAGCTGTCTGATGGAATAAACATTGTTTGAAATTCTTTGACCATAGATGATAAGACATTCATTTTTGTACAAATTTTACCTGGAAATTTTAATGACTGGTCCAGCATGTCTAATTGAAATGACCAGTGTGACATCTTAGGTGAAAGTATACTGATCAAGGCTATTACTTACAAGGTTGGCAAATAAGAATTTTACACTGGCTGCCTATACAGAGCTGAATATATGTAGCTGGAGGGTAACTGTTAACGGTCTGCCAAGTTTCCCGGTCTGCCAAGTTTCCGCTTAACAGTTACCCAAGAGCAAAATATTCCTGTCTATGAATATAGCCAGTATTTGATCTTGCATAATAAATTTAAATCATATTCCAGAAAGAAATATCGAAAACTTATATTTTCATTTATACCTTTCTATAGTTGTGTATGCATTTACAAGTCCATTCATAACATCCTATAAACACAATTCATTCATAAAGGTACAGAGAATGTAAGCCTAGTTTTTTCTAGCACCCGTGTTACAGTAGAAAGTCTTGGCTGATTTGCAAGAATACAGGTTTGAGTATCTCTGCTTTTATATTTATCATTGGAGGGATGTTTTAATTACTGGTGAATTATTTAAACTTGTATGGCTAATAAACCTTAAAGAATTTAAGTCTTCATGACTTGTACCAGTACATAAATTAGATTTGAAGCTTTGTGTGAAATTTCTTGTACAACTTCATATCTCATCAGTCACTACAGAATTTTGCTTATAACTTTCACACAGTCATGTCTTTGGGATCATAGAGGTCATTATATATAGATAGGTGAACTTTTGGTTAAAGTATTGCATACAGGATTAGTACCAGTAGTCACAACTACTGAAAGTATTCATGTGAAGTATTTCATTGCCTATGTGGTCATAACTTAGAGGTCACTGTCCATGACTCCTTAATCTTTCCTGTATTCTGAACAAAATCTTCCTCTTTGTTATCTCCTACTTTATCCTCCCTCATGTTTTACTATGAAGCACAGAGAATATTCTAGGGTGCTGTCCTACTGGCAGCTCTTGTTTAATATTGAGTCACTGGTGAACTTTCAAAACTGGTGAAACATTTAGCCAAAGACTTAAGACATTTTTACCCTGGCAAAGCTGTAGACTTAAATGACCAACAAAATTTGACTAACAATCTTTTTGGCTAGAATGACTTGACGGGTATTTTGGCCTAAATGACTAGTGAAACTTTTAAGGTTATCACAAACTATAGTTTTAATAGTGAAACATTTTGACTGGGTAACTGGTGGAGATTTTGGGCTTGAATGATTTGGGAAAGATGAAGACTTCAGTAAATTTGAACTACTGGGATTGCAATAAGACCTAACTGACTTGTCAAGCATCTAAGTTGTGTTGACAGGTAACACAAAAGATTAGGCTTGAAAAACTTGGAAATCATTTATGAATGATTGTAAAGTGTTTAGGTTTAAATTGCTGATCATTTTTAGCACATCTTACTTATTGCAAATCAACTGACGTTGAATGAAGTTTTCAATCAAAAGATGAAAACACTATTGTTTAAGTCAGAATCATTTTCTACTTGTACTATGGAACAGTCCTGCATTTTCTATTTAAATTACCTGTGTATTAGGTACAATACTTCAGTTTCTCAATGTGCTTGCCAATATCTTTTGTTTTGAAGGTCACACTGACATTTTAATATAGAAACTTTCAGAATAGAAATCTCTATTGTTATGTGTCTATCTCCTTCTCCCAACAAAAGAACATTAAGATTGAAGATTTATTTGCAAACAATGCTTTATCATTAACTTTTACTTTAACAGTTTCAAACTCTGTGCTCTATCTAAAATCTTGATATTCTTACTTCAGACCTGAACCTTTAATTTCAGACTTAGTTGTTTAAGTTCAGACTTGGTTGTTTAACTTCAGACTTGGTTGTTTAAGTTCAGACTTGGTTGTTTAAGTTCAGATTTGGTCTTTAAGTACTTAACTTCAGACTCGGTCCTTTATCTTTGGTGGTAAGGCAATGATCCTTGTAACAGTGTTGTATGTCAAATCAGATTGTGACAATTGAGAGACTTCCTCAACATTGCCAGCTAGTCTCTTCACATAATAAAACAATCGGTTTCTATACATCATTATGTATAATTCTGTCATACATCACTTTGTGTGGAAGAAATAACAAAAGTAATAACATCTTTGTTCAGCAATTTTATTTTTGGTCAAAATGTGGTCAAAAGTCTAAATCTAGACACAAATATATATAAATATTATATGATGGACTCTTTTTTGCGAATACAAAAACATGATAAATAAATAAATGATATTCACATAGTACTAATCAATTAAAAGCTGTGATTTTGTTTTTAGCAAAACAAATAAAATGAATTCATAAATAACAATTAAATAATGCACTTCTTTTATAAGATTAACATAATTTATTGCTAAGACAGCACAGGTAACATTAAGGTGTAACTTTTATTTATAGAAAAGTATCTTCCTGTATGCCCAAAAATACTTTAATTTTTATCTCTAAAAATCATTTTATTCTTGGCGTTCTGTTTAATATTCTGAGTTATATATCTAAACTATCTTTTACCTCTAGGCCATAAGTATAATAACAGTGATTTAGTATTCTGGAAGACAAAATACCACTTTGTTTAAATTTTGTTATTTTTAAAACAAATTATTATACATGTACATTGAAGGGTGCTTTTGTCGTGTGATAATTGTCTTACAGCTCTTAATCTATTTTTTAAACATTACAAGACACACAGGTTTGTTTTTTCTTCCCCAAAAAATATATTTTCATTTCTGAGACTTAATGTACCTTTAAATACAGACTTTAATCTTTTGTACTCCCATTTATAGTTGCAGTGTTTATCATGGCAGCAACTCAGATGGTAAAATTATAGTTTGTCTTAAAACAATATTCATATAAAAATGTTGAAAGTGTTAGAACAGTTTAACAAAAAAAATCGTACTTTTAAAATTGTTCAGAAATCACAATATCAAATGAATTAGTCTGCTTAATTTAGTTTGCAGCTTGAGATGCATCACAAATTAGATGTTTGAAGTGAAATAAATGCTTCAAGCACTTATCTTAATATCTTTTAACAACTGATTATTTCACTAATTAGAAAGAAAAAAAAACAACATGTTAAAGTAAAATGATGAGTTAATGATTGATTGAGACTACATGTAAAAATTCTGGCAGTCTTTATGATATGTACACCTTAAAAACAAGGCTTCTCTATTATAATAATACTGGACCTCAGTGCTGGATTATCTCATATCTGTACAGATATGTGTGTTCTAATGAATGATGTCACAGATTATGTCATATCTGTACAGATATGTGTGTTCTAATGAATGATGTCACAGATTATGTCATATCTGTACAGATATGTGTGTTCTAATGAATGATGTCACAGATTATGTCACATCTGTACAGATATGTGTGTTGTAATGAATGATGTCACAGATTATGTCATATCTGTACAGATATGTGTGTTGTAATGAATGATGTCACAGATTATGTCATATCTGTACAGATATGTGTGTTCTAATGAATGATGTCACAGATTATGTCATATCTGTACAGATATGTGTGTTCTAATGAATGATGTCACAGATTATGTCACATCTGTACAGATATGTGTGTTGTAATGAATGATGTAACAGATTATGTCATATCTGTACAGATATGTGTGTTCTAATGAATGATGTCACAGATTATGTCATATCTGTACAGATATGTGTGTTGTAATGAATGATGTCACATCTGTACAGATATGTGTGTTGTAATGAATGATGTCACATCCATACAGATATGTGTGTTGTGATGAATGATGTCACAGATTATGTCACATCTGTACAGATATGTGTGTTGTGATGAATGATGTCATATTTTACAGATATGTGTGTTGTAATGAATGATGTCACATCCGTACAGATATGTGTTATGTAATGAATGATGTCACAGGTATGTCACATCTGCACAGATATGATAAATGATGCCACACACTGTTTTGTGCTGTGATGAATTATATCACACATCAAGTTACATCTGTACAGATTAATGTGTTGTGATGAATGATTTCACACATTATGTCACATATATGCTGATGTTACAAACTGTTTTGAATATGCTACGATGAATCATGTCCCATTGCGACATCATTTGTCATAAATGTTGTCACATCTGTACATAAAATGTTTGTAATGAATGATTTTGTACAAACAGTGGTTGTGATGAATAATGTCACATCTGTACATTAAATTGTTTGTGAAGACAATATCTGTGATGAATAATATGATATTGTAGAGTTGTTTTTTTATGTATTATATCATGTCTGCAGTCTGTTTGCAATGTATCATGTGATGATGAGCTATTATCTGTCTGTATATTGAAATTGTTCGTGACGGTTCTCATGCAATCTTCATACAAATTATATCATGTCTGTACAAGCTATATAATGTAATGTCTGTGAAGACGATGTTGAAGATGAATTTTATGTTCAGCACCAGGAACACAGGTAATAACTGTAAAATATCTTATATGCTATATACATATAGTCAACTTTAAGCATCAATTAACAGTCTAAATCTATGGCAGAACAAAAAAAATTAATTTAAGCTTAAAATTTATATGAAGATAAAATTCTACAGCAAAACCATAATTCCCTTATATACATAAAATAACTGCTTTTATCAATGTGTGGAGTTTAGATAGGAAAACAAATTTAAATTTACTAATTTAATCAGCATCAAGACAATATTTAAGTATTCAGTATTTTTTAATAGAACAGTATTTCTAATTGTCAGAAAAAAACCCCCAAAAAACACAAAATAAATTTCACACTTTTCATCTGTTAGCCTTTGACATATATAAGTTTCCTAATTCTCAACAATACTGCAAGTTTTAACATTTTCAGAATATGATAGCATCAACAAAATATGTGAAATGAAAATTACAAGTTTCTATGTATATGAGGTATAAAATAACTTGATGTAAGACGTGTTAGACAATAATTAACTTGTAAACCAATTAATTTACCCTGTATTCTTTCTATAAACTGGTCACATGTGACAAATGGAAAACTGAACATTTTTAGTTTCCTTAATCATTTTGTGCTTGAAAGACATTTGCTTGTTTGCCTCCATTTAAAACTATCATAACATTAATTGAAAGGGGATAGACACATAATTCATGTTGATGAAATTTTATTAACAATATTACTTGATGTGAACAAATTTTCACTAAAACAGTTTTAGAACATGAAGTTGATAAATTATGTAGATAAATGGCTGTCTGATGGTAAAGTACCAGTAAGTGGTTTTTTATCAATACTGCAAGACAATAGACTGTTTGTTCTGGATTGAAATTTCCATTTGATGAGCACATAAGATACCATTAACTGCAGCAATTAAATAGACTACTTCTAGATAAGGTTCTAGACAAGTAGTAACTGCAGCAATAATTATTGTAGACTTGTTCTAGGGATCCAGTAACTGCAGCAATTGTAGAGACTTGTACTAGATAATCAGTTACTACAGCTATTAACAATTGGTAACTGCAGCAATTACAGACTGATTCTATACAATCCATAACTGCAGCAACTATAGACTGGTTCTAGACAATTGGTAGCTGCAGCAATTATAGAGACTGGTTCTGCAGCAATTATAGAGATTGGTTCTGCAGCAATTATAGAGACTGGTTCTGCAGCAATTATAGAGACTGGTTCTGCAGCAATTATAGAGACTGATTCAGGAGCAATTGTAGAGACTGGTTCTGCAGCAATTGTAGAGACTGGTTCTGGAGCAATTGAAGAGACTGGTTATAGGCAGTTTACAAATAGATACTATCAGTGACATTAACATTCTTTCTTAACTTCATCAAACCAGTGCCAGAAAATATACTGTAATTACAGCAATAAGTAAATAACACAAAATATTAAAAATACTGATTCCATATCCTATATTCACTGTAGCTTAAAACAATGTAAGAGACACTATAAATAAAATACGTGTCACAAAACATAATAAAAGGAGACTATTTGTAAATAAATACTGAAAAAAAAACAAAAAAACAACCCAGTAAATAAACTGCAATTACAATGGTTGGTGATACACATCCATAAATGTTTTTGAGGTATTTGCCTTAAGTTTTATGAATACCCGGTAAAGACAATTGGCCCAGTCATTAAAATCAGGATTTTGATTAAGAAGTTTCTAACAAATACATCAAGTATAGTAAATAAATAACAAGACATGTGTCTTTTCTGCATCAACATTTCAATCAATCCATGTGTCTTTTCTGCATCAACATTTCAATCAATCCTAGCAAAAATAGGAAAAATTTGAAATCTAAATTTTAATAAAATTGTATAGTACAACTGCACTGGAAGAAGATATTTTAAAAATTTATGGTTTGACCAAAGTAAAAGAGAAAACAATGTATAAATATATAACTGCCTTAAAATCAAGAAGATATTGCAAACATTTTATCATTGATATAAGCTAAAAAACTAAACCATGTGTCGGCATTATACAATAAAGTACAATTACATTTGTATTGTTGCTGAAATAGATATCATAAAACTATCACATTTATCAAAATATACAAATTTATGAATAAAACATGTTTGTAACAATGGTATAATGAAAAATGAAGCACATGATGTATAATGATAAGCTAAAATAGAACAATAAAATCAGCTCAATTTCTTTTATCTACGATATTTCATCATAATTACTTTTTAAACTTAAGAATTCTTCAGTGAATGTTGCCACTCGTAAATAAATTCTTTAAAATATTTTATGTTTAAAATCAAACAGGAAAAAAATGTTCCCCTCCTTAATCTAAATAAAAAATTCTACAATAATAATAGTGATACTACAAATCATTGTTGTGTATTAATTGTAAAGTTGAGGAAATAAGAGGGGGAAATCAGCTGAAAACCTAACAAAGTTTTTTCTATTATCATTCAAACTATAAAATCTTTATGATTTCCTGATAGAATCATATTTGACTTAAATATCGTAAAGAATAAAAGCCAGACTAATTAAGGCAAAAGAAAAGTCTGCTAAGAAATGATTTAATATGATGAAACGACAATAAAGTTCGAAATATTCTGACGAGCAAAATTGATTTACGCTGCCGAGTCCTCGCTATCCTCGCACTCTATAGGAGGGTTGAGTCCTGAATGGATCGTTACTTGTACGTTACGATTAATACTGACTGCTGGGTAATACACGCCACACAGGTCTGTGAACGCCACGGGGCCTTGTGGTTCACCGTTGATAAAGTAACTGAGGGTATTATGGTCGAGATCTAGAAGAATTCCGATCACACTGGCACGATTAATTCCTCCGTCAGTCCTGTCTGTGTGTATGTCTGAATGCATGAACCAGCTACGTTTACTATCAACATACATACACCAACCCTTATCATCTTTACCTGAAAATATATATATATAACATTCTATAAAATGAAAGTTAGCCACAAAACAAATATTCATTTGCTCACGAAATATACTGACACAAACTGTGCATGTGCCATTTTAACCATTAATGTATCAGATCCGCGGGAAAGCGACATATAAAGTAGAATTTATTTAGGAATAAAACCTTTTTCTGAATATGAAATAGAATCACTAAGCTTCATCATCATCAGTCCTGTTTTGAAACAGACAATTTCAAAAATAAATCTGAAATTCATTTCTACTACATCAGCTTATTGTCTATGACATAAGCTTCAAGCCTTCATCAGCTTTTTGTCTTTGATATAAGCTGCAAACAGACATTTAAAACCCTACTGTAGAATGTCATCAAGCTTGATGAAGGAAACATTAAATAGTGATATATTAGAAAGGTAAACAGTTACTACAGACACAAGTCTCAGTATAGGAGATCAAATTTACCCCACTAATCTCATCTCCTGTCTAACTAAAATTGCTTTCCTCATATATTTAGATCCAGTAGAGGTTAAATAAATATTATTGGACATAAATTTGGAGTTTTTTACTGATGTATGCTATCTGCTGACTGACAACACGTTTAATGTAAACACAAATCAACATGTTTTTCTTTTTAAAGAACAAAGCTTCAAACCAAATCTGTCAGCAAATAGAAACGAAAATTAGTGCTGACAGTAACAGTAACTGCCTTTTTATATGGTGTATTTTTTTTGTACAATGACTTCTAAATTTCATACCTTGCCATATTGTATTGATGGTGAAGAGTACATTATATGTGTATTTTTAAACTCAATTTCTATTATTGTTTATTGAAGAGGCATCAAGAAAATATGTGCTTGTCTGACTTTTTACAAAAAATAATGTATAAAGTGGGTCGATCTATAGTCAGTTTAATCAGGCCATATATGGTGGTATCATGACAGACAATATTCAAATTAGACAGAATTTATTAAAGTCTTTGTCAAACATTCTGAAACATGTAGATCTTCTCTCCTATTGTGAGTTTTTCCCTTGAGATTAAATATTTGAAACATGGAACATTGTGAAGTGCTGATTTATTGATATTCTTCACAGCCCTGATTGTCTATGTCTTTAAACATTTAAAGATTACATAGAATGCTTTATATATAATTCTAACACTATTAGAATTTTTTTCTATATAAACAAAGAAGGCCCGAAGCGTGCATTATTCTACAACAATGCACCCGCCGTTCTTATTATCTCCCTGTTTATTTTCACAATAAGGGCACCATTTTGTTTGAAAAAACTGATAAATAAAACACAATTTTTGAAGAATTTTGTTGCGAAAACTATCTAGAATGAAAGAAATGGTCTAACTAAGAAAATGAATCTGAACACCAATATTTTTAATTCAGTCGTTAACGCTGTATAGATGTTTAAAGTGTTGTTTACGTGACGTCACAATGTAGCGCCAAACAGCACGTGCAAAACAATCAAATCAAGTACGCTATTTTAATGTCGCAAACGAGTTCAGTTTTACATTTATTTCACTTTTAATAATTTGTATTTCGCTTGAAAATTTAAAGAGTGAAATAAAATAAACAAACAAAGTTTTATCAACGTTTTCAAAATGTTATTCTCAAAATGTTGCTACACACGGTAGATTTAACGACAGTTTTTTTCAACCCACTGGAACAGCCTTTAAAAAATGTTTCTATTGGAAACTCTGAGGCGAAAACAAATTTAACCACCAAACATAAAGTCCAACTTTATAATAATAATTAAATTTTTTTCTTGACGTGTTAGAATGGAAATAGATATTAATTCTTCGTGCGTTATTGTATAATAATGCATGTTTTTCGTTCAAATGCTTTGTAATTAATCACTCAGGCCTATCGGCCTTCGTGATTATATTACTATGCATTTGAACTCAAACCGTGCATTATTCTACAACAATGCACTCAGAATTGATATCTTTTTCCTAATTATAAACTGATAAAAACATTGATTCTAATATTATGGGAAAAAAACCTGAATAGAAAGTAAGATTTGTAATAAATGTACACATATTACATGTAAACTGAATGCTGCTCTTAAAAGCATGGCTTCAATAATTGAACAAGAACTTTAGGTTGAGTACAAATGGAAACAAGAGCTGACAGTAGGACAACATGCTTGACTATTGTCAGCTTGATAGCTAAACATGAGCCTGGATAATGCAGAATTTTCTAAATTCAAAAAAAGGCCATAATTATGTCAAAATCCATGAAAGAGTTATGGGCCTTTGACCAAGTATTATGCTTTCAAATAAGTGTTTTAAGTATCAACTTATTCCTGATAGTAGTTTTGCAGAAACTTGCATGCAAAAACTTAACCAAAGTGTGAAGCTGACTCTGGGGTGAGTACTATAGCTCTCCCTATTCTTTGCATAGGTATTTTAACATTATTGAATTAAATTTTGGTATATGGTATATTGTATAATCAAGAGTTTGTTAGGTTGCAATCCCATAAATCAATTCTCAGCAAAATACACATATTTACATATAACACATAGATATGTTTGTATGATGCTGACCACTGGAGGAAATATATCAGAAACTGGTCATTCACATTATTTTATCTAAATAAATACAACTTTCTATCAAAAATGTTAAAAGTGTGTGAGTCAATATTTACATTGTATCTGACATGAAAACTTTTATTGTTTATGTTGCTAATAGAGATAAGTCAGGGAAGATAGTGATTTTGGCAGACATAATATCACCACAGCAACCTGGAGCCTGACCCCTGCTGATTGCCCAAACATTCTAATCCAAGTGAATGACCTTAACTACAAACTTAATCCATCAGTTTTACTCCTACTTTATTCTTAGAAACAGACAATGAATAAAGACTGATAAATGAATGATAAAATTTGATACAATTATGTCAATTCATGCTGTTTTTTTTAAGCCACTTACTCCTATAATATTATTTTTAGCAACTTTAACCTTTATACACTGCTACACCTATGATAATGGACTTGTCATGTTTTAAACTTGTTAATTTATGGGAGATTCAATATCAAAATGGTCAGAAGTAAACCTGGTAGATTTTGGTCAGAAGTAAGTAAACATTATAGATTCCACTAAATCGAGACTTTATCAAGCTCAAACTTAAAAGCTAGGAAATAAATCCATAAAATTTGTGAAAACAACATCTCTTTTTAATACAGGCATCTTGTCATCAACAACCTGAAACTGGTAATTATTTTCTCAAGAAAAAACTGTAAGAATTAGCTCATTTTTCTTCATAGAACTTTATTAGATCTGTGTTTAGTGTGAGTCACTGTGATATATAACACAATAATTACCCGGTATGAACTCACATTAATTGCTCTATAATTAGTTTTGTTGAAACTGGACACTACTTTCCCCAGCTGTAATGTTCCACGCAAAACAATCTAGTCAAATCAATATCCCTTTTTTTCTGTATAAAATACATTTGGTAAAATAGGCTCATAAAACAGGGTCATGTATCAGCTACTCATGGGAACAAATAAAAAGACAATTTTCTAGACATATAAATAACCAACGTAACAAACATGACACTGGTAGAAGTATCAGAATAGCATCAAGACATTCTCATAAGTCATGTACATGTTATAAAACAATTTTTTTTTTTATAAATTTCTTTTTAATGAAACACATCTATCAAATTAAGAGAGATTAATTTCTAACATAAGACTAAAGACATTTTCATCAAGTTATTTCATTTTTTTCATTCTCTTTTTTTCCCCCACACACTTAATGAATGCAATGAAAACAAAAACACTCTTAATATTTTGTATCAAATAATAAAAAAACAACCCATGTCTTAAATTTGCAGGAGAAAAGATGAGTTATAGCATTGATTGCACTCGTTATTTCCCAGAATTCAGTAGAAATGTGCACAAATTGGGGAACTTTATTTTCTCTCAGATTTAATAATGTGTTATAAAACAGATCACTTTCTTACCATGTGTATAACTTTAAAACTATTTGTGTAAGAGAATTCTATGCTTGAAAATAAATGTTTACAAATTGATTCCTTTTGTAAGAACACAGTCCCCTTCCAGACTATCGGTATATCCTTATCAGTACCGTATATATTTTAGAAAAATATTAACTTAAACATTGTTTTTATTCTGTTTATCTTCATGTTTCATCATTGAACTAACTACAATGTATGTTAAACTACTGCTTCAAAACTTTAGTTTCAGCTTTAAAAGGACATGAAAAAATTTGACCTAGTGACCTAGTTTAAATGAAAACGTGACCTAGTTTTAACTAAAACTTAACTTGGTTTTAACTAAAACTGGAGAATCAATCTAACTTTATATAATTTTACAATTTACTTCTTCAATAAAGGGCCAGAATTTAACATTGGCTTCACATCCCTTTAATATTTTATGGCTAACAAATCTATTCTTCATACTAAAATCAAGATGACCTTGAGTTCATAATGACCATGAAAAAGCAAGAAAAAAACTACAGATGCAAGTTCCCAAAATCAATTTACACTATAAAATTTTGTAATAATTTTTACACACTAATTTGAGCTTGTCTGTCTTTCTAGACATTTCTGTATTTGCCGACAATATAATTATGTTATATAAGAAGCATTCACACTGAGTTAGACATAACAAGTTTTAACAATATCTTTTCATCTAAAGTAACAATATGTCATAACACACCACTACACCAGCCTTCATAGGACATGATATTGAAGACTATAACATAATTTTCTTACTTATATTCCCAGAATAGATAGACATCTGATAAATAATTCAAACACAGCATCAGAATTAAGTGCTATAAAACGACATTTCAATATTTCCTCAGTGGAAGCTGTCTGGCTAACAGTATAAATGAATACAGTTAATCTATTTTCACACATAATACAAGTCACTAGAGTTTTCATTTATATAACTTTGCTATTCTGTTTTAACAGCAGATGAGCAAACAAAAAACAAATTTGACATATTCAAATATACGGAAATCTTTGCAAAGAAAAGGTGTTTATACCTTATTATCATATTGCTATACCATCTTCAGGCAGTATAATGTTTTAATAAAATTTGTAAATGTTGACATCAACTTTTTAACTATTTTTTTTCAAAATTATCGCTAAGAAATTATATTTTTTACAGGAATATGTAAACATTGCAAGCACCACAGATATTGATGTATAATTTATCTTTACTGGTTTTATAAAACTTTATAGGAGATCTGTAGTAATGTCAGGTATTGAAGGTACCTGTATAAATTATCACATGTTATCATTAAATATTATCCTATATCATGTGTTATCATGTGTTATCCTACAGCAAGTATCTTGTTATCTTAATGACTCTAACTTTAATGATACCATCTTCAAATATAACAGTATAAACAATTTATCTTCCAGCATTTATTGCCAGTTATTCCGCTCTCAAATAGCATAAATGTACTATAGAAAAGATCTGTACAACAAAATACATTCATTTCCAAATCTGTAAATAATTACAGCCCTTTAGCTACAAATGTTTCTAAAGAATGCTTACCCTTAGATATGATACAAAAAAATCATGTATTAAGTCAATGAAATTACTTCCATTTAAAAGTATAGTACTTTTGATAAACATTTTCCTTTTTTCTTAAAAAAAATAAAAAAATTCTTGATATTGAATATCTTTAAGAATCTTTTCACCAATACATTACTTCCCTTTAATAACTTATTAGTTAATTACCTCCATTTATTAACTTAATGTCTAATTGTCTCACTTTTTTCTTGTATCTTGTAAAGGAATTTAACACAGAATTTTTTTTTCATTTCACCATTATTAGTTTCACAGGTGTGATTTCATAGATCAATTAATTTGATCTACAAAACACCAAAAAAAAAAATAAGTTGGCAGAAAATTCGGTATCATAACATTGATCACATTCATTTAGCTTACGCCAACATGTTTCTATTAATTCCCAATATTTCATTGAATTAAAGGATTCTATCTTTACAGAATAAAAACTGTAGGACATATGGTAGGTATATATCTCATGTAGCATCATTTTGCCAGCTTGCACTTTTAGTCTGTTAGTTATAAGATAAGCTTATAAACTTTTTTAAGCACTATAACTAATTACACTCTGACTATAACACAATATATAATCTTATAACAAGAGCTGTCTGTAGGACAGCACGCTCGACTATTCTTAGTGCTTGATAGTAAAAGAGCCTTGATAATGTTAATTCTTTTAAGTTCACAAAAGGGCAAATTTTTTTTTATAAATTCATGTTATAGGCCTTACAGAGAGTCTAATTATACAGTATTGGCTTGACTATTCGGAAGGTAATGTCACAAGGGTGTTTTATTGAGTATAATAATACTAATTACCTATCAGATTACATAAATTTGACAGACAAGGTACAAAGGCTTGTTATTAAGATGTTTTATCAAGTAAATCACTGCTTTATTATTATGAATGCATAAAATTGTCCCAAAAAAGGCACAAACCCTTCAGTAGTTATTGAGATAACAGCTTACAAACAAAACTTTACCATGAATTTCTTAGTTGAAAAAGGGGAGAAAAATCAGCCTAAATGCAAGATAGAATTATGGATCTTTGTCAGTGACCTACAATTATGACCCTAAATGCATATGTGAAGTTTTAAATAAATATCTGTAATAGTTATTGAGATATGTAAAACTTGCATGTAAACATTAACCAAGATACTTAGTAGAAAAGGGGATATGAATCAGCCTTAATGCAAGATAGAGTTATGGAACTTGGTCAGTGACATACAATTATGACCCTCCAATTATGACCCTAAGTGCATGTGTAAAGTTTCAAGTAAATATCTTTGAAGACCTTTAACCTCAACCAAAATTTCTAAGTTTCAAAGGGGCAAATAATTCTGCAAATATTGCAGGCAGAGTTATGCAATTTTGCAAACTGATGTACATTGTTACTATAAAAAAGTATTTTACATTTCAATTAAATATCTCAAGCAATAATTGAGATATTTGACTTTACAAAAAAACTTCAACCAAAATTTCTAAGTTCCAAAGGGGCATAATTCTGTCAATATTGTAGGCAGAGTTATCCAACTTGTCAATCTGATGTACCTTGTTACTATAAATAAGTATTGTAAGTTTCAATTGAATATCTCAAGCAATAATTGAGATATTTGACTTTACAAAAAACTTTAACCAAAATGTCTTAGTTAAAAAGGGTCATAATTCTGTCAATATTGTAGGCAGAGTTATCCAACTTGTCAATCTGATGTACCTTGTTACTATAAATAAGTATTGTAAGTTTCAATTGAATATCTCAAGTTATAATTGAGATATTTGACTTTACAAAAAACTTTAACCAAAATTTCTAAGTTAAAAAGGGGCATAATTCTGTCAATATTGTAGGCAGAGTTATCCAACTTGTCAATCTGATGTACCTTGTTACTATAAATAAGTATTGTAAGTTTCAATTGAATATCTCAAGTAATAATTGAGATATTTGACTTTACAAAAAACTTTAACCAACGCAGACGCCGACGCCGGGGCGACTACAATAGCTCTCATATTCTTCGAATAGTCGAGCTAAAAATGTTGGAATGAAACCCATTTAAACTATTACTTAAACAAAATGTGAAATGTCAGGAGTGTTTGCTGTATATAAATCAATTAAATGATTCTGGATTTAGACCTAACATTTTTGTCTTATGAATATCTAGGTAATTCCTTGACTTAATTTTCTCATTTATATCATTACAAATGGGAACTTGATTTAGAGAGATTTGATTCCTTTGTGAAAGTCAAACTATTTCAGGATTTTATATAACAATTTATGTCACATTTAATTTTGAACCAATTTTCTTCACTGTTAATTCAATGTTATAAAGATTATTGTTTTGAGAGACTGGAAACTTTGCAGATGTAAATGGTATACATTCTTATAGACTGTAACAGTAATTTCTCTGAAAATGGAATAAACACTCCTTCCATTTTGTTCAATTATGTATGACCCCTGTGGCAGTCTATTTTAAACCTTATATGTACATTTTGATAGAAAGTCTGTGAATATGTCCCTAGTGACGACAGAATCAGCTGTTGAATACATGAGACAAGACAATGCTTTCATGATAAGAAGGTGGCAAAGGAAGGCTTTGAGTATTTAATAATTTCATACAAATGCAACATTTTTAAATTAATGCTAGAGTTTCAAAATAAGGAAAATCACAAAAAATTAAAAATGATTTTTTTGTAAAATATTAAAAAAATTTCATTACTGAAATATATTTAAAACAAAAACATTTATTCACAACATATATAGCCAATACTTTAATATCTGTTACATACTGAGTGATACAGGGGATTATGAAAGACTTATGCAACAATTAAAGTGTCATGCCTTTAGAGTCTCAAAACTTGAGCATTTTTACTTTGTTTTTTAATATATCATAAATTTATGATAGATTTAAAAAAAGTTAATCATGTAATTATTTTTGTAATTGTTAGTAAATAATGCCTTAATTGAGATACACACCTAGCATTTCTGCCTTGCTAACGTCAAATCTGGCAATGCCAATTGCTGGGTCGGTGTTGTTATCGTACCTGTCCACTGTTACTTCCCAGTAGTGAACGCCCTTAGAGAATCCAACTCCCCCGAGGATTACGCGATGCTCGAAGCTGTTACAAGTTGCCGTCAGATTGTCGTTAGAGATGATGATGTCACGATGAGCTGTTGTAGGATCAAGGCTGAACCACGCCACTGAAAAAACACAAACAATACAAAATATAACTATATACATGTACACGCTGAACTTATGTCACAAAATTATACTTATAACCTGCTCACCGTGACAAGATTATTTTTCTTTGGATATCAATGGCTTGATGAGTGTATAGTCCAAAATCTAAAACAGACACATGGACAAACAGCTCTAACTATCAACCACACCTTGCAAAATAGAGAGAGTTGTACAATAGACAGAAACTTTATCTGTGTGGGTGGCAAAATGCCTACAGCCTACAGTTAGTTCCTTCTCAAGTTTTCAAGAAGCATTAAAAAATAAACAGTTCAAAGTACTGAAAACAGGTGTTATGAACTACTTACTTTATAAATTAAAAAAACATCTCTTGACAAAAAATCATTTTGATTTCACACTTATTTTAATCTAGCACAAAGTTCTTAGAAGCCAAGGGCTCTTTGTAAGCATAATTGATGGTTTTTCCTGCATCATAAATTGTTTGAAGTTTAACATTACTCATCTATATTTCAGTTACGTAATTTTAATACTGATGGAAACATAAGCTAATTAAAATGATGATGTCTAAATAATCATAATCAACACAAAACTGACTCGCACAAAAATCAATGCAAACAAATTTTAAATATTTTCTCTGTGGGAAAAGCTATTTTCAATAATATTCAAATGTAACAAAAATGCCTAAAATTTGATGGAAATCAAAACTTGTTTTTATCTAAGAATTTTACAACTATTGTGTTCAACAATGAAATTATCAGCTGCATGCATGCAGTTTTTATTGTTGCTGTTGTTTTTTTTTTTTTAGGAGAAAAATATCAAATCAGGCAAATTAACAAGGAAAGTAGGATTTTTATGTTGCCAACTTTGAAAATATTTTTATCCTTTATAACCTGCTAAATTAGTGTAATGGATTTGACCGTGCTTATCATCTGGAATAGTCCATTCATTCTAAGTTTAAATATGGGATTTCAGGGATAAAATATAAAAGTTGAGCTACCACCAGTATAGAGACTGGCCAGTGTGTACTGGCACGCCTGGCTGAGTATACTGGTTACACTGACTCAATCACTGTTAGGTACATTAATTTTGGTTATGGGTTAAATGCAAACAAAAGGAGGAACAAAACAAAGGTTTGGACAAGTGTTTTAAATAGGTCTTAAACATGCAATATAGAAAAAAATTGTCTCAACCACTAAATTAAAATATATTTTGAATTCACTTATGTGTTTCACCATTACAGGAAAACCAGTATTATATAATTATATAATAAATATTAAGAGTAAACCTGTATTAAACAATAATTATATCATATATTTCAGGAAATTTCAGCTATTGAGGTTGGAAATATGAAAGTAACTGTAAAACACACAGTGTCATTGTTGACTTTTTTTTTTGTTCTACATATTTGATGAAAAGATAGTTTAATTACTTCCAAAACATATTTAGATAAAAGTAAACAGAATACAGGTGTGAAATGACAGCATATAGGTATATCATATAGTAACTCTTCAATCTATAATTATATCCTGGCACTCAGTTTACGTGAGCAGGTGTCTATCACAATTCTAATGTCTCTTTCATTAGTAAAATATCTACCTAGAAAATTGTAAATCCCTTTAAATCTAACTTATATGCTTTCCTCTGAATCAAAGCTGTAATTTTTCATTGTAAATGATCACCGCCAGGGTGGGTTTGAACTAGAATATTTACAGGTGTTAATAATCATGTCAGGTGTATGATCATCACTATGATTACGTAAATCAAGGGGGTGTGGATCTACATATATAAATAAACTAGAAAATCAATTACTGGGTAAAAATGTCAATCTGAAAATAATTGACATAAGACTGTTTTTTTATGAAAGCTGCAACTAATAATTCTTTCTTCAAACTTGAATTCCAGATAAATGCATTTCATAAATTAACTTGTACATTTAATAGAACTTAAATTGATATTAAGTGTCATCATGTAGTAAAAACTGATATCATTATGTCACACTATAACTGATTAAATCTGAATCAATTAACTGTAATACAGACTTTATAATTTTAGACTTCTGTTCTTTGTGTGGAACATCCTGTACACAATGTTACAGATTCTCTGATAATGCAGGGATAATGAGCAGTTTTAAAATCAAACAAAATGTAATTAACTTTAAAACTTTTCATTTCATTGTGATTGGCTGGGACAGAGCTTCAGGCAGAAATATAATCAGTGACAGTGGTCGACCTGCGGGGGGGAAACTTGGCGACAAAGGTCTGACTAAATCCCTTCTCTGCTAAATTACAACATCAGACTGTTGGCAATTAAAATTGATTATATAATTATTGATGAGAGTTATCAGTGAGAAAGAGAATAAATCAACATTAATTCATATATTGATATCTGTCAGAATCATTGTTACAATCAGTATGTTTGATGTTAGATAACTATTTACTTTTTCCAATCATTAAATGACTTAATACTTGCAATATTTATTATTGATGCCAGAGAGATAAACAATAACCAATTGTGTACACAGAAACATGAATTCGATTGTTGTAAACATGTTTTAACATCAAAGGAAACACATTCAACAAATGTAAACATTTTTCAAATTTCAATCAACCCTACAATGTCAGAGATATGAATTTTAAATTTAATTTCTAAACATTCATTTAGACTCCACCCACTCACTAATTTCATCTCTTTTATTCTCCCAACACGTGAATTATCAATTAAAGATTTTACATTCAGATATCAACTGTTTAACAGCTGTTATAAGAAACCATATTTCACCAACAACATACATAGGAACAGAAACACCATTTTCAATGAGAAGTACTATATATTATATGGAAAACAATAATTTTAATAAGTCCCCTTGTAGCCATAATTCAACATAAACATTTACTCTTCCTTCTCAAACTTCTCTAACATAAAACAGTGTTACATCTATTATTCAATAGGCTTTATGTAAAATACTGCACCCTAAGGTATCAATTCATTGTAAAAAGTTGCAAACAGAACGGAAATTTTCAAGTCTCTCTTCAATAAAAAGAACATTTCACTTGTAGACTTGTCATTAAATATTCAGCATGTTCTTTTCTAATAATGTTTGTTTCCTGATGTAATACAATTTAAGCTTTTATTTATTTGAAACTGTCAGGTGTAATTGTATTAAAGTCAATTTTTGATGAAATCGTTAAGCCATAAAAGTCGAAAGTTTATGTATAAATTGCCCTCAAGGTCATTCTCTGATACTACACAGTACAGGTCTCAGAGCTCTGGCAGCAAACTGATGGAGATCTGGCGATTTTACTAACAGAAACAAGTCTTAGAAATTTCGTAGGAAAAAAGTCAAAGCTTGTTGATTACTGATTTAATAATGTTAAAAATCTAAATAAATTATTTGAAAACAAGCTGCTCAACTGAAAGAAGCTAAATATTAAAAACCCCTAATGTGATATGTGACAGAGATTTAGTAAAAACTAAATATTGGAATCCCCTAATGTGATATATTGCACAATGAAGGAGTTTAGTAAAAACTAAATACTGAAATCCCCTAATATGATATATTGCACAATGAAGGAGTTTAGTAACTAAATATTGAAATCCCCTAATATGACATGTGACACAATGAAGGATTTTAGTATAAACTAAATTTTGAAAACCCCTAATGTGATATGTGACACAATGAAGGATTTTAGTATAAACTAAATTTTGAAATCCCCTAATGTGATATGTGACACAATGAAGGATTTTAGTATAAACTAAATTTTGAAAACCCCTAATGTGATATGTGACACAATGAAGGATTTTAGTATAAACTAAATTTTGAAAACCCCTAATGTGATATGTGACACAATGAAGGATTTTAGTATAAACTAAATTTTGAAAACCCCTAATGTGATATGTGACACAATGAAGGATTTTAGTATAAACTAAATTTTGAAAACCCCTAATGTGATATGTGACACAATGAAGGATTTTAGTATAAACTAAATTTTGAAAACCCCTAATGTGATATGTGACACAATGAAGGATTTTAGTATAAACTAAATTTTGAAATCCCCTTATGTGACATATGACACAATGAAGTTTTTTTTTTATGTTTTGCAAATCTTACAAATCATATAATTTTGATCAGAGAAAAAAAAGCAACTAGATTATAGAATACAAAGTGTTCATTTTTTATGCTAGTGATCAATTTATCTTGTAACTGTCTTTTAGAAGATTAAAAATACAGCCTTGGGGTAAAAATGTCTACTCTCTAATGAGAAAGCTGTGACACATGTCTGTTGTTCTCTAGAACAAGTTTCAAAGAAATATGGACTTTTCCCAATGTCCTTCTTTTTTTAATGATAACATCTGACATAACTAAATGGTTTTTTTTTTGAAAGTACAATTCCGAAAAAACAAGCATGACACCCCAATCCCTCTTCTCCCTACTCTTTTAATTATTTTTGTTAATCTTAAATTACTAGTAAATGTTAGAAATAATACAGCCAGGGATATCAATACAGACAAAACTATTCTGACAATACTTGAAGAATTTGTGCTGACAAACAATAATGCTTTAAGCTTCTTGTCTGATCAATGTCCTAACAAGGTCTACTGTATTTATCTAAGGTAGAAACAACCGATTAATGTTTATATAACTTGTCTAGTTCTCCTGCTAGACAATCTTTTACCACTGTGTTATGTCAGGTAATTTAGACAATTTTAATGCTAGGATCATGTCATATGATGAAGTGGTTACATTCCCTAACTGACCATTTCAAGGTGTTGTTATTTCAGTTTGTAAGGGGGTATTTGCCACACTGTTCTATCCTAAAGCCAGAATTCAAGAACTAAAAGCATGTAACAACATCTTGATATTGATAATCTATTAATTGATAAAAGTCAATTTCAATAATAAAGCTCTCACTGTAGTAATTAAAAGACTAATCTAATAGTTTAGTTCAATTAAATATTTAAAATAATAGGTCTATATTATTTCTACGATCCTTCAGAATGAAAA